ATAAGGATTTTTAATCAAGAAACTGTCTTGGATAAAAATCGTGTTTATTTATACATATATAATAGCCTTTAGAACCATTAAACAGGAATGTCTTTACATAGGCCCCAATCCTCCTCTCAAAGAAGTAAATGGCAAAGCTCTTCTTGACTTTAATTGGAGTATGATCATGTACCCAATTAACTTTTTTTTTTAACATCCAGTATGCTCACATCTTTGTTATTGTAGGGCTGGTCATCAGGGCTGGGAATATGGATTAATTTAATCTTTTCACTTATATTCATGTAAGTACAACCCTGAAATACAGGATTGTACTAAGTATGTGGGACAGAACTAGTGGTATGTTCGGACTGTGTGTCAAAGGTATGCTTCCAAGCTCATTCCACCTGAGATGGCGCTCTCAATGTATAGTACAGATGTTCAGAATATGATCATGCAGTCTTTGCTGGATTCTTTGGCCTGGACTCCCTTTCAGTCATGTTCATATATACCCCTAGGCTCTAAGGAGATCCTTGGTGGGGCTCAGATGCCACGCAGGGCTGCTTAGGCTTGTGTGATGAATTGGGGCTATATCTGTGCAATTTATAAATTCTGAATGATACTGTGAAGATATATTATTAAAAACTGCTGTATTTTGAGTGCCTATATGTTTATAGATCCAGGGCCTGAAACATGTACACCCCAGACAGATGCAAAGGGAAATAAGGTTAATGATAGTGCTTAGACTTCACAAAGGTTATACAAAAAAAGCAGCTGCATCCTTATAAAAATAGTTTAGCTGTTTCTTCTGGAGGAGCAATGGAAAGTTACCAGGAGGAAAACAAAACAGGCCAGATGACCAGGAGTGGCTAAAAATAAACACATAGGAGCCAGACAGGAAGAGGGAGTGTGTGGGGAAAGAGAGAGCAAGATCACAGAACCTGGGTAAGAGGGATCCAGAAGAGAGAGACCATCCAACATGTAGTAGCCTCAGGGCATCCCTGTCCACTTTTGTGAGACTAGATGTCCCTAAGGATTTTGGACAACCCAAGGGACTTGGACCCCTGCTCCAGAGGTGTAGCTAAAATTGTGCAAGTGATGTAGTTGCACCCAGGGTTCATGGCTATGGAGGCCCTACCAGACAGTGCAGCATTCCAGTGTAGTGGGGTTGCTACACCACTCATTCAAATTGGACCTGGCTGGAAGTTCTCAGGGCAGTGGGTGAGGGACTGGGGGGCAAGTTGTAGGTGGACTATCGGGTGAATGGGGAGTGTTTGGGGAACTGTGAGGTGAGGCGTTGGGGGTGCGTGAGACACAGTGGGGTGGTAGGTTGGGGATAAGCAAAAGTTTAGATTTTGGAATCAGGAAGGGGGCCCCTAACTTATTCTTGCATTAATTAGAGCCCTAGGGCCTTGTTACACCACTGCCCTGCCCAGAGAATGTGCTGGAGTGATGAGGAAACTGAGGCAGAGACATTGCATTTAGTGCTTATCTTGTATGAACTGTACTCTCCTGTGCTTTACATGATTAAATATAAAAGAGCATAAAGATATTAGACTGTACAAAGTGTGTATGTGTGTGAGAGAGAGTTTTTTCACAACTGCTGTATGCTCCTGAGAAAGTTAAACTATGAATGGAAGCTCCACACCTTTTGGGTGGAGTCCTGTGAAAGGGGTTTGTTTAACTGGGGTATCTATAGGGAGGGAATGCTGGACTTAAGGCAGGTGGATTAAGGAGCCCCATTTCTGAAAAGAGAGAGCAGACTGAGAGACTGTGCCCAGGAAAGGTGATAGAGAAGACCAGTGGAGGAACCAGTGCAGCAGCCTGCTGAGGCTTCAGAAACTTCATAGGAGATGTAGAGCACTCAGGGGATGCAAAGCACAGACTCTTGCATTCCCCTCACAGCAGGTGAAGTGCATGAGCAGGAGGGAATGCTCACTAGGATCTTTGACACCTTGGTATCTTTTTGACTGTGGTAGTGATGGGGAATAAATGTTGGTACCCATTAAAAATAATCCCCCAAGCCCACCCTCGTGTGATGCCAAAATGAGCTGTCACTCAAAGTAAATTGTATAGATTGATTATATTTACCTCCTTTCTTTGATAAGTAATAAACTAGTTAACATTGATCAAGTATAATAATTGATAGCCCCAATTAAAATTAATGGGGAAGTTAATATCTCCCAGAGCTGTTATTCTAGGCTCTCTGCAAACTCAAGCAGATGTGACTGTGTCAGTTACTCAGTTCACATTTTCAGGTTTTCCTAGCGACCACAAAATGAAAACTGAGATTCTAGGGGACCAGAAAGAGTTTGAGAGATGTGCTGGTAGGTTGTACCACTACATATTGCCTAGACTGATCCCTGATTCCAACTATCAGGCACTGGGAACAGAATTTTTGTGCAACTTCTTGCTTTAAAAAAAAATAAATTCAAATTGAGCCCAAACCTAGAAGCATTCAGATAATAGACTTCAACCATGTCTTTTCAGTAGGGCTGTCGATTAATCGCAGTTAACTCATGCTATTAACTAAAAAAAATTAATCGTAACTAAAAAAATTAATCACAATTAATTTCACTTTTAATCGCATTGTTAAACATTAGAATACCAGTTGAAATGTATTAAAGTCTTTAAACCATGATTTGAGGACTTCAATAGCTCAGACATAGATTAGGGGGTTATTACAGGACTGGGTGGGTGAGATTCTGTGGCCTGCATTGTGCAGGTCAGACTAGATGATCATGATGGTCCCTTCTGACCTTAAAGTCTATGAGTTTCTAAATATTTGTGGATGTTTTTCTACATTTTCAAATGTATTGATTTCAATTACATCACAGAATACAAAGTATATTATTATTTTAAATACAAATATTTGCACTGTAAAAATTATAAAGAAATGGTATTTTTCAAATCACCTCATACAAATACTGTAGTCATTCTCTTTTTCGTGAAAGTGCAATTTACAAATGTAGATTTTTTTTTGTTACATAACTACACTCAAAAAAAAAAAACAATGTAAAACCTTAGAGCTTACAAGTCCACTCACTCCTACTTCTTGTTCATCCAAAAGCTAAGACAAACAAGTCTGTTTACATTTACAGGACATAATGCTGCCTGCTTCTTATTTACAATGTCACCTGAAAGTGAGAACAGGCATTTGCATGGCACTTTTGTAGCTGGCATTGCAAGGTATTTACGTGCCACATATGCTAAACATGCGTATGCCCCTTCATACTTCGGCCACCATTCCAGAGGACATGCTTCCATGCTGATGGTGCTCTTTAAAAAAAATAAAGCATTAATTAGATTTGTGACTGAACTCCTTCGGGGATAATTGTATGTATGTCTCCTGCTCTGTTTTACCTGCATTCTGCCATATATTTCATGTTATAGCAGTCTCGGATGATGACCCAGTACATGTTGTTCATTTTAAGAACACTTACACTGCGGATTTGACAAAATGCAAAGAAGGTACCAATGTGAGATTTCTAAAGATAGCTACAGCATTCGACCCAAAGTTTAAGAATCTGAAGTGCCTTCCAAAATCTGAGAGGGATGAGGTGTGGAGCATGCTTTCAGAAGTCTTAAAAGAGACTTCAGAACTGGAAACTACAGAACCTGAATCACCAAAAAAGAAAATCAACCTTCTGCTGATGCCATCTGATTCAGATGATGAAAATGAACATGCGTCAGTCTGCACTGCTTTGGATCGCTATCTAGCAGAACCCATCATCGGTATGGAAGCATGTCCTCCAGAGGGGTGGTTGAAGCATGAAGGGACATATGAATCTGTAGTGCATCTGGCATGTAAATATCTTGTGACGCTGGCTACAACAGTGCCATGCAAACACCTGTTGTCACTTTCAAGTGACATTGTAAACAAGAAGGGACAGCATTATCTCCTGAAAATGTAAACAAAACTTGTTTGTCTGAGCAATTGGCTGAACAAGCAGTAGGACTGAGTGGACTTGTAGGCTCTAAAGTTTTACATTGTTTTATGTTTGAGTGCAATTATTTTTTGTACATAATTCTACATTTGTAAGTTCAACTTTCATGATAAAGAGATTGCACTACATTATTTGTATTAGGTGAATTGAAAAATACTATTTCTTTTGTTTTTTACTGTGCAAAGGGAAGCTGCAAGAGCAGTCACCACCACTCTCTAGTTGCGCAGGTACATCGTTTCAGGCAGCTGGCAGAGAGGTAAATCACCACAGGGCTTGGGACACCCCAGCCAGTGGCCTCTACCCTGAGCTGGGATCAGCTGCTAATCCTGGCTGGGCTGGAGACAAAAGAGGACAGGACTTCCTCTTCCCCTGCAAGGAGTGGCTGGAGCTGTGTCAGACCTACCCCCAGAAACCTCCCCCAGCTGTGGGAAGCTCAGCATCCTCCGCTGTGCGGGGGGAGGGGTCACTGTACAGGGAGCTGCTCCTCCATCCGCCCAACCCCCATGCATCCAGACCTCCCATACCCAGACACCCCGCCAAGTCTCACCCCATACACCCAGAGCCCCCTAGCCCTGTATACGCAAACCCCACCCCATTGAACCTCAACCCCTGCACCCAGATCACCCCCCACTGAGCTTCCTGCACTCAACCCCCCCCACTCTGATGATTCCCAACCCCCTGCACTCCGAGCCCCCAAATGCAGACCCCCATGCCACTGACCCCCCCATTAGCTGCACCCAGGCCCCCACCCCACCCCACCAAGCCCCACTCCCCCAGCACCCAGACCCCCCTGCTGAGACCTCCACACTCAGACCCCTCTGCTGAGCCCCAACCACTTTTCACCTGGAAGCCCCTGCAGAGTCCCATTGCCCCCCTCCCACAAGCCTCTGTGCATCCAGATCCCCCCACACCTAGACCCCCTCACTGAGCTGCCTGCACCCAGATTGTCCCACACAGAATCCTCTCACCCCACACCTAGATCCCCCCACACTGAGCCCCTCCACACTTGGATCCTGCCTGGTTGAGTCTGCCTGCCCCACACCTAGTGTGTTATACTTATAAGCAGCACACGGGATCTTTATAAGGAAGAAGGCAGCTCGCTGCATTTATTGAGAATACAACAGTTAGCATATGCTTTTCAATCTCACACACACACACACCATGCACACAGTCCTGCCAGTTGATGTTTATGGTTACCAGTCCAGAGTCTGGATCAATCTAGTGGCCAGCCAGATTGGTCACAGAGGGGAGCAGGGCTCTGTCAGTCGGGATCCGATGCTCCTGGATTGTAGCAAGACGAACCCAAAGTCTCATAGTCAAGCACCCTGTTCTTATAGTCTTTTTTCTCTGTTGAAGTCTATGGATTTTGCTGTGTCAGTGTGTGACTGGTTACATCTTAATTGGTGTATCGTTTGATGTAAACATTCCAATGCACCCCCAAGAGGGTTATCCTGTCCTGGTTCTGATTTAATCAATTGTCTTTAGGGGTACCTGCCTTCACCTCAGGGTCGTCAATTTGCCCTTTTTGCCAACTGTGCTCACATATCTATTCAGGGGACACCATCACAGGGCCTAATAACATCAGCCACACTATCAGAGGCTCGTTCACCTGCACATCCACCAATGTGATATATGCCATCATGTGCCAGCAATGCCCCTCTGCCATGTACATTGGTCAAACTGGACAGTCTCTACGTAAAAGAATAAATGGACACAAATCAGATGTCAAGAATTATAACATAAACCAGTCGGAGAACACTTCAATCTCTCTGGTCACGCAATTACAGACATTAAGGTCGCTATCTTAAAACAAAAAAACTTCAAATCCAGACTCCAGCGAAAACCTGCTGAATTGGAATTCATTTGCAAATTGGATACTATTAATTTAGGCTTAAATAGAGACTGGGAGTGGCTAAGTTATTATGCAAGGTAGCCTATTTCCCCTTGTTTTTTCCTACCCCCCCCAGACGTTCTGGTTAAACTTGGATTTATGCTGAAAATGGCCCACCTTGATTATCACACACATTGTAAGGAGAGCGGTCAGTTTGGATGAGCTATTACCAGCAGGAGAGTGAGTTTGTGTGTGTGGGGGGGTGGGTGGGGAGGGTGGGGTGAGAAAACCTGGATTTGTGCTGGAAATGGCCCACCTTGATTATCATGCACATTGTAGGGAGAGTGGTCACTTTGGATGAACTATTACCAGCAGGAGAGCGAATGTGTGTGTGTATGGGGGTGGGGGGGTGAGAAAACCTGGATTTGTGCTGGAAATGGCCCACCTTGATTTTCATACACATTGTAAGGAGAGTGGTCACTTTGGATAAGCTATTACCAGCAGGAGAGTAGGGTGGGAGGAGGTATTGTTTCATGGTCTCTGTGTATATAATGTCTTCTGCAGTTTCCACAGTATGCATCCGATGAAGTGAGCTGTAGCTCACGAAAGCTTATGCTCAAATAAATTGGTTAGTCTCTAAGGTGCCACAAGTACTCCTTTTCTTTTTGCGAATACAGACTAACACGGCTGTTACTCTGAAACCAGTGTAGACAGTGGCAGTCTGTCAGATGCATTCCTACCAATGTCCCAGAGGGTCACAGATTCATAGATACTAAGGTCAGAAGGGACCATTATGATCATCTAGTTTGACCTCCTGCACAATGCAGGCCACAGAATTTCACCCACCCACTCGTATGAAAAACCTCTCACCTATGTCTGAGCTATTGAAGTCCTCAAATGGTGGTTTAAAGACTTCAAGGAGCAAACCATCTCCTCTATAAACTTATCGAGTTTAATCTTAAAGCCAGATAGATCTTTTGCCCCCGCTGATTCCCTTGGAAGGCTATTCCAAAACTTCACTCCTCTGATGGTTAGAAATGATGGTAAAATGAAATCAAGACATACATTAGTACCTCTAGACTTATAGTACAATTATAAAATCCTGCTCCTACAAGTGCGCCTGGTGCAGAGGGTCAGGGCCCCAGGGTGTTTCTGGGGCAGGCCCAGGCCTTGTGCTGTGTCACGGTCAGGTGCAGCCTGACCAGAGTCCTTGTCCCCGAGATGGCGGGTGGGGAGGCTGCTGGGTGATCTTCCACCTTCCTGCACTGGAGCCTCTGCATTTATTTGCAGAATTTTGCAATACTGTGCACAGCATTTTTCATTTTTTGGTGCAGAATCCCCTCAGGAGTACGCAGCTTTGAGGGCATTGCTGAAGCAGTAAGACAACGACCTGAGCAGTAGGCTGATGTTCTGTGGAAGCGAAGGACAGCAGCGGACGCGATGTTGTGAACTTTGCCAGCCTGCTACCCCTGAGCAGAATGCACCTGTCACCATCTCCCAGGTCAGCTGTGCTGCTGCGGCAGATAGGCCAATGGCCCAGCAAAAGAGGCCAGGGGTGACCGAGGCCTTGTCTGCAGGAGAAGCTGCATCGGTTGAACGTCAGTCAGCGTTAATCTGGTTTAGTGAACTGCTGCAAAAGGCTGTGTGGACGCCCTCGCTGAGGTCTGAGCCTGCCTGGGTTTTGTTTCGCAGACATCCAGTTCAGCCAGACCGGAGTAAGAGTGGCCACAGCCGCAGGGGTCTGCACCGGTTGGGACGCGGACCTGACACTACCGGAGCGTAACTTTCTTGTGTAGACAAGACCCCCCTCCCCGCTCCGCTCTGCCGCCTCTCACGCCACGTGACGCGGCCCCGACCCTTGGCGAGCGGAATCCCTCGGGGGCGGGGCGGGGCGGGGCGGGGCGAACTGACGGGCGCCGAGAGCCTCCGCCCTGCAAACCAATGGGGAATGGGGACACTGAGCGCAGACAGGCCTCAGACTCTATGGTGGCGCAGTTGAACGGGCCGCTCTAGGCGACCCTCGCCGTTCTTTATGGTACCTGGGAGGAGCGGAGGGGGCGGTGCCCGGTTGCCGGCTCGGGCCCCCGCAATCTCGCCAATTTAAGCTGCGGACACCATGGCGCCTCCGAGAGGTGAGAGACTCGGTGCCGGGGGAGGAGGCTGGGTCAGCCCCCTTCCCCGCGCGAGACAGATCCGGGGCGCCGTCCGCCCCCCCTTCCCCCCCTCGCAGTGGGAGCTGCTTGTCCCGGGCTAATTATTGGGGCGGGGGGTGTTGGGGCGGGCAATGGGGCGGAGGGGAGGGGGCAATGGGGGGTGTTGGGGCGGGCAGTGGGGCGGAGGGGAGGGGGGCTATGGGGCGGGCAATGGGGCGGAGGGGGGGGGCAATGGGGGGTGTTGGGGCGGGCAGTGGGGCGGAGGGGGGGGGGCTATGGGGGTGTTGGGGCGGGCAATGGGGCGGAGGGGAGGGGGGCTATGGGGCGGGCAGTGGGGTGGAGGGGAGGGGGCAATGGGGGGTGTTGGGGCGGGCAATGGGGCGGAGGGGAGGGGGGGGGGCTATGGGGGTGTTGGGGCGGGCAATGGGGCGGAGGGGAGGGGGCTATGGGGGTGTTGGGGCGGGCAATGGGGCGGAGGGGAGGGGGGCTATGGGGCGGGCAATGGGGCGGAGGGGAGGGGGCAATGGGGGGCGTTGGGGCGGGCAGTGGGGCGGAGGGGAGGGGAGGGGGGCTATGGGGGTGTTGGGGCGGGCAATGGGGCGGAGGGGAGGGGGCTATGGGGCGGTTGGAGTGGGCAACTAAATGTTTTCAAATGTACTTTTCATACGTGGGTCGTTGTATGTGTTTTGCATTTTTCAGTGTAGACAATAAAACTTACTTTCTCTTTGTATTTTCCCTCTGGTTGGACCTTGTAAATCATCTGGTTGTTGCAAAATCTAAATGTTGGTCCTAAAGCCAATTGATAGTCCCCTTTGAATTTGCATACGGAAGTATATAAGATTTTATCTATCCAAGGATGTAGTTAATTTACATGATTGCAGCAATGGGATATGTGAGTGTACCTTGTAGAAATATGTTCTACAATAAAAGGCAGCACTCCCTTAAAATGAGCAAACTACAGGATTTGATTAATCCTGTACAGGAGGTACAGGATTAATCAAATCATACCCAAATGATTATTATGATCAGCTCACCTGCAGTGAACATAGAACAGTCATTCAGTAATTAACAGAGAACAATAAATTTGAATAGATCAAACTACATTTTTTCAAAATAGTGGAAGCAAATTAAAATCTAGAAGCTGTAGAGTGCACAATGCAATTTCACTGAAGTTTGTCAGCTAGGGTACCTACATATATGCCCTGTGTCCTCCATTACAACATATTACGTTTCAGAAACCTGCAGAGAGTTATTAGAGAGGGTTTTATTTATTAGTAATAATATGTAACTCTTTTATAGTGCATTTCATCAGTAGATCTCAAAGCACTTTACAGAAGAGGTCAGTATCATTATGCTATGGGCCAGATTCAGCCATGCTTGTGTTGAACAGTATCTTAATGCAATAAACAGGACTACTTGCAGAATAAGATATTGCTCAACCTGAACAAATGTGGTGAATCTAGTTGTAAAATATTACTAGGTGATGTTTTAATGCAATGGCTAAGAGTTCTAGAGCGATTTCTGAACCACTGGAAAGTTTTAGATTCTGGACTTTTCAAAGGTACCATGCAAAATATGGCATTAAAATAGTACTTGAGAAATTCTTTTAACTAAACATAGATTTGACTCAGTGTTTCTAACATTGCTTCTTTTTGTTTTGTGCACCTCACCCCTGCTGTTGCTTCAGAGAGGCACTGTCTTTTTTTATTTTTTTTTGTACTACAACTCTCATCTGCTGTTTTGTTACAAAAACAAACAAACAAAAAGAATCCAAAAAATTTTTTTTTATATTCTCCTGATTTTGACTGCCCTGCTGCAGCCACAACTTAAAAACATTTTAAATTTTGTAAAGCATTGAGTTACCTTTTAAGGGTTAAATGCCAAATCCCAAAGCCAAACAACACTAATTACCTGTGTCTAGCAAAAAGGTCTGTCAGTTTTGCAACTTTGAATAAAAGAGTCAAATGGATTTTTAGTGGCATTATTTAAAACAAAAACAAAAGCAACTGGTCCTTAGAACTTTACATATTTACACACACACAGATAGATACATACACATTTTCTTTTCCTTAACATCCCTTCCACACTGCTCTGTTTTTTTTTTACATCTTACATTCCCTTTATACATTTGAGGCAGCTAAGTTCCAATAGAACCCCCTTATGTTCTTTTAGCAAATTTGACTAAATTGTCCAGTCAAATGATTTTAATCAGATAGTTTATTTTTGCCTGACTAATTTACAGACATTCCTTTGGAAAAGGGCCCATTTTTCTTTCAGAATGGCTGCAAAGAAACCAAGAATGCTCTTTCTCTAACACTTTTCCTTTTTAACATTTTCACAAAGTTTAGCTGCTTAATTCTCTCCAGCCTCAGCAGAGTTAACTTTTTTTTTACTCTCTTTTCTCTTTGTAATTATGCCTGGGGGTACCGTACATAGGGCCTTCTCCCCCTTTACCTGCGTCCCTCCAGCCTCTGCAGAGTTAACTTTTTCACTCTTTTTGTATTCCTGGAGTGCCTCTTTCACTATTTTCAGCTGGCTTTGGGTATTTGTAGCCAGCACCTTCCAATTGTCTGCTCCCTTTTCCATTTGTGCCTTTTCCTCTTTACATGAAGACAAGCAGAGGGAAGAATCCTAACATGCCTCCCACAACAACCAAATTGCTGCTGCATCTCTTTTGGCAGCACTAGAAGGTTTGTTTATGAGGTTATACTGAGCCAATCTATCCTCCAGGTCCGAAATAGTGCAGACATCAGCTAGGGCTTGTTTAGTCCAAGGACTGTGCCCAAATTTTGAAGGATTTGTTTAAAAGGTGTAATTTCTTTAACAAAAGGTGAGGTTGGAGTTCCTTCTGACTCCATTCCTCCCTCTGGTACTGGCTTACCCTGTTTTCTTTTAAACATCTTAACATGGATATTTCAATCTCTTTGTCACTGCTGGTATTACTTAGCAAATGACACAGCCTAGATTCTGAAATCATAGCTTAATCTATGCGTTTTTCCCCTGCTACCTTCCCGGAGGCCAGCAGGTCCCCTGCTACCTTCCCGGAGGCTAGCAGGTCTGGTTAACCTAATAGAAATGCCTAGCTCACTAGAGCTGGCGGTGTGCACACCAATATTTACAATAACTGAGGTTTTTTACCAATATTCCCCCTTTCGCATTTCTCCACCAAAATGTTATACCAATAAAATAAAAACCAGCAGGATCTTATTAAAGGGAAAAAGGCAAAATACCACATTTATTGTGAATACAGAAAGAATCATAGTAAGCAGTTAGTTATAGTTATAACATTCCATTCAATCTCATATTTATTCACACATTCATTCATACAAACTCACACACACACAGGTTCTGCAAGGTTGTTATCATAGTTACCAGCCTTAGAGTTGCTCATGCCAAGCCACTGGCCAGGTGGCCTGGACATGAGGAGAGAGCAGGGCCTTGTCAGATGCTCATCTGATGCTCCTGGAAGTTGGTTTGCAGAATCAGACCCCAAAGTTCTCACTTTTTAGAGTCTATTTTTATAGAAATTTCTTCCTATGCCAGTCTATGGGAATTGCTTCATCATGCTGTTGCTGAATCAATCAGCAGATAGCACATTCCTGACGGCTCCCTGCTGCTAGATGTTATCTTGTTCTTTGGTTCTCCCATTCTTGAGGCTGTTGGGTGGATTCCAGTCTGCCCTCTGGGGGGTCCTCTGGTTATTTCCACTTGTTGCCTTCTTCAGCTGATGGACACTGGATTCTTAGGCTGGCACCTCTCTGATCATTCAGTTATTATCCACACCAAGCATCCATCCACATACATCCTCTATCTCTATTTTAATCACAATTGTTAATACAACAAAAGGGTGGGGAGTCTCTGGGTGCTGTTTCTGTTGTTAGAGTATTGCTTTGAGTCTCTCTCTCTGTGAATTGCTTTGAGAACAGATTCTGTCTTAGAATGTACTAACACAATTAGCAGCTTGCAAGTTTCACACATAGAGGGAGAGAAACAGTACCAAAAACCAAGAAACCTCTTAATTAGTAATACCCTGGAATTTAAACTATGGGGAATCAAACTCATTTGTAATTTTAATACAGAACTTCTTTAATATGATCCAACATTCTTAATTTAGAATGAGGAGCATACTGAGTTGCTGTAAGTATACTAGCAAGTTGCTCTTTGACTGTTTCATGTTCCTTACTGAGCTATATTTTTTCTTTCAGAGAATGTCAGTTTGCTGTTTAAATTGTACTGCTTGATGGTGATGACCCTGGTGGCTGCAACGTACACTGTAGCTCTACGATACACGAGAATAGCAGAAACAGAACTCTACTTTGCAACCACAGCTGTGTGCATTACAGAAGTTATCAAGTTATTCCTAAGTGTGGGTATTTTGGCCAAGTAAGTATGAGTGCTAACCACTGCTGGAACTGCATTCTCATTCTTCTTCTCACACACATGCAGATATATATACATACACGCATATGGACATGAGGGTCTCAGCTAGCTCTCTTTTTATATGCCGTACTTGTGAAGCTGGGCAGGAGCGGCATTGAAAAATAATGCTGTGAAAGAATCAGTTTAAAGCATGTCAGAGCTTGTGAACTTTTTTCTGAATCACTTCTGTAAACCTCACAATATGCAGGTGTGTCCGTTTGCATTTTTCTCACCCCTGGATTTGTGCTGGAAATGGTCCACCTTGATTATCATGCACATTGTAGGGAGAGTGGTCACTTTAGATAAGCTATTACCAGCAGGAGAGTGAGTTTGTGTGTGTGGTTCTTGGAGGGGGGTGAGGGAGTGAGAGAACCTGGATTTGTGCAGGAAATGGCCCACCTTGATTATCATACACATTGTGAAGAGAGTGGTCACTTTGGATGGGCTGTTACCAGCAGGAGAGTGAGTTTGTGTGTGGGGGGGTGGAGGGTGAGAAAACCTGGATTTGTGCTGGAAATGGCCCAACTTGATGATCACTTTAGATAAGCTATTACCAGCAGGACAGTGGGGTGGGAGGAGGTATTGTTTCATGGTCTCTGTGTGTATATAATGTCTTCTGCAGTCTTCTGCAGTTTCCACGGTATGCATCCGATGAAGTGAGCTGTAGCTCACGAAAGCTCATGCTCAAATAAATTGGTTAGTCTCTAAGGTGCCACAAGTACTCCTTTTCTTTTTGCGAATACAGACTAACACGGCTGTTACTCTGAAAACTATAAAGCATGTATTCTAATCCTTTAATCATTCTTGTGGCTCTTCTCTGAACCCGCTCCAATTTATCAATATTGTTCTTGATTTGTGGGCACCGGAACCGGGTACAGCATTCAAACAGCAGTCGCACCAGGGCCAAATACAGAGATAAAATAACCCCTCTACTCCTTGAGATTCCTGTTAATGCATCCCAGGATCGCATTAGCTCTTTTCGCCACAGTGTCACATTGAGGGCTCATGTTCAGCTGATTATCTACCACAACCCCCAAATCTTTGCAACCTCTTTAGTATGCAAAAGAAATGCAGCTGGTATATAAATTCAGTGTTATCGCAAGATAACTGAGATATTTGCTTACATTTCAGTTTTTGTTAATTTAAAAGATCCAGCAAAAGTTTTTTTTAATTAATATGCATAGTATCTGCAGTAATATTAGCTTGAATTAAAATTTATAATATTTATTAATGTTGGTGCTTCAGTGTATCAACTGATCACCCAATGGATTCAGAAAGCAGTCTGCTCCCTTGGTGTGCATTTTGTGTCTTTGTCTGAAGCAGCCAGTGCTGATCACTGTTAAAGTACAGGACACCAAATAAGATAAACCAGGGTTCTGTTCCAATATAGAATTTATGTAATTAAGTACACTTGCTGTAGTTCTCTACTGTTTGCATTTTTGGCGTTGTATGTTCAAGTATGAAATGTTACTTTAAGCTTTGAATAAATGACAGATGACTGCCTTTTGAAATGGAGACGACTTACAGTTCAAGCTGTGTAATTATTTATTTTGCCTATAATTATGGGAATAAAATGAACCTGGCTTACTCCTGGCCACCTAAACTCTGAATTAGTAATTTGTTCAGATTCCCACATGATTTATAGCTTCTTAGAGTTGGGACTCGAAAAGCCAAACTGACTTGCATTCTAATTTTATTTGGGATTACACATTTTGAACAAATACATTCATACATATTACAAGCTTGATTATCATTTATATCTCTCTCATATCCAGTCCCATGAAAAACACAGAATAAGTTTCCAAGATGAATGTACAGAAGCATCAAGGATGTTGAATTAGAGCCAAAGCACTTTATTTACTTTCTCATATGTGCCTTGGTTTTGCAGTATGTGTGATTAAGATCTGTTGTGAGATCTTTGTACTCCTTGTGCCAGTGTTGTGAGTGAAGGATGAAGTTTCTTTATTAACTTTTAATTTTTACACTTTTTGTGGGTTTAAGTCTATCTAGGTGTGCTCACAGTGTCTAATTTAACTTTAAATTACAATGTCTAATTCAGAATATTTTTGTTTTTTTATTTTCTCCCGCCCAACTCAGATAAGAGGTCTCACAGAAGGACTGCATATCTGAACCCGTAATATTCAAATATAATCAAATATTGAGTGTGAATAATGAAAACAGTTGCTCCTGTTCTCAGAAACGAGAGTGTTTAAAGGGGCATCATTTATTTTTCATTACTGAAATTCCATGCCAAATGTCAAAAGTACACGAAAACTCTGTTGTTTAATCACCAGGCCCCTGCTACCATGCCCCCCCATCACGAAAAATTTCTTAGGCACCTCACACTAAGATTTAGAGAAGTTCCTACTCTTCAATACAATCTGGATGGAACAGATGGAGGAAAGGGGAAACATAACAAGCAAAATGACAGTTTGGCATGTGTCTTGTTAAGTTGTTAATTACGTTTCAGTAGTCTGTCCATTACACTTACCCAGTATTTCAGCTGAGTTTATTTTTTTCTGTGTATAAATAGTAACTATTTCAGCCTCTGGCTACATGTATATAAACTAGAAAACACCTATCCAATGAAACAGAACTAAATCGAGACAATGTCAGCTCAAGAAAACTCAACTGTCTTCTAACTACGAAAGAAAGTATGGTCAGCTGTAATAAGTATGTTGTGCTCCCTTCCTCTTAACACAAAATCCTGGCATGTGAGGTCATTTTTGTGTGTGTGTGTGTGGGGGGGGGGGGGGGGGGAGTGGGTGTAAAGATTTCTCCTAAATTGTAAAACAAACTGCAGGTTTTTTTTCTGTAGTGAAGTGGTTGGTACTCACAAGAGATCCTTCCTTTAAGTGGTATGATTTGTTTAATCATTTACATCAGTAACTTCGCTGGAATACAACCACTGTCTAATTTTGGTTCATCGTATTACTGCTATAATTTAACTTTGAGTGATCAGCCAAGCAATATACTATCCTTTGGACCTGATCATTCATGCTTAAGTACATTATTTTGTAATAGTACAGTACTGTATTAGAATTGAACAAAGGTAGGTGCAATTCTATCCTTTTTTTTCTTATTTAACAGCCTGCTTTTAATAAACAAAATGTGTGATATATTGTGGGATACCATCATATAAAAGGTCAGGCTTTTGTGGTATTTTTCCACATTTATTCTAACAGTTAAACGTTACTGTAAACAGAGCATAGTTAATGTAGATAATTCTTTAGAAACAGAAATCTTCTTCCTGGTCTGGATCGTACAGTGCCAGGCAATGTGATGTGCTGTTTGAGGAATAATACCAAGAAACCTCATATTACATTAGATCCTTGTGTAATGTTTTGTTCCACAGTATAAACTTACCGTGTGGTGCTGAGCTGCAGCATCTCTTCCTGTGCCTTTGGCACCATAGCTCTGCCTAGAACACTGCTTGCCCATAGTAGTATTTGGAGAGGCAGAGTACAGGTACAGGAGGGAAGAGGTGCTCTCTAGGTCTGATTAAGGGCTTGTCTAGGAAGGTTAATCTGAATTAATTTAAATGTAAATTTAAAGCGGATTAATTAAACAGCACTAAACCCCTTGTGGACACTTTTATTCAGAATTAAAATGGCCTTAATTTGGTTTATCTTAATTCACTTTGTAAATTACACCAGAGGTGGGACAACTCAGAATCAGAAGAGTGCAAGGGTAGGTTAAAGCCACAGTAGCCCCTCCTTCCCTGGGGTTGAGAGTTCTGTGCTGAACCTCTTAAAGGCACAGCCCAGAATCTCACCCAGAGGCTGCAGGAGATTTGGAAAATCACAAAAGAAATTTGAGACGAATCCAATATTAGTAGCAAGAAAGAGCAACTCTGTGTGTATACTTAGCGCTGTATACTTAGTGTGTATACTTAGGGCTGAGCAACTAATGTTATTGAAACTCTCTGTAGGGCCAACCTGTTGCTGAGAATTCATGTGTTAATGCGACTGACCTTTATCATTCCAAAATCTGCTCCTGGCCCCTAATGGTTTGTACTTGCTGGGAACCAAATTGATTTTCAGTGTACTTTTTTTAATTAATTGAAGATTCCAAAAGCATGTTTTTAAAGACCTTCCAAAGAACTCTGTTCATGAATCTCACTGTAAATGAGTCATCAAATATGGTTGTGCTAAAACCTTTTATTTTGCAGAGAAACTGGAAGCCTGGGTAGGTTGATGACATCTTTAAGAGAAAATATATTAGGCAGCCCGAAGGAATTGCTAAAATTAAGTGTTCCATCTGTGGTGTATGCGGTCCAAAACAACATGGCTTTCTTGGCTCTTAGCAATTTGGATGCAGCAGTCTACCAGGTAACTGGCATTATTATGGTTAGGAACCAAAACACAGAATCCCGATTTTTACTCATTTTCAGGTTGTAGGTTTGTCTGCTTTAATGAGTTGTAACACCTTAGAATTTAATTATTATTATTATTCAAGCACTGAAAAGTGCTCATTAAAAGACACACATCAGGACAGACACTGAAAGACAAGATGTACTGGGAGGCCCAGAGGCAGGAGATGCTGTATTTATTTTTCATCAGGAAATCTATTTTTTCTCTTATGATTGAGTGTCTTGAAGAAAAGACAAATTTTTAGGAGGTATTTAAATAAGAGGATGGGGGGGCCTGGTATGTAATGTAAGAAAATGCAATGACAGGAATCTTTGTAAGTTTGTATGAACTGAGATTTACACATTTGTGTGAAAATTGGTGGTTGCATTAGTAATGGGGGAAAATCCCATCTCTTGTAAACAGTGATTTATTATTGGCATCATGTGGCATTGTGTGTAGCTACACTTTAAAAAGCTGATTACCACACACTTGCCAAATTCAAGAAAGAAGTAAAACCTGGAGCACATCAAGTGATACAATCTGTAATTTACAGTGCATATGAATAAGGCATGAATTTTGGTAAATCCCTAAAACAGCCTTGCCATCTTCTATGTTTTTGTGTTCAGTTAGAACCAAGTTTTGTTCAGTGTTTTATCATGTTATTTATGTTGCTTAGCACACTTCTGGAGGGTGCTTAAATATTGTGATGATGTGGGTGGTATAAGAACCTTTATAGAAGGGAATAATTCATGTGTAGTTTAAGTTGAAAAGTAGAACCCTAATTATGTTTGTTACTGTTAAACTTTGAAACCATGTATTTAGATTTAATAGTGGAAGGAATTGCGATTAAACCTTTGTTGTAAGTAAATTCCCCCCCCACAAACCTGTCTTATTGTTAAAGTAACTCAATTTGTTAATATAACCCTTATGCAAACTACATAAGAAAAGAAATAACCCCCCATCCGAAAACTTAAAAATTAAAATATTTTGAAATAATGAGGTAAGGTACTTGTATAAAATATTCTACTATCCTTACCGTGTGTTAATCACAATATTGATATTTAAAAATTCACCATATGCACTTCATAATCAACCAATTTAATCAGCCAATAAAAAGTAAACCCATTAACTGCGATGGAGTCATTCCAGATTCACATGTTTGTAATTGCAAATGACATTTAGCCTGTAATGAGGCACGGAATTAATATATCGGAGTATGAAATACTATATGCTGATGTCAGTGTATAGCTGAGTTCAGTATTCTATCTGTTGTGGTTTTGATGGAGTTCATGTAACCATATGCTATTTGCCGTTTTCCCTTTTTTAGGTGACATATCAGTTGAAGATCCCATGCACAGCCTTATGTACGGTCTTAATGTTAAACCGTTCCCTAAGTAAATTGCAGTGGTTCTCTGTCTTTATGTTGTGCGGTGGAGTCACACTTGTTCAGTGGAAACCTGCTCAGGTTACAAAAGTACAGGTAAGCCTTATCACCTGGATACCTTCTCTGGACATTTCATCAGAAATAGCAGGCTGCCTTGAGCCACTCCACCTATCTATTTCACTCACTGTATGGTGGCTGTGGAGTATTTGTAATAATGTGTGCCAGGTGCATCACAATTGTGTATCGATTTCCTTTTTGCGGCCACGCTGTTTCACAATGTAAAATGTTAGTTTGATCATCTGTTCAAATTCAGTGGTCCCCAAACTGTGGAGTGCACCCCCGGAGGCGGGTGCGGAGGAACGTTTTGGGGAGGGGCGTGGTAGCCTTCAGCCCTGTTCTGCCCCCCGCTCTGCTCCGTCCCCAGCTCCCAGCTGCGGCTCCACACCCAGCTCCTGGCTGCAGCTATGCTCCCCGCCCCCAGCTGCGGCCCCAGCATTGGCCCTAGCTCCCAGCTGGCCATGGCCCCAGACCCACTCCTGTCCCAGCCTCAGCCCCTGTCCCTGACCATGGCCCTGTTCCCAGCCCTGGCTCCCAGCTGTGACCTGTGGGGAGGAGTGGGGGACGGACAAGGGTAAGGGGGAGCACGAGAGAAAGTTTGGGGACCACCGCTTGCTTCTTCGAGAGATGTCCCTGTGGGTGCTCCACTCCAGGTGATGGTGCGTCTCTGCGCCTTTGCTCTGAGAGTTTTATAGCAGTGCCCGCATGGGTCACGCACACGCGGTGCCTGGCTTGCATGACGTTGGCGCTTCATCTAGCTCACGCGCGATCCGGACTCCTCAGTTCCTTCTCAACTGTCCCCGGCCTGTGACGGAGCTCAGCAATCCCGTTAAAAACCTTCGTTTCAAATAGATAAGTCTAGATAAATTAGTTAGTTAGGATAGGTATCAGAGGAACAGCCGTGTTAGTCTGTATTCGCAAAAAGAAAAGGAGGACTTGTGGCACCTTAGAGACTAACCAATTTATTTGAGCATGAGCTTTCGTGAGCTACAGCTCACTTCATCAGATAGTTTAGACAATTATTATTTTATATTATATTATATTATATATTATATAATATATATTATATATTATATTATATATTATATTTTATATTATATTAGGATAGTTTAGACAAGTTAAGTTTCAGTTATTAGAGTTACGTCCCCTATTTTAAAAAAAAAAAGGTTTATTTTTCCATCCCTTAGTACAGTTAGTATTAGGTTAGGAAAATGCATGATTCACCAGGATTTAAAAGACGCACAACGTGCAGAGAGGCGATGCCTGTGTCAGATGGACACACTTAATGTGTCCGTTGCCTGGGGGAAAGCTCACATTCCTCCGAAATGTGCCCACTGTAACAAATTGAAGGCTAGGGCCTGAAGGGATAGAGACCTGAGACTTAAACTCATCTTGATGGAGAAATCCTTAAAACCAGCCTCCGACCTGGGGCAGGAACCCTCTTCCTAGCATAAGTCACCGGTCTCCTCACCGCCAAGGTCCCCGAAGGCCAAACAACCCCCAAAAAAACCCCGGCCATCCTCTTCACCCCATAGAGTGCAGAGAAACACAAAACAGTCACCGACCAAGTCGCTCTCATTGGTGCCTCCTGCACCGTGCGGCACTGTCCGTGCGGCGGCTGCCAGCGGAAGCCAGGGCTGTGGTGCCGAGGCTAAAGCTCTAAGCTGCCCGCCTCCACCACGGCACTGTTGGCAGCTCCAAAGGAGATGGCACAAACAGCCACTCCTATCTCCGTGCCACAGCCCAGTGCTGCTACCGCAATGGTGCCGACACAAACTGCACCAGATCAGCACACTGTACCCTCCAATGCAATCGACACCGAGGCTCTTGGCACCACGCCATTTGCAGCACCCCGAGGATTTGTTGGTCTCCTCGACTCTGGAGTCCCCTCTCTTATGCACCGATGTCTCACGGGGGGCCAGCGGTACCACACCAACATTTATCTTCAGTAGCATCCCATTTTTTCGAGCGCTGAAGATGAGGAGGAGCTGAAGATGAAAACCAGTCCCCCTGCTCCAGTGCTGATATTGTAGTTGTTAAGGTGACCATCTTGAACTGCTGCTTTCTCCCAAACTTGTTGAGTTGCCTGAGATCGAGGATAGGTCACCAGCCGCCATTTTTCTTTTGTGTTAAAAAGTAGTGGGATTAAAGTCCCTTCCCCCGTGTTGTGCAGGAACAGTCTCCACTGCCCCTAATTGGAGGAAATGATCTACCTCCTGGTGTAGCAAATGTTCGCGAGAGGGGTCCTGAAGAGGGACTGGGAGGGGAGATGGGAGGGGAAGTATAGATAGGAAAGGAATGGTATAAGCCCATCTGGATGACTTCTGGGGCCCATTTGTCCGTGGTGATGGCGGACCGTTTCAGGTAGAATGGGAGCAAACTGTCTCCAAGCAGATGGGTGGATGGTGTAAGTGCTGGAATGTGGGGGAGGTCTTCGAGACCCTCGACCAAGCCTTCAAATTTGTGTATTAGAGGTTGAGATGCCACTGGTTGTGGAGGGCATCGTCGTTATGGTCTTTGTCTGTTGGTGGTGGTGGTGGTGTTCATAAGGCCTCTGGTGTTGCTGTGTGTATGTTGGGTATCTATTCCTCTGATATGGTTGATACCTGTATTGTCTCCTTCTTATAGCAGGTGTATGAATGCTGAGGGTCCGGAGAATGGCCTGCAAGTCCTTTATAGTGTGCAGTACCTCAGTGATTTTGGCTGCAACAATTTTTCTCCGTTGAAGGGGAGATCTTCGACTGTATTTTCTATCTCCCATGGGAGTGCTGAGGAGTTAAACCACCAGGCTCATTGCATGACCAAGGTTGTAGCAATGGACCTGGCGGCCATATCAGCAGCCATGCGTGTAATCATCTGTCCTTCAGAGACCAGAGATTTAAATTGTTGCCTCTTTTCCTCTAGGATCTCGTTAATAAAGCCTATAAATTTGCCATAGTTACTGTGGTCGTATTTGGCAAGTAGTGCCGTGTAATTTGCCACTCTGACCGGAAGCGTGGATGAAGAGTATACTTTGCGGCCAAATAGGTCCAACCTCTTATTCTCTTTATTGAAGGGGGTGGATCGAAAGTGCTATTGTTTGCCCCTTCGATTGGCCACTTCCATTACCAGCGAGTTGAGTGCTGGGTGTAGGAATAGAAATTCCAATCTCTTTGAGGAAACATAATATTTTCAGTCTGCCCTTTTGCAGGTAGGAAGTATGGTGGATGGAGTTTGCCACACAGTCTTGGCGGGTTCCATGATAACCCCACTGATTGGCAATGCTGTCTTGGAGAAGGAAGATGTCTGTAAAATATCCATTAGCTCATGTTGAGTTTCCAGCACTTCCTCCAGAGCAATTTTAAGCTCATTGGCCACTCTTTTGAATAAGTCTTGGATGTGGGTAAAGTCATCTGCTGTGGTTGGAGGCATAGTAGCCTTGTCCAGTGAGGAGGATGGTTTGTTGTTGGTTGGTGAGGTGTCGGAGCAGTGTCCTCTTCCTGCTCTGCCAAGGGTTCATCCCCTGTCTCAGTGACTACAGTCTCTGAAGGTGGAGGTGGGAATCTGGCATCTTCCCTACATGGGCTGTGGCACCTGCTGTAGGTCTTTTGTAAGATCCCCAGGGATTCCAGTCTGGCCGGTGACCAGCATAGGGCCTGAGTGGTGCCATCCATGGGTGGCCATACCCCGGTGGCATGTCGTGAGCATATGAGGGTTGTGGCCGTAGGGTCCAGTAAGCCATAGGTGTCCCGACTGGGGAGGAATGGAGGAGTTTGAAGCAGACTCCGCAGGAGAGAAGGAACTGAGGAGCCCGGGTCGGGTGTGCGCTAGATGAACCGCCAACATCATGCGAGGCAGGCACCGTGCATGCATGACCCATATGGGCAGCTGCAAAACTCTCCGAGCAAAGGCGCAGGGACCCAACATCACCTGGAGTGGGGCACCTACAGGGGGACACATCTTGAAGAACCTCAGTTACTGCACAAGGTGAGTAACCTCATACTGATTGAAACAGGCTTGTTGCTCTGCCATATCCTATGGTTTTTGGAAGAGAAGTGATTGCCACAAGTAGCATAAATTACCACTATCGTAAATTCAATAGCATAGAAAATATTGCAGCAATTCACTTTTTTCAGTAATTGGTGTTGAGTGTACTCTAGTAGTTGGAGCAAAGAGCTGGGAATCAGTAGTAATAATAATATCTGGCTTTTACATAGCACTTTACAAATGGAGGTAAGGGTCATCCCCATTTTACAGATGGGGAAACTGAGGCACAGAGTGGTGAAGTGCCTTGTCCAGTCACCTAGTGGCAGAGCTGGGAATAGAACACAAGTCTCTTTAGTCCCAGTCCAATGCTCTATCCACCAGGCTAAACTGCTTCCAGAGAGCTGCATTTCATTCCTAGTTCTACTGGTGTCTTGTCTTGTGTGACCATGAGCAAGTCACTTAGGCCAGCATCTTTAAAGTTGTGTGCTTAATGTTAGGTACCTAAATCCATACTTTAGGCAGATGAAGTTCCTTCCTTTACCGTGATCATTGTAGGTGCTCAGTCCCCCTGAAAAGGTCACTTAAGTGCCTTCCTGTAGGTGTGCAAATTAAAAGAGTAGCCATAACCATTCTAGTAAACTGAAATATAATGACAATCTGCATACTACTAATGCGTCCTCACATGGGAGTTAAGGGTTAATCTACAAAATACTTTAAAATCTGCAGGTGAACCGTGTGAGTGTAAAAAGTTACTACAAGATTAGAGGAAATAAAGAAACCTCATGTGTCTGAAAAGCTGAGAGATAGGGTTGGTGGTTTGCCTTTGTAATTTGACTTGTGTGTCTCAGTACTTCTAAGGTTAGTAAACTATACTTGGCAAACCAAACTCCATAGTGAAGCATCGGTGAATAGAGCTAGCTAAGCTGTAGGGCAGCGGTGGCTAAGAAACGGTTACTTACTGTAACTATAACCTAACACATTTTCATGTTGTAATAAAATGCTAATATGTGGTGCTCTTAACAAATTGGCTTCTGGAAATAATGACTGTAAATTACTCTAGTTATACAACTAACCTCCTACCTGTTTTGTTTATGATTCATGTTGCAGATGGAGCAGAATCCCTGGTTAGGGTTTGGCGCTATAGCTATTGCTGTATTATGTTCAGGATTTGCAGGTAAAACATTTCTGTATGCAGTTTGTTTTAAAAGAACAGGCCAAGACCTTTCCTCATGGGAAAAACTAAAACATTTCACATCTCTTATATTAACTATACTTATTGATTTACAAGACTGTTTGAGAGTTAAGCAAGGACTTCATCCCCTTCTGCACACAGTTTCCTTCTATTTCCTGTGGTTGTTACACTGGATTTGTGACATCACAATATTTAAATTGCAAAATATAGTGATGTTACGAACCCATGGTTTTGAGTTCAAGGCTGGCTTAAGCAGGAGAGGCGGGCCTGTGAGAGGAAGAGCCCTTCTTCATATATAAATATCTACAGTTATGCAAAAGGAAAATGAGAAAGTGACTTGCTCAGTACAGTTTTTTAAATAAAAACTCCTTTTCCAAGTTTGCTTTGGTGTGAAAGCTCCCTTAAGATTTAGAACAGAAGACCCACATTCTTCTAGGTGTGGAATGGAGTTCATTTCAATTTTAGGGCTGGTTCCGCCTCTGGAATAAGCCCTTCCCTAGTCCTGTGGGTGCAGCTGAAAATCAATGAGAGGCAGCGGGATCAGGTGTAATTTTAGATGGTGAGAGGAGAAGCAGGAAACATAGGAGAAATTCTATAAAAATAGAGTCTTTCCTTGCTGCCTTTTATCCTTTCACCACTACAGGAGCCAGGGAACTGGGAACAAGTGAACTGCCGTTAAAGGATAATTGCAGTTGTGTTTTCTACTGGATAAGTTTACAGGGTTCAGAAGGAATGCTTTCCTGGCTGTAAACTTAGAACTGGTGGAGTCAGTTGCTGCAAATCATACTGGGTTTTTTTTTCAGTTGAATAATTGGTCATGAACCAAGAATTATCACTTCCAACCACTTCTAGTTCTCACCACATGAAGCTTCCCGTGAGGCTCCTCTGGTTGTCACATGTTGTCAAGGCTGAATCCCCACTCTGTCACTCCAAGTGCAGAAGTAGGGCCCGCAACTATTTTAAAAATTAATACTTGCCACTCCAGGCCTGTATTAAACTCCTAAGGTTACAGCTTTTCTCTGGCCTTGGCTTGGTAAACGCTGCTACCACCCAAATGCAAAAAAAACCCCTTGGACCCAGGAAGGAGCACTTGGGAATTCCTCCCTGTGGAGTACCCTCAAGCCCTTTCACCCCCCCACCCGCCGCTCTCCAGAGAAGAGCTGAGAAAGAAAACAAAGGAAATTAGCTGTTGCTACCATCTAATCAAACAACATGCACAAACCTCTTAGGATACCAAAAATCCAATCCTGTTCTTTAAAAAGGTTAATTTTATTAAAAACAAAAAGAAGAAAATACATCTGGAACTTAGGCTTTTGCTAGATTTTAAAAGAGCAATTCCAAAAATCAAGCACCCAAAATAGCTTTCTTGGGAATTCAGCTTAAAGGTTACCAGCAAACAGAAGCATCTGGGATTAGCACAGAGGAGTCCACAAGCCAATCAGAAATAAAAGAAATAACCCTAATCGCATCTAGCTAAGCATTCTGATCTACTTATGCATTTGGAGTTCAGATAAGTAGTTCTAGGCATGATCTGATGATTTATGATCATACCTGGCTTAAGTTGCTTGTAGCATGGCTGCTCTCCCTCCAGACCAGAGAACAACAGACAAAGGGAAAGTTTCTTTCCCGGTTTTAAAAGTTCTACCTTCCCATTAGCTTTTTTGGTCAGCTGCCTACTTTTTTTTTTTATGTGGGGGACTTTTTAACTCTCTACAGGTAAAACAAGTAGAGAACACCTACCAAGAGGGATTTTACAGCTAACTGGCTGGCTGTCCATCAAAGGGAGCTATCCTCCCAACTTTATTTATCACACATGTGCTGATTGCTATATTAGTAGAAAATTAATTCCTTTTGAAAAAAGATCTTTGCAAAACCAGCCTCATTCATAATACAGACCCCCAAAGTGCCTATCTAGGGCTCTAGCAGCCTTCTCCAAAGGGTTAAAAATACAAATAAAAAATTAATTCAGCAGCTATTCCTCAGCCTGAAACCAAAATGCCTTAATCAAGCCAGCATCACCTTCCCCACCTACCTCAGCCATTACCATATCATGCCGTTCCCTCCCCAGCAGCCTGTGTAAATAGGTGGGCCTTGGCAGCCTACCCTGAAGATCAACAAATTCAAACCATTTAGGACCAGAGCGGGGGAGATTCAGAGTTGAGGGACACCTCTCTTCTATAGCGAGAGGGCATCAGGACTAGGTACCTCCCTGACAACAATTATTGCAGTGTAGCATAGGGAAAGATATGGGTAGATCTAAAGCCATTTTGGGCTTTAAAGGTTCAAAACAACACCAAGTTCCACTCAGAAACCATTATGCAGTCACTGTAGAGCCCAGTGCATTGGTATCATGTACTGCCAGTGAAAATAACCACTTAATGAGCTAGCTGATACATTTTGCATTAGCTTCAGTTTCAGGGCTGACCAGGTAGAGTGTGTTGCGCTTGTCTAGCAAAGTCTACATCTGAAAACCAGTTGGAATCTCCTAGCCATACGAAAGTGGAAAAAAAGCTTTCTTTGAAACGATTGCTATTGTGATGATAATAGCAGCTGGGGATCCAGTGGACCTATAAAAATGGTTTTGTCCAATGTAAACTGACAGAATACCTTTTAATAATTCCAGTCTATATCAAGAATAGCTTCTCCTGAGTGCTGTCCAGTCCATCACCCCCAGTAATATTGCTCAGTTGATTTGTGCTTTTTGTGTGCATTCAGATGTTTTGTACTAAATCTCAAGTATTATATCATTGGTCTGGAAAGCAGCCTCAGACAGTTGTGTTCTTCCGAGATGGTAACATTTATGGGTCATGTTGACATCAAAAGCAGCTTATTGAGCAGTTGATTAAAAAATAATTCAGACTTAGTTTTCCAACTGGCTGCAATGAATTATGTCTCAGTGGGCGGAAAGCAGAACAATGAGACCACTGTGAATTTAACAACTACTGTATCAATCACAGACTTTGGTTTTTTTGCTCTGCTCTTACAGTATATTTCTCTGCAATGATGTCCAATTTTCCTGTTTAATTTTTGTATTTACACATGTGCAGTTATAAATCTGCTCTGTAGCCTCTGTATGTCTCATACATACTTGCTATGTTTTTTGTATTTTTTTAAATTCTGATGGTCTTAAACACTAATTCTATTCTTCATCAGTAAACTAGTAGCGTGGCCCTGATTTTTCAGAGAAGCTAAACATCTCTAGCTCCCTTTGACTTCAGGTGGTGTGGTGGGTGTCTAACGCTGGTGAAAGTTATGCCCCTAATTTCTGTTATACAAGCACTTCCTCCTCTTCCCATTTCTCTTCATTTACCCATCCCATCCTGGTTCAGTGGTGACGTGAGGGCAGCAACTAGGAATAAATACAATAATTAACAAATGGAAAAGGGAAAGAGAGAACAGTCAGGATGAATTAATCATAGAATCATAGAATATAAGGGTTGGAAGGGACCCCAGAAGGTCATCTAGTCCAACCCCCTGCTCGAAGCAGGACCAATTCCCAGTTAAATCATCCCAGCCAGGGCTTTGTCAAGCCTGACCTTAAAAACCTCTAAGGAAGGAGATTCTACCACCTCCCTAGGTAACGCATTCCAATGTTTCACCACCCTCCTAGTGAAAAAGTTTTTCCTAATATCCAATCTAAACCTCCCCCACTGCAACTTGAGACCATTACTCCTCGTTCTGTCATCTGCTACCATTGAGAACAGTCTAGAGCCATCCTCTTTGGAACCCCCTTTCAGGTAGTTGAAAGCAGCTATCAAATCCCCCCTCATTCTTCTCTTCTGCAGGCTAAACAATCCCAGCTCCCTCAGCCTCTCCTCATAACTCATGTGTTCCAGACCCCTAATCATTTTTGTTGCCCTTCGCTGGACTCTCTCCAATTTATCCACATCCTTCTTGAAGTGTGGGGCCCAAAACTGGACACAGTACTCCAGATGAGGCCTCACCAATGTCGAATAGAGGGGAACGATCACGTCCCTCGATCTGCTCGCTATGCCCCTACTTATACATCCCAAAATGCCATTGGCCTTCTTGGCAACAAGGGCACACTGCTGACTCATATCCAGCTTCTCGTCCACTGTCACCCCTAGGTCCTTTTCCACAGAACTGCTGCCTAGCCATTCGGTCCCTAGTCTGTAGCTGTGCATAGGGTTCTTCCGTCCTAAGTGCAGGACCCTGCACTTATCCTTATTGAACCTCATCAGATTTCTTTTGGCCCAATCCTCCAATTTGTCTAGGTCCTTCTGTATCCTATCCCTCCCTCCAGCGTATCTACCACTCCTCCCAGTTTAGTATCATCCGCAAATTTGCTGAGAGTGCAATCCACACCATCCTCCAGATCATTTATGAAGATATTGAACAAAACCGGCCCCAGGACTGACCCTTGGGGCACTCCACTTGATACCGGCTGCCAACTAGACATGGAGCCATTGATCACTACTCGTTGAGCCCGACAATCTAGCCAGCTTTCTACCCACCTTATAGTGCATTCATCCAGCCCATACTTCCTTAACTTGCTGACAAGAATACTGTGGGAGACCGTGTCAAAAGCTTTGCTAAAGTCAAGAAACAATACATCCACTGCTTTCCCTTCATCCACAGAACCAGTAATCTCATCATAAAAGGCGATTAGATTAGTCAGGCATGACCTTCCCTTGGTGAATCCATGCTGGCTGTTCCTGATCACTTTCCTCTCATGCAAGTGCTTCAGGATTGATTCTTTGAGGACCTGCTCCATGATTTTTCCAGGGACTGAGGTGAGGCTGACTGGCCTGTAGTTCCCAGGATCCTCCTTCTTCCCTTTTTTAAAGATTGGCACTACATTAGCCTTTTTCCAGTCATCCCTGACTTCCCCGGTTCGCCACGAGTTTTCAAAGATAATGGCTCTGCAATCACAGCCGCCAATTCCTTCAGCACTCTCGGATGCAACTCGTCCGGCCCCATGGACTTGTGCCCGTCCAGCTTTTCTAAATAGTCCCTAACCACCTCTATCTCCACAGAGGGCTGGCCATCTCTTCCCCATTTTGTGATGCCCAGCGCAGCAGTCTGGGAGCTGACCTTGTTAGTGAAAACAGAGGCAAAAAAAGCATTGAGTACATTAGCTTTTTCCACATCCTCTGTCACTAGGTTGCCTCCCTCATTCAGTAAGGGGCCCACACTTTCCTTGGCTTTCTTCTTGTTGCCAACATACCTGAAGAAACCCTTCATAATTAGAAATTATGAAGCAAGAAAATTGATATGGGAAGCTAAAGACAGAAAAATCCATGGTTGTAAGGACAATAACAAATTTTCTCCACTATATCATGAGTAAAAGAAATCTTAACAATGGTATAGCCCAGGGGTGGACAAACTTTTTGGCCCAAGGGCCATATCTGGATGGGGAAATTGCATGCAGGGCCATGAATGTAGGGCTGGGCAGGAGTTGGGGTTTGGGAGGGGGTGCGGTGTGCAGGAAGGGGCTCAGGGCAAGGGGTTGGGATGCATGAGGGATGCGGGGTGCAGGAGATGGCTCAGGGCAGGGGGTTGGAGTGCAGGAAGGGTGTGGTGTGCGGCAGGGGGCTCAGGGAAGGGGTTGGGGTGCAGGAGGGGCGCGGAGTGCGGGAGAGGGCTCAGGGCAGGGGGTTGGGGTGCAGCAGGGGGTTCAGAGCAGGGGATGGGGTGCAGGGTGTGGCAGGGGGCTCAGGGCATGGGGTTGGGGGGTGCAGGAAGGGTGTGGCATGCGGCAGGAGGCTCAAGGAAGGGGCTTGGGGTGTGGGGTGCAGGAGGGGTTCGGGTTGTGGGCTCTGGCCCGGTGCCACTTACCTGCAGCGGCTCTGGGGTGGCAACAGCGTGCTGTGGGGCTAAGGCAGGCTTCCTGCCTGCCCTGGCCCCGTGCCGCTCCCGGAAGCGGCCGGCACGATGTCCCTGCAGCCCCCGGTAGGGAGCGGGGGTGGCAGAGGGCCTCGTGCACTGCCCTCGCCTGCCTTAGCCCCACTGCGCCACGGGGGTGGCAATCCCGCAGGTCAGATCCAAAGCCCTGATGGGCCAGATCCGGCCCGTGGGCAGTAGTTTGCCCACTCCTGGTATAGCCCATTACTAGGTGAAGATGCTAAAATTGGTAATGCAGCAAAAGCACAAGTGTTCAATAAATATTTCTGTTCTGTATTTGGAAAGCAGTAGGATAATGTATTTGTGTCATGGATGATGAAATACTTTCCAAACTATTAGTAATTAAGGAGCATGTCAGACAACATCTACTAGGGATAAACATTTTAAAACGAGCAGACCTGGATAACTTGCACCCAAGAGTCTTGAACGAGCTGGCTGAGGAGCTCTCCAGCCCACTGATGTTAATTATCAATACATCTCGGGATACAAAGGAAATTCCGAAGACTGGATGAGTTCTGTTGTGCCAGTATTCAAAAAAGGGCAAGCGTGGTGAACTGGGTAACCATAGGCTGGTTAGCCTGCCATCAACCCCAGTCATAATTATGGAAAACCTGATAGGGGATTCAGTTAATAAAGAATTAAAGGATGCCAGCTGACATGGTTTATGGAAAACTGAACTTGTCAAACGGGTTTAATTTGTTGATGAGGTTACAAGTTTGGTGGAATAAAGATAACTGCATAGATGTAATACTAAGTCAAACACCTTACAAAATTGTTAGAACCACTCAAGCTTCTCATTCAAAAAGAAGCATTATACAATATCAAAGCACAAGTTAAAGGGGTTAAGACCTGGCTAGCTAACATACCTCAGAGTATTTGTCAATGGGGCTCATCATTGAATTGGGGTGTTTCTAGGGGCATTCTGCAAGGATCGGTACTAGGCTGATGCTATTCAACATTGTCGTCAGTGGTTTGGAAGTGGGGGGTGTTAGGGGGCTTATTCCTTCACCCACTCACTTCCCTGGTCCTTCTCGCATGAACAGAGAGCAACAATACCCGAAGTCCGAAGGTGCAAACAATTCAATGTTTATTAGGGTGAACTTCCAGCAAGCATGATTCCAGTTTCCTTCCTTAGTGTCCCCCTTCCCAGCTCTGACACCACAGAGCATTACCTGTGTCCCTGATCCCGTTCCCCACCTTAGCAAAACATGATTCCAATTCCCCACCCCCATTCCCTGTTCCCATTTCCCCCCTTAGCAAAACATGATTCCAATTCCCCACCCCCATTCCCTGTTCCCATTTCCCACCCCCACACACTTCCTGATTGACTGCATACTATATAGTAAAACTTGAGTTCTGCTTAACTCTACCTTAACCAATCATTTTCCTGAAATTTAACTAACCAATCCTAACATATTGTAACATGATTATGTAACCAATTATATCCCACCACCTTAATTAGTTTACACCCAGCAAAATTAATTATACAGGGGACAGAAACAATCACAGAACCAGACAGAGATCATGCAAATAAACAATAGCAAAGTGGGAACTAGAATGACAAAACAATACAGAAGTGAGGATTTCACATCCCTACTATTGATAAGTGAGTTCTTGCCAGACAGGATGCTATCAAACTAAGTTTTCTTTTACCTCTTCTAGGCACTTCCTTTTCTCTGGAGGCAATAGGCATTATCAGGACAGGATTGTATTCCTAACAGCCCAATAGCACCTTCTTTCAATGTGACTAGTTTGGAACCTGAGGATATGACCGTTGGCTTCCCAGCTTATGGCTGCCTCTGCTGCTTAGCCAAAGGCCTTAGCCTAAGAACAGGGCCTCAGACTGTCACAGTAAGAGAAGGCCCTTACACTGGCAGACAGTGATTTTGATTCTTTCTTTTATACCTCTAGAACTAGCTAAGTGATAAGAATACACCTAAATTCATAGAATCATAGAATCATAGAATATAAGGGTTGGAAGGGACCCCAGAAGGTCATCTAGTCCAACCCCCTGCTCAAAGCAGGACCAATTCCCAGTTAAATTCTTAGAGTATAGGCCTTTACAGACAGGCCTGAATATCTGTATCCTAACAAAAAGAAAAGGAGGACTTGTGGCACCTTAGAGACGAACAAATTTATTTATCTGCCTTTCCCTGCTTGATTTAACAGCCCTTTAGCACCCATTATTGTGCTAAAGGGCTGTTAAATCAAGCAGGGAAAGGCAGAACAAGAACCAATGGCTAGAAGCTAAGGCCCAACAAATTCAAATTAGAATTGGGACATGATTTTTTTTTCAGTAAGGGTGATTAGCCATTGAAACGAAGAACCAAGCGAAGTGGTAGATTCTCCATTTCATCATATCAAGACTGAATGCCTTTCTGGAATGGGTTACCTAGGGAGGTGGTGAAATCTCCTTCCTTTGAGGTTTTTAAGATCAGGTTTGACAAAGCCCTGGCTGGGATGATTTAGTTGGGGATTGGTCCTGCTTTGAGCAGGGGTTTGGACTAGATGACCTCCTGAGGTCCCTTCCAACCCTGATATTCTATGATTCTAAGATATGCTTTAGCCAAGCAAGTTACTGGGCTAAATATACTGATAATAGATTAAATGTAATGGTTTGTGATAGACAGGTGGTCAACTAGAAGATGATATAATGATCCCTTCAGGCCTTAAACCTCTGTATATCTACAAACCTTTAAGAGTGATTTTTGCATTCACCTTTATTGAATTCTCTCTTTTCAGGAGTCTATTTTGAGAAGGTATTAAAGAGTTCAGATACTTCCCTGTGGGTGAGGAACATTCAGATGTACTTGTCTGGGATTGTGGTGACTTTAGTTGGTGTTTACATGTCAGAAGGAGCTCAAGTTCTTGAGAAAGGATTTTTCTATGGCTACACATATTATGTCGGGTTCGTCATCTGTAAGTATCTTTCAGTTCTGGTCCCCTGTGATGTTGCTTCCGACCGATTGATGCAAAACACTCAAATTCAGTAAACACCCTTTAGTGAGTGAGTTTGTAGAGGAAACATTTAGATTTCCTGATAAAAATTAAATAACAGCTTTTGCAGCACATTAACTAATGAATAGAACATCCATAATAATTCTAGTCATGTCCTTTCTGCTAGATGCCATTTAGACAATCTATTTTGCTGTATGTGGTTTTTAAAATTACAGGTTAGCAAGATCAGATCATAGTTCAAACAATCTATACACCATTACTGGGCTAAACAAATTATTTTTACACCAAAACTTTAATAATAAGAATGTCTTATTTGCTTCCCAGTGCTTGCCAGTGTTGGAGGCCTCTACACTTCGGTTGTTGTTAAATACACAGACAACATTATGAAAGGGTTTTCTGCAGCAGCAGCCATTGTCCTTTCTACTGTTGCATCGGTGATGCTGTTTGGTTTACAGATCAGTAAGTTGTTTTTGGCTAATATTTGAAGTGACCTCATATCCTTGTTTCATCCTCCCGAGTAGGCTGGTTACAGTGCATGTTATAATACTTTACAGTCTACTGTGGGGTGGTTGTTTTTTTTTTAACCTTGGCATGTAATTTTTAGGACTGATGTTGGCTAGCGCTCAAGCTGTGTTGTAGCATATTTCCTGGATATTATCGTCCTATGTGTCCTAGTAATAGTATGCTTCGTGTTCATGGGGGGGGAAATTCAGATTTGCCCCTCCCTCTCCCAACATCCCTCACTTGCTACTGAGAAAGGCTGAATATCAAAACCTTTCATTTTCATGTTCACCAGAGGTTGGAACTCTTTCATGTTCCAACCTCCGTTCTGTCAGTTTCTGATCCTGTGGCTAATGCAAAAATTAGTATTACTGTATCTCTGGCAGATGTTGAGTTGCTGACAGTAGCTAATAAAGGAACTGCTACAATATTTTCATGCAGCATTCACTAACTCTGAGCCAGTCCTAAGTTAACTTCTCAATTATTCCTGAAACAGGAATTCCCAGTCCACAGTAGTTGTTCTATAGAGTGCTGTAATGACTGTTACTGTCCTGTTTACACTGTGCCATGACTAGCCTGTGTGCATCAGGCAAACCCCAGCGTAGTGGTTTAAGGACAGATCTTACATCCTTCACTGCAGAGACAAGGTAATATCTTTTATTGGACGAGTTTCTGTTGGTGAGAGAGACAAGCTTTCAAGCCACATAGAGCTCTTCAGGTCAGCTCTGTGTGGCTCGAAAACTTCTCTCTCTTACAAACAGAAGCGGGTCCAGTTAAAGATATTACCTCACCCACCTTCTCTCTCTAATGTCCTGCGACCAACGCGGCTACAACTACACTGCATCCTTCACCGCGGTCAGAATTCTGTCTAAGGTGACATTTGCCCAGCAGGAAGAGGCAGAGGGCAGTGGTGCAAGAACTTAAGAATGTGAGGGGTGGTATGACTTAGTGAGGTGAAACTTGCAAGGGAATTTTGCATAAAGTGAAAAGCTTCCCAAGAGTTAGATCTGATGGGCTGTGGAACAGTGCCCCAGGGTGAGTGGTAGAAGCTTGACTGTCATTTTTAAAACTAGACTGGACAAAACACTAGAAAATGCACTGGAGGGAACTTCCTGGAGTGGCTGATCTAACTTCTGTGATAGAACCTCAGTTTTACTAATAGTACTCAAAAGTCAGAATAGATTTGGAAAAGCAAACTGTATCTAGATTACAATTCCAGTTACGGAATATTTTTTGATTAGAGGCCAATCATGGGTTTGTTTTGACCACACTGAATGAGCAGAATCCAGCAGTCACTAAGGAAGAACAAATACAGAATGGTAGGATGTCTGTTTCAGACTTGCTCCTCTGACCTTCACCATATGACTTACAAATTATTAGGATGACAGCTCACGTGTCCGTTAGAGTTGTATAAATTAAGGAGGATGTTGGAATAGTAGACTGTAACTTTCTCAGTTAAGTCTCCCTTGAAAGTTTTATTTTTTTGTTGTCATTTGGAGCTGAGTGTTTAAACAATGTTTTGTTTCCTTCCAGCTATAAGCTTTGCTCTTGGTGCTTTCCTTGTTTGTATTTCTATATACCTGTATGGATTACCTCGACAAGACACCACAAAAATCCAGCCATCATTAGAGACAGTGAGTTTGAAAGAGAAACTTATTAATATGTGATGTATGCCATAACAAAGGACAAGAGACACTGCAAAGGAAAGACACGGGGGAAAAAAACCCTGTTTTTAATTAGCCTTAAACTAGTCATGGAAAGACTTAACTTGGACAGAATAAAAGCAGCAGTTAATTCTGGAAGAAACTGAAGGGTTTTCTTTGGATGCTACAGACTCTCCATTATTGCCAAGCTCCTGAAGAAGCTTGTTCATGTAAGGCATGTTCCTTTCATGTTGGACTGTGAGGAGCCCACCTACCAGCAATGCAGAATGAAGGAATTGAACCTTCTGTTGTATATAAAAGAGGGACATTCTCTCCGACTGTATAGTTGAATGACTATATTGTGCCATTTATGGGCAGAAATACTCAAAGGCTTCAGAAGCTCTATTAAAGGAGATCTCATTACCAAAGCTGCTCCTTGCACTCATTTGGCTCCTGAATTCTGAAAATGTTGGTCTGATTTCCCAAATGTAGGGAAAGAAGAACCTTTCCTTTGACTAACAGGTGTATCGCAGGGGTGGGCAAACTTTTTGGCCTGAGGGCCACATTGGGGTTGCACAACTGTGTGGAGGGCTGGGTAGGGAAGGCTGTGCCTCCGCAAACAGCCTGGTCCCTGCCCCCTATCTGCCCCCCTCAGAATCCCCGACCCATCCAATCTGCCCTGTTCTTTGTCCCCTGATCGCCCCCTCCTGGGACCCCACCGCCTTTTCACTGTGACCTTTTCCTATTCTTTAAAATTCTTCTTATGGTAAAGAAAACCCCCAACAAACAAAATAAGATAAATTTAACTTGACTATAGAGGGGCAATAGCAAAACTGAATGTACGCAAAGGACCTTATTTGGGTTTATTATGCACTGTGATCCTCAGCAGGCCTGGAAAATCCCCTACTGCTAAGTGTTGTCACTGCTATTAGGGAAGACTAGGAAACCCAGCCAGGGGCATCTAAAGGCTAGAAGCCAGTATCTGGGCTCTGAGGCATAGGTGGGGTGGCCTGCAATGGTGGCAGCTGGGTGGTGGAGGCGGCAGCGGGGGGGATTGTCCTGGGCCCTGCAACCCTGAGGGACAGCTCTGCAGGCAGGTGCCCAGCCCCACCTCCTTAATGTCTCTGCAGGCACGCCCAGCCTCCCTGCTCCCCACCTCAGTGATCTGCTGCTGGCTGCTCCCAACAGATGTGCTCCCAACAGATGTGCAGAAGGGGCGTGTTCCCCACAGATTTTTGCTCCCCTATTTTTCTGTGCGGGGCGGGGGGGAGCCAAGAAATCGGCAGAAGGTAGGAATTCTGCACCCCCACAGGGCGTAGACTTCCCCCAGGAGTATACACATTAAGGGATTGATTAGCAGGGGAGCCCTAGGCTTGGTTAAGATAACATGCTCAATGGAGGATAGAAACGTAAATATTAGCTCATGTGTTCCTCTTCCTCATTCTCTGTGGTGCTTGTCTTTCAAGACGAGGAAATGTAGTGACAACTGAGCTGATTCATAAAATGAACTTTCTCCTTTACCCCTCCCTCTGAGGTGAATTGAGCAGCTGTGCAGCTCCATCCATTTTAAGTAGCGCATTAAGAGCTAATCTGGCAGGGGTGGGGGCTGTACTTAGAACCAGTCTTCCAAGTACACAGACGCTTCGATTTTATTCAGGAAACACAGACAAATTCTGGCAGGGCCTTCTATTGCTCGTCATGAAATAGCAATAGGGTAATATGCTAGGCTCCCCTCCTTTCCACTATCATATTGTTTTATGGCACATCTGCTCCAAGGTCGCAACTTGTGCTCGGTGGTTTTATCCTTAGATTAGGATGTGGTTCTCATGTTGCGGTTTCTTCATCTCAAAAAAAAAAAAATCAAAACCACTTCTCAGAGCCATCTTTTCTATTGAAACTGGGGAGAAGTCTCCTGGGGGGCAAAAGGAGGTTTGGCAGCTGGTCCAGGCCATATAGTTGAAGTGGGAACGATCCTAAAGGCAAGGGGAAATCCAGAACAGCCCGTAACAAATCATAGTTTGTATGAACTGCATTGCAGCAGTAGATGAAGCATCTACTGCCATTACACTATTAGGTTTAGATAAATTTTGATTTAATCACTAACAAGGGCTCAAGGTGGGTGGGTGGGAGAGTAAGTAATATTGAACTGGTTTCAGAGTAGCAGCCGTGTTAGTCTGTATTCGCAAAAAGAAAAGGAGGACTTGTGGCACCTTAGAGACTAAAAACATGAGTGAAATAAACTGAAGGGAGGATGCTTTTAGTGAGAGCAAGTGCAAGAGTAGGGACTCAAATGCTTGTGGACATGTGAGGGTGAAACACAATCTGTCTCAAAGCAAAAGCACCCTGCCCCAGCAAAAGAACCAAAACCCTCCCTGATACCTTGCATACCATCCACTAACAGAATCACTGGATATAAATGAGAACTCGGGAGTTACAGAAGATGCCAACAAGGCCAGATGTAAACGGATCGCCATGCTGACCCAGGTGTATGAAAAGAAAAGGGGAGACATCTATCCAATAACTGAAAGCTCTTTTACATGTAGAGAGGAAACGGAAGTACTAGGATTGTAGATCTCAAGTGGAGGAGAGCCTTTGTTCAATGGGGTATACAGTTCAATAGCAATTCTCTTAGGAAAAGGGCAAATTAAGTGCTCCAAGCTGTTGTAACTGGGCAAACATATGACCCTCCCTCATCGATAACAGGGATTACAGCCAACATTTTCAAATGGCTTGAAGCACTATCAAGGGTACAACGTTATGAGTGGCAGTGAGACAGGGAAATGGACAACAGGGTTCTGCCCCATGAGCAGCTGTTAGTACACTTGCCAGAGGCACAGGAGAACACCAAAGACCAGACAAGAAGAGAGTTTGCAGGACTGAAGTAACAATGAGGGTCATAACAGTGGCTGGATTCTCATTAAGAACTTTTACTAAGAAGCTTAAATTTACATTGCAGGAGGCCTTTTCGTTACATCTGGCTTACAGGCGTGATTCCAAGAAGTTTCATTCCATTAGCTAGAACAGAACGTGCAGCCTGGAAGAGGCGGAGTCTTGCCTGCAAAATAAAAGTAACAATCAACTTATGCAGTCACATCATCTGAACAGCAGTTTATACTTCCGTGACCAAGGAGCATAGTCTCAAGGAAAGGGCTAGGAGGAAACCTGTTAAAAATGAAGACAGCTATCTGTGTGTCATCTTTATTTAAAAGGAGTCTGAGGATTAGGGTTTGTTCAACATTATGAAGATACAAAGTGCTGAATACTAGTAGCAGCTCAAGGACTAGAGGAAGCCACTTTCATCCTCCGCCACAATAGCACTGAACAACTGATCTAAGGGTGAAAGTGGTGGAATTTATTCTCAATGTTGTGGAGACTATTCAAGCCAAAGTCACAAACAGGTCTCTAGCCACATCCAGCCTGGCTTCCCTGACCGAGGGAACAAGACCCTGCTGCATAAAGCCTAGCATAGGAGCGAGCAGAGTGGAGAGCTGCCATGGTGGAACACGAGACAATTGGTCTGGATCCACAAAGGGACTCAGCTGTTGCAATGCCTATCTTTTAGACACCTCTGGAACAATAATGGGATCCATAAAACCTGAGTTAGGTCCCTTGGCTCCTTGTACAAGAAGGGTGGGGACGTAGTATTGCCTCCCTTGTGATTAGAGCACTCACCCAGGGTGTGGGAGACCCAGGTTTGGTTCCCCCCTCTGCCTGCAGGGGAGAAGGGATCTGAACAGGGATCTCCAACCTCTAAAGAGTGTGCCCAAACCATCAGGATATTCTAATATCTCCTGTTGAAGCCCTTCCACTTGGTATAATTACTGAAAGAGTCACTGGGCCACAGAGACTGACTCCACAGACCGGTGGTTAGGGCACCCAGCTGGGAGGTGGGAGCTGCAGGGGCCAGTCCCCCTTGCTTCAAATCACTCTTATGCCAGGTGGAATAGCTTCAGCAGAAGAGACTGAGCAAGGCCCCCCCTTTCCCGATCAGAATATCCACTAGACCAGTGGGAGGGCACTCAGAGGTGGGAGACCCCTATTTAAATCCCTTCTCCCCATCATACAAAGGGGCAAAGTGAACCTGATCTCCCACATCCCCGGTGAGCACTCTAACTGCTGGGGTAAGCGTTAGGGAGGCAGGTGGCACCTCCTCCACTGGTCAGATTTGGAACATGCAGCTAACATGCCTACCACATTAGAGCCCATAAGAAGCCAGGCAGAGGAGTGCTTGTCTTCCCTGCTTCATGGATTGCACTGACGTGTAGGCATAAAAAGGCTGTGGATGCCCAGAGTGAGGCAGTAACTTCGGTGCCTGGAGGATTAGGCAGCAATTGAGTGAGGATTGTGTGGCTAGCAGTGGTACCTAATTCTGGGGCTTCGATGCCTAAGTCCTTAAGTGGATCTGAGCCACAGCAACGGTCAGAAAAACAAGGAGTTCCAAGCAGCACACAGGTAAGACACAGACACCTTGTGGCCACACTGAACCTTTGAGAAGCTGAGTATAGACATGTCCTCTCACCTTCGGCTGACAGCCTAGCATATTCCGGTTTGGTTGCACTGTTGCCGTAGCTGTGTTGGTCCCAGGATATTAGAGAGACAAGGTGGGCGAAGTAATATTTTTTATTGCACCAACTTCTGTTGGAGAGACAGCTCTTGAGCTACACTGAGCTCTTCTTCAGGTCTGGGAAAGGTACTCACAAGGCCTGTCTACGCTAAAAATATAAGTGGGGGGCTTTCAGCCTCCCACACTGCCCCTCTGAAGTCAGTGGAAATGCTCCTGGTGACGACACGCACCACTTACAGAAGAAGGATAGCGTGGACATGAACTGCTGCAGTAATTACTGCAATAGTTGTAAGATGACTTAACATAGGATCAGCAGGGAGCCGGGCCGGGCTGCTGCCTGGAGGCTCAGTGCTCCCCACAGGGAGCCCTGCTATTGCCTGGAGGCTCCCAGCTCCCCACCACCAGGAGCCCACCTGCTTTCCTGGGCTCTCTGCTTCCCACCGCAGCCGGGCTCCTGGGGGAGAGCTCTGCACTCAGAGTCTGGGCAGCTCCTGGAGGGTAGCCGGAAGTCTTGGGGCAGTCACCAGGCTCCCCGCAGGGAGCCGACAGGCTGGGAGCTGGGGGGCACATCCTGGCTCCCTGTGGGGAGTCCAGCAGCTGCATTGAAGCTCAGAGTGGGGAGCATGGACAGCAGCTGTGTTGGGAGCAGGTACCTGGGGGCAGCCGGGCTCTAGCTGGAGCCCCCAACCTGCCCGATTGACAGTGCAGCTTTCTTGTCAATTTCACGGCTCCCAGCATGGAGCTGTGAAATTGTCAAGAATGACAGCCAACAGCTGATGTAAGTAACACAGTGTCTGCAGGGACACTGTGTCGCCCTAACGACACTGGCATAAGCCCTACGCCTCATGGAGGTGGAGTTATTACGTCCGTGTAGTAGAGCACTTACATCTGCGGAAGCCAGGCTGTAGTGTGTTCATTGACATAATTAAATTGATGTAAGCTGCCTTATGTTGACCTAACTGTAGTGTAGACCAAGCCCGAGTGTCACCGCAAAATACAAGGTGGAACAGATTTTTTAGCCTAAGTAATTAACACATATTCTAAGGGACCGGCAAGTTGAAGTGGCCTGTTAACATGCCTGCAGTCATAGGCCAAAACAGGGGTACAGTGAGTTATAGATTGTTGTAATAAACCATAAATCCTGTGACTTCATACAGTCTTTGACTTGTAGTGTCTAGCAAAGTTATGAATTTAAGCTCCCAGGCTTGTCTTTTGAAAGTGTTGTGCAGGTTTTCTTTGAGGATGGGGACAGGCAGGTCAGATATAGAGCGATCGCTTTGTGAAAAGTGTTCACTCACAGGTGAGAGGGTATTTTTGGTTGGAGGTTAAATTCAAACTTTGCTGTGCCACTCCTGAGTACCCTTCCCAGACCTGAATAAGAGCTCAATGTAGCTCAAAAGATAGGAGACAAGGGGGAGGACCTAACTCTCACCACTCTTCAGAATTACAGGGAATCTGACCTCACGTCTATCAAAAAAGTTGTGCTTACTAAAAGGTGCATTAAAGTCAATGGAGCTTTAAGCTCAACCATATGGAATATCTTCTTTGTAATCATCTCACTTATTTTTCACAACAGAACATTGCAAAGCTCAATCCTGAAGGAAGAGTCATCATCAAAGGCAGATACGCAATTACTTTTCAAATCAGTATGAGACAGAACAAAAGATGGTGTAATTAGGGTAGCATTTACTCAATAGTTAAGGGATCAGATCTCTCGCCCAAAGATTCACAGCCTTCTAATTTGCATCTAGGTGGAACTGCACATAGGAGTAGACAGCCTATGTTGGCAGACTAGCAGTATAGACAATTTGTATTGTGTAGGTGGAATTACGGAGTGGGGGTTCAGTCACCTCACATAGCTCTGTCCTCCCACTTAAGCTGAGGAAACCATCAGAATGTCGGTTTGGAATGTCCCAGAATGTTTAACACTCTCCAGAATATTAGGGAGAAGAAAATGAGAGAGAAAGGGAACAACTGCTCTGAAGCAATTCCCTCTAAGTGGTGCTCAGAGTCACATTGAAGAGATCCAGAGAGAGCCCTTGGCAGTCAGGGTGGGCTTGCAGCCATGAGTTCCTGCTCCTTCATTGGAAAAAAGGGCAATTCTGCAGCTCAGAACCAGCCTCATGCCATTCCTACAGTTAGTGCTTCCAAGAGCGCCTCTTAGTTTCAACTGTTTGGAGCGTGAATAGGTGTGGTCCTCGTAAGCAGTCGTTTGCCGGATAGGCAGTGTTTCTCTTTGGCTACACAGCTCAAGTACACCGAATTACAGTCACACAGCAATAATGCACAATACCTGGGCTTGTTCAGGGGCACTGCCTTTCACAGGGAGCGTTTTATGAGCCACAGCGGCAAGATGGCTGAAACAGAAAAGTGGATTAGAACCAGTAATTCCCTTAAGAAGAGCAGTTACATGGGCTGCAGAAAGCAGCAGAACTAGAAGATCCACCCCCAACCACCAGACTAAAATCAGTTTATAAGGGCCTTTGGGCAAACGGTCCCTTTCAGGACTGGATTCTGAGTTTTATGTCTCACAGCTGCCTCATAAAAGAAGAAATTACTAGTTTTGCTTGCTGGTACAGATACGATTTTAGAAGAACATACTGGAAATATGAGATAGGGACCAAAGCGTTATTTGGTCTGGGGCACTGTAACATTTCCGAAGGGACACCCACTCCTGCGTCAGTGATTACAAGTTTGATTTGTATTATCAACTTATTCTGCTTCAGTTATCCTCCTTTGTTTCTCCCTCTCCCCTCCTCCAAGAGAAGAGCCTGAGCCACCACATTTAGATCTAGATCCAACCCTGTCCCATGTGCAAAGGGATGCAGATTTGGGGTTTTAGGTCTGCCCACAAGGCCTAGCTGCGGAGTTCAGATTGGGAACAGTGCACCCGGACGCCTGGAGGGTCTACGCTTGCTTGTACTGACTTGTCTATGTTGCTGGAGTTTGATTCTAGTGAAACTGAGAATTAAGCTGTTCAGCAATAGCAAATATTTCTTTCCTTACCTGAGCGTTAGGAGGTAGCTGACAATGTGCTTGGGCTGAAGATCTTCAGAAGATTTATACAGTACCTCATCGTAGCTGGGGAGAAAGTAAGGGACAGTTCAGAGCTCAGTTTGCAATCACAAGAAAACTAACTAAAGTTCTTAGAACAGGAATAAAGAAAGGGACTGCAGCTGTTGGGAATAGCATCATCATAATACGGAAGTACATTTAAAACTTGCTGAATACATACATGTAGATTTCAGAGCTCACAACAGGTGGTCAAAAGCAAAGATAATAAACAGTTGCTCCTGGAATATTATGTTCTGCTTTAAATCTTATCACTCACTGTGGGTCCTTATTAGAAGAAAAATCTACATTAAAATGACCACTTGAGGCACTGTCATAAAGCAGTACCTTAAAGGATGTGGCCTTTTAATAAAGGGGACTCAGAATTTTCAACAGCTTAAAGGGATTCTCATAAAATTACAATTAGTAGATACAAACAAAAAAGTTGGTTCTCAAAATATGGAAATATAGTCAGCTGAGATGAATAACAGTATTAAAACTCAAACATGTACAGATCTGCAGAGAGAAAATTTTCCCGAACAGTTCTGTTGCATGCTCTCTCTGGCAGGCTAGTAGGAATAATCCTGCACCTGACAGCTCTGGCCTTCAGAGCAGGGTCCCCTCCAAAGCAGAACTATGAAAGAGGATCTTCTGCCACTCCGCTCTGCTCTTCGATAGATTTCCACGTCCTCCCGTCCTCCCATCCCAATGTGCATTCTTACAAAAGCAGAGCTTCCCTGGTAGTGTTATCTCTTGTGGTCAAGTTACAGCAAAACTGGGGAGTGGACACAGCAGGGCAGGGCAGGCAGGGTGGGGGAGGACTCAGCAACCAGGAGACGGCCTTAGAGGAACTGCACTTCTATGATTGCTCCACATTAACCTCCCTTGCATGCAAACCAAAATTGACTTATTTATTTTTGTACTGCTGTAGCGCTAAGAGCCCCAGTCATGGCTGAAGACTTCATTGTGCCAGGTGCTGTCTAAACACATGATGAAAAACGTTTCCTGCCCCATGCACGTGTGCTGCATCAGTGGCCATGTGTAGGGTCTTGGGGGAAATGTAGCAGCTGCTAGCCAAAGGTGAGTTGTGTTGCCACAAGATGTGATTTTATTTTAAAAACAATAACAGTTGCTGGTCTCATGAGTGAAGTGGTCAGTATTACACACTGGTTTCCATTTAAAAGGTACTTAAGAACACCATGAGCTGTGTGGCAAGACATCTCCTTCATCTCGCCCGCTCTAGCAATGGCGGGCCTGGGGTAAATCAGCCCCACTCTGGGCAGTGTTTGCCTTCCCCCTTCTGTGTTCCTTTGGCCGTGTTTCCAGGGTAGGCCCCAAGGTCGGTCTAAGAGGTGATCTTTCACCAAACAAAAGGGAAAACGTCTCATAAACACAAAACCAAAGGGGGATACTTCCCCTGCCTCCTCGCTGGGGCAGGCATCATCCCGTTGCTTGCCCCATAGCAGGTGTTCAGGTTTGGCTGTTCCCCTATGAGAAGGAGCAACCCCTTAGCCTGGAGAAGCTTATTTCCCTGCTACCAGTAGCCTGGCAGTAGTTTCTCCCTCTCCTGCCTTTTCTCTCCCCAGAGGTTTTTTTTTTAAAGGCCTCAGGCAGCCCTTAATTGGGTTCAGGTGTCCCTAATTGACCTGAGGTAACCCCTCATCAGCTTTACTCCTGGGGGATTTCTGCACCAACTTGGGGGCGCAGAATTGATATGGCCCGCATTTTTCTGTGCCCCCCCCCCCACGCAGAAAAAGGCAAAACAAAATCTGCTGGAGGACATGCGCCTCTTCCCCGGCAGCCCAGTCAGCGCGTCCGTTCCAGCGTGCCTGGAGCAGCCTCAGAGACAGGGCATGCGTGCCTGCGTGATCACCCGGGGGGCTGAGCGTATGTGCGTGCCAGTGTTACTTCTGGGGGGGGTTCTGCGGGACTGCGGGTCCACAGCAGAAAACGCCCCCCCGCACAGTGCCTGCTTTTCCCTGCAGAAAATGACAGAGAAGCCGCTCTGGGAGTGACCGTGTATGCAGTTTTTTTGGGGGGGAGGGATTGCCCCCCAAACGGAGGCGATGCATGGGGGGGGGAGCACATGGGGTTACGTGCCACTGCCCCCCTCCCTCCTCATTTCTGCAAACGCAGAGCTTCCCAGCTCAGAGGTTGCATTGTCCAGCAACAAGACTCTGCAGCTGAACGCAGCCTCCTGGGTCCTAGTGCCAGCTGTGCTCCCCTTCTGTGTTCTGGAGCCTTCCTGTTTTCTGTGGAACAGTGAGTGCCCACGGTGGGCCTGAGTAAGGGGGAGTGGCGGAAACGGGGGTGGGGGGGGGAAGAGGCAGTGGGGAAGGAAGGGGGTGGAATAGGGCAGAGGGAGGGAATGTGGGAGTGAGCAGAGGAGGATGGAGAAGATAGGGGAATCATGAGGTGAGGGGCAGCAGGATCCCGGCATGTGGCATCCCCTTGACAGCAGCTGGGGCTCCCCTATTAAGCAGGCCCATCGAACCCTCACCCTGACAAGCCCTATCCCCCTACAACTGGACCCCTCTTACAAGCCCCCCACACCCAGACCCCCACCCCACTTGAGCCCCAACCAGCTGCACCTAGACCTCCACCCTTCCAAGCCCCACTCCCCCAGCATGCAGACCCCCCCCGCTCACGCCCCCACATCCAGACACCTCCCCCAGCCAAGCCCCATCTCCCCATACCCAGACCCCCTCGCTGAGCCCAACCACCATCACCTGGATCCCCTGGGTAAATCCCATTACTTCTGCACCTGGAACCCCACAACGTGCCCCTGTGCATCCAGATCTTCCACTGAGCTGCCCACACCCACATTGCCCCCCACAGAAACCTCTCACCTCACACCTGGATCCTCCCACACTAAGCCCCTCCACACTTGGGTCTTGCTGGGCTGAGCCTGCCCACCCACACCTGGTGCGCCTGGCACAGAGGGGCAGGGCCCCAGGGTGTTTCTGGGACAGGCCCAGCCCTTGCACTGTGTCAGGGTCAGGTGCAGCCTCACTGCCGAGTCCCTGGACTGGGGGAGGTAGGGGCTTCAGGGTGATCTCCCACCTCAGTGTAGCCAGTGGCCTGTGTTCCCCACTGCCACGCTAGAGCTACACTTATTTATTGACAAATAAAATTTGCAGAATTTTAAAATATTTTGTGAATAATTTTTAATTTTTTGGCACATAATTCCCTCAGGAGTATCAGCCTGTAGGAAAAAGGACCTTTAACATTCTGGGGCTAACATATCAGCCTTCCCACACCCTCTTGCAGCCGTCCGGCCTGACTTTGTCACAGCTGGTTGCTAATACCAAGTTCACTGAACTGTCAAGTGGCTATTAAATGAAGAGGCATGTCTCTGCTACTGCAATCTGTAGCCACATGAAATAAACTAATGAGTAGAGCTGGCTGAAAGTCAGAATTTCCCATCCATGGGAAATTAAAAAACAAAACCGTTCAGCTTCAGAACAAAACAATATTTCAAATTTGCTATGGAAGGGAAATTAGAAAAAATTAGTTTACAACTTTTTGAAATTGACCCTGGGAGCCAAAAGCCTAGAAGCCCTGGGAACCACAACTGAGCCGGCAGCCTCAGAGCTTGGGAGCTGGGGTTTGCAACTCTGTGACAGAGAGCCTGGAAGCCATGAGAGCTGGGGACCCTGGAAGTCCTGGGTCTGCTGTGCTGGGGCAGTCACATGGCTGAGCTGCCCTGCCCTGTGTTCCATCAAAAGTTCATCAACATCGACATGTTTCCATGAAACATTTTGGTTTCAACAAATTGGTATTTTCAGCTTTGTCTGAAAATTCCTGAGCGGATCTCCTAAAGAGTTCTTCTGTCTAGCCTCTGACTGCCAGAACTTGGGAGTGGAGGACAGGGAATGGATCACTTGATGATTGCCGGTTCTGTTCATTCCTCTGAAGCACCTGACACTGAAACAGGAAACTGGGCTAGATGGACCATTGGTCTGACCCAGTATGGCCAATCTTACGTTAAGTGGAATAAGTCAGCTTCTTCAGGGAAAATGTGCTACCACAAATCTACCATTCCAAGAGATTCACTGGTCTACAAAGATCATCATCTAGGTAAATGATGTTTAACACTGACCAGATCAAAGGCCAAGTATTTTTGTTATATTGTCAAAGGCCACAATCAAAGCAATGAAAGTGGGTTTAAGCCGTTAGGAAGGCTTTTGCTCTTGACTGCCTGGAGGGAGGATGGCATGAAGAGTGGCAGCATGGTGCAAGGTCTAGGACATTCAAGCTGGGAGTTCTGGGCTCTATATTCAGCTCTGCCATTGACTTCCTGTGTGGCATTGGGAAAGTCCTCACACCTTTCTGTGCTTGAGATTTCACACCTATGAATAATGCTTGCTCAGCTTTGTCAGAATGTTGAGAATTATCAATGAAAAGCACTATATACAAACTAAGTACTATTATTAGGGATTGGCGTGTGGGTGTCCCTCATGGCTACTGGAAGTGGGTGGATGTTCCATTCCCCTCCTCCTAAGAGCATTTCCACACCCCTTTTCCCATGGGATCCAGAGATCCCATCCACCAGGTCTATGTTTATGATGATGACCAATGTTTATATAGCTTATTACATTTACAAAAGAACTGTACTAATCTTTCCTCATTAGCAACTAAGTAACAATTAGTTACAGGCACCCAATACTGTGAACAGTATTAACAATTATTAACAGGCATCCAATTACTCAAAGGTATTTTCCCCACATGATCCTTTTTCATTCAGCTTCTGAAATAACACATTCATTTACATCTAAACATGTGTATTGCAAGTATGGGCTTGTGCAGTAGGCCCAGTGATCAACAAGTCATTGCCTAAGATGTTCATTTCTACTCTTCCACTGCCATGTAACTAATAACTTATTCAACATGCAGGCATCAAACCCTGATGGATCTGCTTCTTGGAAAGACAAATAATAAATACCTGAGAAGATGCTGGAGTATGGAGATGGCTTGTGGATCTTGTAAACAAGCTGTGTTAATGTCAGTTGATTGCCTGTCCCTGCACATCTGCTCTAAACTAGAAAACATAAAAGCCCAGTGTGAGAAAACAAACGCTCTTATAAATTTAAAAAAAAACCAACAACCTTCACCAGCAAAGCTGCATAAGAATTAAAACCAACATGCACTTAAAGGAGAACAAAATTTGAATCTAGATACACTGTTTGCAAGATGACTAAAACATCTGAGTTAGATTAGCTGAGTTAAATCCAAGACAAAAAGCTATTTTACTTGAGCCAGCATTGAATATACACGTCAGTAACTTTACAGAAAGATCCCCTGAAAGAACATGACAGTTTCAAAGGGCACTGTCAAGTCTGACCTTTTTGATATTAAAAATCAATTCAGGAGTATGACACAATGCCGATGTCGACAGTCTGACGAAGTGCTTTATCTTCAATCTCGGTATTTCTCCTATGGATTTTTAAAATTCCCTAAGATACAATTTTGGGTGATCACAAAAGGACAGAATTAAGGCTGGAGTCGGTCACTGCCGCTCGGGAAAGTTCAGTCAAATCACAGTTTAAATACTGTAGCAAGGTGTATTTCGCATATCCAGAAGACTCCAGGCCAGATTCCTTGGCTATAGCAGAGCACCACTGATCTTGGGGCCACTCTTTGCCATGCCCTAATTTGCACCAGTCATCCCAAGCGGCTGTTACAGCAGCCAAGAATTACTAGGACATAGAGACAGCCTGGCCATGCCGCTTGCCCCAGCCAGAGGGAGAGGGCTTGCAAGTTTCATTTTCCTTGGTTTTCCCATCTGAGGTCTCAACTGAACGGATGAGAGATTCGAATCTTTAGGAAAGGATTCATCACAAATGTTACTCAGTCACTGGAGTCAAATAGATGTTAATAAAAACAGAAAATTTCTCTACTCTGGAAGGCTCTTCTTACCTGTGGAGTCTGGCATGTGTGTACTGCAGGAATACGCCTGTATCTCCCCGACTTTGGAGAACCCGGTCCCAACTAAACTGATAATCGGATGATAGAAGACCCTTGAAATCCTAAAATGAGAACAGTTGCTATTCAGCATCATGTAGCTAGTGTTCCCAGTGCCAATGTACAGTCTCTCACAGAAGGAATAATCAGAAGACACTTTAAACAGACCTGAATTATAAGTGCTGCAAGCCCAATCTTTTCGGCGGTCTCAAGAGGGTTTTCCAGTTCTTTAGTTGCTGAACAGATACAAGCAAAAACAGATGATGAAAATTTGCAACAGTGTAACTGGCTCATGGGTAAGAACGACAGCAGCTGGTGGTAAGGCAGATTTGATTAAAATTTATACCAGCAATAAAACAAACTGTCAGGCTGCAAAGGCCGACAAAGTCCGAATGTAAAACCTTTCACATCAAGGCTGCCTTTCTTTACAAGAACTACGGGTCACCAAATGAAATTAATAGGCAACAGGTTTAAAACAAACAAAAGGAAGTATTCACACAACGCACACACAACCTGTGGAACTCTTTGCCAGAGGATGTTGTGAAGGCCAAGACTATAACAGGGTTCAAAAAAGAACTAGGTAAGTTCATGGAGGATAGATGCATCAAAGGCTATTAGCCAGGATAGGCAGGGATAGTGTCCCAAGCCTGTATTTGCAAGAAGCTGGGAATGGGCGATAGGGAATGGATCACTTGATGATTACCTGTTCTGTTCATTCCCTCTGGGGCACCTGGCATTGGCCACTGTTGGAAGACAGGATACTGGGCTAGATAGACCTTTGGTCTGACCCAGTAGGGCCATTCTTATACTCAATATGATTACTAAATTTTAAGGCCAAGGGGATAGTCTAGTCTGACTCACTACGTAACACAGGCCATTGAATTTCACCCTGTAATTCTGGCACCAAGTCCATAACTTCTGGTTGAGCTACAGCATATCTTTTAGAAAGACATCCAGAGAGATCTCAAGTGATGGAAAATCTAGCACATTTCTAGGTAAATTATTTCAATGTGGACCTTATTTCTAGTCTGAATTTGTCTGGCTGCAGCTTCCAACCACTCGATCTTATTACATCTTTGCCTGCTTGATTAAAGAGCCCTCTACTATCAGAAATTTTCTCCCACATGAGTACTTACAGACTATGATCAAATCCCCACTAAGCCTTCTCTTGGATAAGCTAACTAGACAGAACTTCTTAAATCTCTCACTGTGAGACTAATTTATCTGCCTTGAAACATCACTGATAAATAGGCTAACAAAGGATATCTGTTTCAGTGCAGCTGTTGGAAGAACCTTGGTTGGAAAGTTATTTCGTGACTGCTTTCAGCAATAACTCCTCAGTGAGCGAGCAGCTCTCTCACCCCTGCAGCTATCCACTGAAGGGATTGTTTTATTCCTATTTCCCCCGCCCAGAGGTGAGAGTACACAGTGCTAGGCTGGGATCATAGCACCCTTCACATAGACATTCAGAGACTGCACACATCACCACTGTTTTGGAAGGAATGTTAGCTCCAGGTGCACCAGTCCACATCTTCAGGCTATATATTAAATTGTGCTTGGACTCACTAACTTCACCTAACACGGTGACAATCTTGGTTTATTTAAAACATTCCATTTTTAAATTCAGATAATATCTGCCCTCTATCTAGGTCTCTTCTTCCTATTTGCAGCAGGATCCTAGTGCAGTTTCCTATAAGACAAGGCTGTCAAATGCATTCTGCGGAGAGGACCTTTTTAATTCTGGTCTATGGACTAAGTCTACAAAGTCAGAGCTGCACACTACTCTCCATCCACAGCTGATCTCCTAGGGGGAGATTTGCATAAAGACAGAGGGGAGGATATGGCTGTTGTGTAAAATCTAAACACGTCTCAATAGGAAACAAAGATGCAGTGCACATTTAGAATTTCTCTCTGCCATTTGTTAGGCTATTTGCACATGCAACTGAGGTAATTGTCCAAATTAGCAAGAACTGTGCACCTTAATTTTTGAAAAACTCTGTTTCAAAGTGTCATCCTTGGGTTTCACCGCTAATGCCCCGCTGTGATGAGTGGGGGCGATTCACATCGCTTAAAACTGTTTGCCCGCCTGCTTGCTTAGGAAGACAACGCTGCATTGGTTACACTGTTCATGTTTGGAAGGGTTTTTTTTTTTTGCAACTTTAAGGGCAGATGTTTATATTTTAAATACGGCAGAATATAAGCCAGTCATAGGGGCTTGTTAGCTACCTTAAGTGGGTTAGTTCTAGTGTGCAAGCCAAGTATTTAACACCACCATAAGCAAATTCTCCCTGGCAACATGGTGGAAAGACAATCCTTGCTGTAACTAGAAAACCCACAAGGCCAACTGCTCACAATTACCCCACCGTGACACAAAAACAAGCATCTCCAGCCCAACCACTTTCTGAGCCCAGAGAGATCAATGGCAAGCCCTTTGGCATAGGTGCTAGGAGCCCTGCTGCACAGCTGATCCTGAGTTTGATGCCATGAAGTTACAGGGATGACTCTCACCCACAGTCTCTGCATTTATAGGAACCTGGAGCACTTAAGCAAATCTTTTTGAAAAACCATCAATTCCCTGGTTCTGTGCTGATGTCCCTTCCGCCTCCCCTCAAAATTAAAATGTATTAAAATCCCACAGTATCAGATAATGATTGAAATTATTACGTATTACTTATTAGCACAATAGGGTTACAGAGTGCTTTACAAAACACAACTTAGGTGCCTGCCACAAGGAGTTCACAATCAATTCAAGGAAGCTGGAGTGGGTAGAAGCAGTCACAGTTGAGGTCAATCAATAATGAAAGGCTATGAAGAAATGATAAGGAGATATTTGAAGGAGAGGGCAGTGGATGTTTGTTGCACAGGAAGAGAGGCTGATCCAGCAAGAAAAAGATCCAGAGGCACAAGGGGGAGCAGGTACTCCTGGGGGAATTCTGTACCACTTGCAATGCAAAATTTGCGCAGAATTAATGTTCTGTGCAGAATTTCATTTTTCCCCACAGAATTGGTGCTGCAGAGCTGCTGACTGCCACTAGGTGCCACTGGACCCAGCGAATATGGCTCCCCAGCTCGCAGCGCGCCTGCACAGGAGGTGAGGCCAGGTTGTGGTTCCCAGCTTTGCCAGCCCTGCTTGGTCACATAGTGTGGCCGGGCTCCCTCCCTGCACAGCAACTGCCGGAGCCGGTGAGCTGCACCCTGCAGGGAGCAACAGCTGGGAGCTGCAGGGAGAGGCTGCTGCTTTCTGGGAAGGGAGACTGAGGATAAGAGAAGGGGTCTGCTGAGGTGGGGGTGCGTGACTCAAGTGACATCCCCACACACACACACTATCAGCAGGTACAGGCCATCTCTGCCCAGTGGGACAGTAACAAAGCTGTGCGGGGCGGAGCCCGTGACTGGGCTCAGGAAAGGAAGGGAGTGTGGGTTTCTGGGCTGGGGGAGTCCCCTTGCAGACCCACCCAAATACCCCTTCCAACAGCTCCCAACTGTACCCCTCCTCCAGCTCCCCCTGGCAGTGTCCTCTATTTGGGAGCTTGAAATATGGTAACCATATGGGGGCTGGAAAAATGAGAATTGACTAAAAGACTGGGAGGGCATATTATTCCCCTAAATTGTGCCCACCTGGCATGTGTGACACACCCAGACTGAGGTGCCCGACAAAAGCATAACAAAGAAACAGGAAGTGGGTTGTCGAAGAGGTTTCTTGAACTCTCTACTTCTGGGGGAATCTTTTTTATTGTCCATATTGTTACGGACATACTTGCTGACAGGCATTTTGAAATAAATTATCAAAATAATTGAAACTGGCATGACTATATTGTGTTATTTTGACAAATAAAATATACAGAACTTTAAAATACTATGCGCAGAATTTTTAATTTTTTGGCACAGAACTCCCCCAGGAGTAAGCAGGGAACAGAGAGAGCATTCTACTGAAGGAGAGAGGATTCTACTGAAGATAGGGCTTGTGAGACGGTGTAGGGGGAAAAGAGGATACGAGAATGGAAATGCAAGCAGCACAGAGTTGTGCAGTCTTAACGGCGAGGACAATGAGACACTTAATAGCCCATATCACTATAGATTTATAAGATTTTCAAAGCAACAAATGGCAGGTAAGTGCCTTTGGAAATGCCCTCCCTGGTATCTGAGCACTTCAAACATTAATGAAACACTTCAAACAACTCTGTGAGTTCGGGAATTATTGACATTTTCTAAGTTAGGAAGTGAGGAAGAGCAAGATTAAGGGTTGTGGGTAAAACTTTCAGAAGTGCCTGTGTGAGTGAGGAGACTAAGTTCCATTTTCAAAAGTGATTTAGGAGCTTAAGTGCCATTCATTCCCAGGTTCTGCTCCCAGCTCAGCCACTAACTTGCTGCATCACGGTAAGATAAAAGCGCCTTGCCCGTCCATCAAAAGGGGCAATAGCTTCCCTACATTGCAGGGTTGGGTGTGAGGCAAAGTTCATTCACGTTTTTCAAGCTGTATGGCCTCCTATGCTTCGGGAAAGCTATTTGAGATTCTAGCTATGGAAGGGCAAAGTGTTATTACTACTTTAATTATATCATCACAGATGGTGGAAAGACACAGATCAGAGCCTGTTGCTCTGGGTTACTGGACTTGGGGGAGAGTGATGGAGGGGGAAGGAGAAAGGGATATTGTAATCTGCATGGGAATATTTTAAGAGAAATGAATAAAACCTGAATCAGCTAACTTTTTGCAGCAGCCATGTTTTGTAACATCCTTGAGCGAGCTTCATTTAAAACATCTTCCAGGAAAACCACTTCTCCTTTTCGTGTCTTCATCCCCTGCACTAGCCCAAAAGACACATGCTGACACCTGCATTGAAAACAGCAGGATCTAAAATCACATTTTAATCAACAGAAATGCCTGCAATGTTTGTTCAGGCAAGGCCCTGAACTAGGATGTAGTAGTAACAGCTGAACAAACATCATTCAACATAGAAAGCTCAACAATGTCATCATTACCTCACTTCAGAAAAACCATCTCTCCATGCACACCTTATAATTAGACAGAAAGGACCAGAATTATGATAACCTGGTCATTCATACACTCTCAGGAGATTGGTACTTTCTAACAGCTGTGTTAGGCTTTAATATAGAAGACTCAGTACAATAAGCTAAGATGAGGCAGGATGTAAAATATTACACTCATAAAAGTATATTAGCTCTTAAGATTATTACTATATGAGCACACAGTGTACAGATACTGAGGTGTAATGTCTTTGACAGGCAACATTTCCTCCTTTCTTGCTTTTATGTACCCCACTGTTCATACCAAGGAGCTTCAAGGGGCCTATTAAAGAATTTCTGATCATTGCTCGTTTTTCCTTTTTAATATATCCCCACCCCAATAAAAAAGTAGCAATTATGACACCCACACTTACCTTTCTGCCCATTGGTAGCCCATGAGCTTCAGTATTTGGAACAGCTGTTCAAAGTGAGCGTTTTGACTTTTATCTGTCTTAAGGGAAAAAATGGGTGCATTTTAGAATATATCTCTGCTTAGGTAGAGAGACAGCAGAACTAAGATCTAGGAAACCAGACTGAATTTGAAAGATATAATAGCGTAAAGTACTTTGACATCAACCCACTCTAGAATCTTACTAATGATAAAACACTTTATCTTTTTGAAAACAGTTTATTCTATATCATTTTAGTACAGGCCTTTGAATTAATCTACTTTAAATATCACCTTTGAATTCATATATTTTGTCTAATCTCCCATCAGAACGGATGCATTCATATCTAGGGCTGAGACTTGAAGCCCCTACCATTGGCGCTTGATTTACATCATCAATACGAATACCTGGCAGAAACCCATAAGATCCTATAAATGATATACCAGCACTGGCTGAAAAGGTTTCCACAAGGCAGTTCCTTGCTGTGGTCTGAATTCTCTGTCTGTTCAGCACTCCCATCCCCCACTGTCTCCTGTAAAAAAGGCTCCAGAGTTGATCCTGGCAATTACAGGCCAGTAAGCCTAACTTCAGTATCAGGCAATCTGGGTGAAACCATAGTGAATAACAGAATTATCAGACACACAGATGAACATAATTTGTTGGGGAACATGTCTTTTGTACAGGGAAATCGTGTCTCACCAATCTATTAGAATTATTTGAAGGATCAACAAACACATGAACAAGGGTCATCCAATTGATATAGTGTACTTGGACTTTCAGAAAGCCTTTGACAAGGTCTCTCACCAAAGGCTCTTAAGGAAACTAAGCAGTCATTGGTTAGAGGAAAGGCCCTTTCATGGATCAGTAACTGGTTAAAAAATAGGAAACAAAGGGTTGGAATAAATGATCAGTTTTCACAATGGAGAGAAATAAACATCAAGGTTCCCCTGGGATACTGGGATCTTTGCTGTTCAACATATTCATTAATGATCTGAAAAAGGGAGTGAACAATGAAGTGGCAACGTTTGTAGATGATAAAAAATTATTCAAGATAGTTAAGGCCAAAGGTGACTGGGCAAACAAAACAGCAGATGAAATTCAACACTGATAAGTGCAAAATAATGCATATTGGACAAAATAATCCCAACTACACCTACAAAATGATGGGGTCTAAAATAGCTGTTACTACTCAAGATCAAGATCTTGGAGTCATTGTCGATAGTCCTCTGAAAACATCTGCTCAATGTGCAACAGCAGCAGCAGTCAAAAAAGCTAACAATGTTAGGAACCACTTAGGAAAAAGACAGAAAGAAGAAAATATCATAATGCCACTATATAAATCCATGGCACACTCGCACCTTGAATACTGTGTGCAGTTCTGGCCACCCCATCTCAAAAAAGATATGTTAGAACTAGAAAAGATACAGGGAAGGACAACAAAAATGATTTAAGGGTACAGAAGAGCTTCTATATGAGGAGAGATTAAAAAGACTGGGACTGTTCATTTTAGAAAAAAGATGACTAAACGGGGATATGACAGAGGTCTATAAAATCAAATGGTGCAGAGAAAGTCAAGAAGGAAGTGTTATTTATCCTTTCACATAACACACAAACCAGGGGTCACCACATGAAATTAATAGGCAGCAGGCTTAAAACAAACATAAACAAGTACTTCTTCACACAACACAGTCAACCTGTGGAACTTATTGCCAAGGGATGATGTGAAGGCCAACAGTATAACAGGGTTCAGAAGATAACTAGATAAGTTCATGGAGGATAGGTCCCTCAATGGCTATTAGCCAAGATGGTCAGAGGTGCAGCCCCATGCTCTGACTGTCCCTAAGCCTCCAAATGCCAGAAGCTAGGACTGGATCACTTGAAATTACCCTGTTCTGTTTGTTCCCTCTGAGGCATCTGACACTGGTGATTGCCAGAAGACAGGATACTGGGCTAGATGAACCCTTAGTCTCACCCAGTATGGTCATTCTTATGATCTTATGTGACATTTCTGCACTTCTGGGGCACTGGGCCAGAGACAAATGTATATATTTTAAACACACATGCTGTATAATCATAGAATCGTAGGAATATAGTGTTGGAAGGGACCTCAGGAGGACATCTAGTCAATCCCCCATGCTGAGTCAGGACCAAGCATGCACAGACCATACCTGAAAGGTTATCTGTGTAATTTGTTCTTAAAAACCTCCAACAACAGGGATTCCACAAACTCCCTTGGAAGCCTATTTCAGTACTTAACTATCCTAATAGTTAGAAAGTTCAGAGAACACGGAAAACAATTGAATCACTGTCCTTTTCAGAACAGCCCTTAATGTCCTTATCATATTTGAAGACAGTTACCAGGTCTCACCTCAGCCTTCTTTTCTCAAGACTAAACATGCCCAGTTTTTTTAACCTTTCCTCATAGGTCAGGTTTTCTAAACATTTTATTACTTTTGTTGCTCTCCTCTGGACTCTCTCCTGTTTATCAACATCTTTCCTAAAATGTGGTGCCCAAAACTGGACACAGTACTCCAGCGGAGGCCTCACCAGTGCCAAGTAGAACAGAACAATTATCTCCCGTGTCTTACATACGAAACTCCTGTTAATATGCCCCAGAATATTAGCCTTTTTCATAACTGCATCATATTCAATTAGTGATCCACTGTAACCCCCACATCCTTTTCAGGAGTACTACTGCCTCGTTACAGTTTAGTTTGTAATTGTGCATTTGATTTTTTTCCATACTAACAGATAATGCTCATCTCTCAAATATTAATATTTTAAATTAAATATACATTTGCTGCTCTCCTCATCTTTCAGTTCATCTCTCTTGTGACTGTTACAGACTTCTCATTGGAATTAGCCTTTCTCTGTACTCAACAACAGGTTTGCTACAGGCATCATGGGATGCAGGTCCCCTCACCTAGTTAAGATGGCAGGACTCACCACCACACGTTCATTCTAGTTTGCTCCTGAACTACAGCCTCCCAGGCCATATTTGACAGGCCACTACTGCAAGAACTGAATGATTTTTGTTCTCCTTTATTTTTTTCCAAGCCTAGGCCAGGAATTTCCAGAGCTAGCACTGAGTTCATATTCTACTCCTGACACTACCACACACCAGCTGTGCAGCTTTCTCAGCTCCTGCCAGCAGGCCAAGTATTGAGATATCCAAGAATCCTGGTCTCTGAGGTATGATTCTCCTATATTTAAATCTACCTTGTTTCACGATATGAATAGAGTAGTCAGGCAGCAAGGAGGAATGATGCTGTTTACTCACAAACCTTCAAAGATTTACCCCCTGACTTCACTGGAACTATTCACAGAACATATAGTGCAGCACACCTGTAGATATTTGCAGGATTGGGGCCTAAAACAACATTGGTTGACCTAATTTTACAAGCATCATTTTGGACAGTGCCCTTTCTTTAATCAGGATGTAAATTCAGGAGTAATATATAAAATTACAGTTTTTATAGTAGTCTCAAGTCTAAATGTTTAGAATAGTATAAAAATTCCAACCAAAAACTATGTTAAAACACAGTTACAGTTGAGAATACATATCAGTAACTTACATCAGTAACTTAGAGTAAACTACACTACAATCTGGTAACTATTCCAAAATCAAATGTTCAAAACCCAGAAATTCACAGCTAACATTAAACCAAAAAAAAAATTAATAATCCCAAACCGGCTAAAAGATATGGAAATGCATAGTTCGGGCACCCAAATAACTAACTCTGCCCTCTGGTGACATCATGAGGTGAGGGCGGGAGGGGGATTAAACAAGATTTTTAAAAGACTCATTTAATATAATCCTGGTCCACAGACACTAAAATTGCTTAATCATAACTATATGGTTTTTGCATGATGACGCTACTGTACAAAATTAAGGTTTCTGCTGAAGGGGAGAATATGAAGAATAACAGTGAAAAATGACCATTAATCCTTAAAAAAAAAAAATTTGAAATGTAGCCTATGGAGTGAATTTTAACTATATGGGAAATTTGAAAACTGACAGGGGAAGATACGCCACATTTTTCACATATAACAAAGATGTTCAATCCCTGCTTTAAGTGCAACACTGAACTACAGTGAACGTTAACTTGGCATCCTTACCAACACCTCTATAATAAACCTTGAGTATTTTATACCTTTTTGGATGTCATGCTTTTACACTCTTACAGGCCCTTATGAAATAAATAGTAGGATAAACAAACAATTGTTATAAATGAATTTATATAGTAATTTACAGAATTACCAGCAATAAACTGGTTTGATTTTCTTTTAAAAAAAACAAACAAAACCTTTATAATCTCATGAAATAAGATTTAGAGACCTCTGAGTAAATTCCAACTAGCTTTTAAACATTGGGACTCAAAATATATTTGTATATAATAATTGAATATCTCCAAACATAGACTAAAAATCATCTAGGTTAGGTTCATGGAAGTCTAACCTCAGATAACCTAGAGTAAAATCCAGCTTGACCCACATGAGGCAGTGAGTTTGATGGACATTACAAAACACTATCATGCAGTTTGGTACAATTCAGTGAGATTGGAAGTGCTACTCATGAGAGATCTGGGGCCAGTCAGGTCACTGGCAGAGGTGTGTGGGGATGATTGGACAAGGCCTTCCTGCAGTTTGCCTGACAATAGCTATTAATCACTTATTTTTATGAGCACCAATTTCAGCCAACAACAAGAGAAAGAAGTGGAAGTATTAGTTGTAGTATCAAAAACCCTTAGTAATTCATGCATTTGTTGTTATAGAAGAGTACAGATGAGAGATGGACTAGGTGATCTGGCAGGTGTTTTCCATTTCTAACTTCTCTGAGACACTGTAATTTCAATGGCCACACTCTCAGGTTCCAGCTTTTGTTGCAAGTACATAAGGATTAGGCCAGGGAGAAGAAGAAAGTTAGACATAAGGACTGAACAATTACTAAAAGTTGAGGGGACTGGCTACTAATATCCTTAGGCTGCTGCTCTTTCTTGGGCTACATTAGGGAACTGATTCTGCACTGGTCCATCTCATTATTATCGATTTCAGCTTTCATTCTCTTTTGGTGCGAAATGTTTCATTATTTCCACTTTGTTGCTTTCTTGTAACTCATGGCAATCACAGGAGCAAACACAGATGAGCAACTGCACGCACCAGCTACTGCTACATCAGTAACAACGTCCATAACTTCTGGAGCATTGCTTCTCTGTTGGCATGCTGCTCCTTGGTGACAAGGAATGCAGCATGTTGCTATTGGTGGAAAACGCATTATTCCGATGTCACAAGAGGGGAAGAAAAGCTAATGGAAACTCCTTGGAGCCAGAAAATGAAGAGCTAAAGAGGTCTGGGGTTTTGGTCCTACATTTACTGGCTCCAATGATTTTTCCAAAGGCATTGTATTATGTAACATTACACTGACTAATGAAAGCATGATACCAAGCATGTTGTATAGACATCTCCAGACATATCATAAGGAGCATGCCAAAAAAACCAGTAGATTTGCTTCCCAGAGGACATTAACTGACTCCATATACTAAAAAGTGGTTTTCAAAAGGTTACCCCTATCTCTGAAAAAACCTTAACGGCATCATATGCTGTATCTTTAGAATGCTAAAGCTAAGAAGTTTTACACACAGACAAGGAGCTAATCCTACTATCCATTACTGATATTGCTGAAGTCATGTTAAAAAACCAGCAGACAGTTAAAATGCTCCCAGTCTGCAACTGCATGCCCAGATGGATTAAATGGCTCTTGATGTGCAATTCCAAGTGAATCAACAATAGAGCAACTGATGTATTGTAAACAAGCTATAAAATTCACATTTGTGACAATATATTGGGACTTTAATTTAAACTTCTCTGTAAATGGATTTTAGAACATGACTTTAATAGCATATTTGATATCCTTTCATACACTAACAATTATAAGAATCAACCTTTAACTTGATTCAATATTTAACAACAATATTTATCTGAAAAATGATCTGTTGATTGCGTAAAAGCTATTTTTGAGGAAATTACAAGTACATTTTTAAATGGTGAGCCCCACATGATTTTTCAGCCATTTTGTGGGTCATGAACCAAAAAAGGATTGAGAATCATTGTGTGACACTATGGAATAGCTGCTGTGCAGTGAGGTCCTCTAAGTGTCTATTGCGATGCCAATTACCATGTGCCACAGTCACTCTGGGAACAAGAGAGGCCCTGCATTTTTAAGAGAGTTAAATTCAAAGTGTTGTGTGAATCTACAATTACTTACCACATAAATCATAGTATCACAGTTATATTTCATCATTCGGTCTATAGCAGCAGCAAGATCTCTAGAAGAGATAAATGAGAAACTCTCAATCAAACTAAATACAACTCATTATTTAGAATGGGTTGCCTGCTGGGAAAATTCTCTACCATTGTGGAAAGGAAGGGTTTGTAAAAATGAACAAGTGCATTATGGAGGGTTTTCACCTTGTACTGAAGCCACTACCAGAGAGAGGATACAAGGTTAAATGGACCAATGCATACTTCATGCAAAAGAGTGAGCATCTGGTCTTTGTTCATTACATATTTTTAGAATTCAGTGTTGTTTTTTAAGCCCATTGATTATGGTCAGAAAAACAAGTAGGAAAAATGACTTCTTGTACAGTACCAATCTGGTCTGTGTCCCTACTGAGACAGTGAAATGGTCAAACAACTGGGGGAATCTTGTGAGCAAAGAAGATAGAACCTTCAGAGGACCTGGACATAGACTATGGAGCTCACTCCTGCAAGAGAAAAGAATGATCTCTAACCACAGTCTCAGATCTGAATGCAGAGCACCTCCTCAATGCAGCTTTTCTCAAGAAGTTCTTCACACACACACCTCCCATCCCAAACACTAAAAAAAGTTTGATTTTTGCCAGCCTGTGGTATGAACTAAAGTGACTGTTATTTCTATTTTAAAATACTTTGGAAGGATTTAAATACTATGATGATGGGGCCAGAAGGATGGTGGTAACAACTGACGTAGCAGGCTATCAGCACTGCAGAGCCAATAAAGATGTGGAAGAGCAAACTATGTTAGTCTACATCACGCTTCAAGAATAAGATTGCTAGTCAAGTTCTTCTAAAATCTTTGTTGTGGTAAATTATTTGTTAAGCAAAAAGAATATAGCTTTGTTTTCAGGCTATTTATATAGTTGGTAGTGGGAACCAAAAAAATGACTTATAAATAGAGTAGATTTCCTATTGGACTCATAGGATAAATCTAGAAAAACAAGGCTTCATTTTTTAAAGTAACTACCTATCTCTCCATAGTTATATTGTCACTGTAACCCTCAGTTATTCAGATTATTGACTAGTAAGTATCTTGTAGTGTTCCTATAACAAAAAGCTTCCAGTGTTTAAATCCTTAAAAGAGACTACTAATGTAAATTACACAAGAGTTTACCACTGAATTAAATCCAAAGTGTAGCATAGACAGACACTTGCCTTGTTATATAAAGAGATGTCCCATCACTACGCATTACAGTAGAACACAATGAGAGGTCTCTTTTTTCAGAAAGATCCACTACTCTTGTTCCTTTGCTGAAAATGAAAAACAAACAAAAGAAACCCCAACCACACAACATCATTTGAAATAACTGCAAACCAGAATTGAAATACAGAATCCAGGAAAAAGAACCAGATGACATATACATTTAAAAAAAAAAAAAAATCTTTCCTCATGCTGCCCGCTATTCTTGGAACAGTCTCATTCCTCTTGTGCACAGAGGATCTTCCCTCTACTCCTTCACATCTCCTTTGCATTAATAGGAGCATTGCCAGCAGATTGAGGGAAGTGATTATTCCCCTCTGTTAGGCACTGGTGAGGCAACATCTGGAGTACTGTATCCAGTTTTGGGCCCCCCACTACAGAAAGGATGTGGACAAATTAGAGAGGGCCAAGCGGAGGACAACGAAAATGATTAGGGGGGCTGGGGCACATGACTTACGAGGAGAGGCTGAGGGAACTGGGCTTATTTAGTCTGAAGGAGAGATGAGTGAGGGGGGATTTGATAGCAGCCTTCAACTACCTGAAGGGGGGTTCCAAAGAGGATGGAGCTCGGCTGTTCTCAGTGGTGGCAGGTGACAGAACAAGGAGCAATGGTCTCAAGTTGCAGTGGGGGGGTCTATGTTGGATATTAGGGAAAACTATTTCACTAGGAGGGTGGTGAAGCACTGGAATAGGTTGTCTAGGGAGGTGGTGGAATCTCCATCCTTGGAGGTTTTTAAGGTCTGGCTTGACAAATCCCTGGCTGGGATGATTTAGTTGGTGTTGGTCCTGCTTCGAGCAGGGGGTTGGACTAGATGACCTCCTGAGGTGTGTTCCAACCGTAATCTTCTATGATCTCTCTTTCATAACCACCTCTCTCACCTTTCCTTCCATTGCTGATATCAGAAAATTGTCTGCTCTCACTCTTGTGGCTCATCTTTTATGAGTGTTTTTTCCATATAAGTTAAGATTGTCAATACCTCAGGGCAGGGACACATCTAACTCAATTTATTAAGTACCATGTACCACTATGGTGCTATATAACTAAGTAATTAGTCTGGAAGACCATTTTTCCCAATATGAAAAACTTTTACTGTGCCCAGTTTTAGCTGCAACTCCACTGCTTTTCCATTAGCTAGAAGGAAGAGGAAGATTAGGTTCTTCCACATGATATTATACTGAAAGTACTTGTATAAGGGGAAAAAAACCCACAACTATTGAGCAGCATTATATATATATATATATATATATCCCCACCACACCTTTTATATATGAAATATGACAATAGCAAAGAGTTAAAAAAATCATAACTGTTATAATGAAAACAAAATAACCTTTCATACATTGTTTTCTGAAGGAGTCCTCTAGCGTCCAACATCTTTAGAACTTCCTGGGACTTCTCTTGATAAAATGATTCTCCAGAATATTCATCAAAATGCACACCTAGACGCTGAAAGTTTCCAGGAACAGAAAGGAAAACTGTTAGGGTGAGACTTACACTTTCTTCAAGTCTTTACATTTGCTATAAGTCAGATGATGGGTCTGTGCTGTAGGCCATCCAGATGGGAAGAGTGACGATGGATTTTTATCAAGAACAGCTAGTATTTGTTGTCAAAAGGAAGGAATGCTGGGTTTTAATTTAATCTCTGGTTCATTACATTTTGGTTGTGGGGTGAGGAACAGCTGCTATTTTATTTTAATTCACAGCAAAGGCACTTGCCTAGAGCCTGGGATAGGTTCTTTCATAAATATTTATTATAAATGAAAATAAAATACAAGTTTCTCCCAGAAAATAATGGCAACTGGTTTTAATTCAGTGTCAGTGTGTGAAAGAGGACTTCACTTTAACTGCACTCTATCTGCAGACAGCTTTTGTACTGATTACTGTAACTTCCAGTTATTGTAATTTCTCATGATCAACTGAGTCTGCAATGTTTGCTGTTCTGTATAATAAAGTTAGATTAATCTAAGCTAAAACAAGCAATTTACCAATACATTTATGACATGGAAACTTTTATTTTAGTGGATTGGAATTTATTAAAGATGTATTAAATAGGCATAAATTTGCTTTGTCGCTCAGCACTCTTCTTTTGGATTCTGTGAAACAGAACGGAAAGTCCAATGTCTAGTTATATGGATTTCACGAAACAAATCTGTCTAAGATCTTCGCAACTAAGATTTACTGTGCTCTGCCTGGATATTAAATAAACCATGGCACTTTTGGTAAGAGAAAGGTGTTTGCCCCAGCATATTTGGAAAGGTTTTCCCTTTCCCTACTCTTGTAAAGCATACTGTAAAAAGGTGAAATGGCTGAGCTCCTGATGGCTCCTTCCACTCCAGGGGTGACTGAATTTCAGCAGAGTACGTATTTAGTTTGTGATGAGCTGAGGGAGTTTCAGAGATGAAAAAGTGCTATGCAGATGTCAGTTATTGGTGTGATGGAACAGTGGACGAAAGGAGACTATCCTAGGACTGCACAGAGACAACAGCTGATGGTTTGCACCTTGTAAATCCGGACATACTCTTCAATACTGAAGTCTCTAAAATGTTGCCACATTGACAGTATTTGCTCATCACGTGCCTCCAGTTTTCTAAAGAAATCCTGTGCCAGCTTCTTTATGTTTTCATCTTCTGCTGCTGCTTTGTTAACTTGTACGTATACCTAAAATACAATGGCATGGAAAATGTACAATAAATACAATCTTCCCCTCAAAGGAAAATAAAAGTCAAAAACACAGGAAGGTCTACAAGAACGGCACAGGAGAGTGAGATTAGGAACACACAGCTTATTTTTAATAGTTAGAATATTGGCCAGACTGCACAGTTTAGACCAGCTGTGGGAACTATTAGTTTTTCCCAAAATCCAGATTGTAATCCCACAACTGCTACTTCTGTTGCTCTTTCTTCTGATACTGCTTCTCATACTATCCCAATCTTGAAGCACCCAAAGCAACAGAATATGGAAGAATTCATTTGTATGTAAAGGAATCAATGATAGAGTCTTAAACCAGGATGCATTTCATGTTGTAGATCACATCATTGGCACACGTCAGTTAAACCCCAAAGGAAAAGCTTGGCATGCTGTTTGAGGGAGCCCATATGTTAATTTGCTAGAAGAGTTTGTTGCATTCAACATTACTAGCGTATATAGACGTTGGCTCCTCTGGTTGGACACTGTATTCCTTTAGTTGTTAAAGGCCAGAAGTAGATTCAGTTCAGAGTGATTTTTTTTTTTTTTTTTTTTTTTTTTGCATTTAGCATTTAGAAAATGAGAGGCAAAGTTTTGAAAGCAAAATTATAAAAATGCCCTTTAAAAATAAATTTACCATGACCATTAATTTTATATTTTGACCCATACAGGTCAGCATTGATGGAATACTGCCCCACTTTGACAGGTTTTATAAATTAATCCTGCTAGGCCACTGAATTATTGCAACATTAGTGAGACACTAACTCTCCAATTTACGAGAGTCCTGTTTGACTAATTCCATGAGTTTAGCCAAAATATCCTGCTGTAGTGGTCTCAGCCTGTAAAACGTGCTCTCATCAACTAAACATTCTTGAACTTTTCCCCTTCCCTTTATGGGTTTTGAATTTCAGAGATACTGAATTAACCAGACAGTATTACCAACAAGCCTCAAATTTGAGAGCAGATTAAGGTTTCTACGACCTAGCCACAGACAATGGAATTTAAGCTCGGAGAAGATTTAACCCTTTCTATGAAAAGACAGTAACTGAACACATTCAGTTTTTCCCTCCTTGCAGATGATTTTATAAAGCAAACAATAACTGCAGCTATGAATGGCTACCCACATCTGACGCCCAACCATAATTTAAGGTACAACTATGACTAGAGGGGATTCTCACTTAGACGCTTAATTACACAAAAATCTTCCCAATGTGTTTTTCCTTTTAAATAACAGCAGGGAAAACCAATCCAATGTATCATATATAGCATTTCTATACATATCAGAAAGGCAACACAGTACAATATAATACAAACTTGCATCAATAGCAGATATAAATCAGAGGCATACTTAAACAGTTACAGCAGTCAAAGATTGTGGGTATTTGTGAAATTGTGTTTTGGTTTAATAAAAAACCTACTTCATTAGAAATCATCACACCTGCACTGAATGTTTCTCTCTGTGAATGCTGAAGGTGATTTGGGGCCATCTCACCATAAGCCTAAATATTTAATTCATTAATCAAATCAAGGAAAAGAAGGAGCAAGCAAAGATATCTTAACGTTACAATGCCTATCTTGTGCCAGATTCAAATAGTTTAATTTTGAATAATAAAACTCAATTGTATATAAGAAACCTCATTGCCTAGTGTGTAAATCCTACAGGGTATCAGTACAAACCACATACCAAATTATTTGGAAACTTGCAAAGAAAGAAAAAGTGCCACCATTTCTGTTGATTGAGAGAAATTCAAACTAAATAGTAAAGATCATGGAAGCATTATGTTCTAGACTAGGTTGTCTCCTAATGGCTGGACCTTGAAGTTAATCCTTCAACTCCTATATCATGTACTTAGAGCTATTTATCAATTGTACTGAGGGAGCCCAAGGGGAAAGAGAAAATATATGCAGATTGTTAAAAGTCAAAGGAGGTGAATGGCTTGGAAGCCAGAACCATTACTCTATTGTATAAACGGTACATATTTCTGTGCACATAATACACAGCTGGGTGGAATGCACTGAAATACTCAAACACACCTTATGTCTGAGCCAGTAACTAGATTTACTTGAAACCATCATTCCATGACATAATGTCTGGTTAGTGTACCAGAATGTCAGCTTTAGCAGCAGCTGCCATCTTCAGCCCAATACAGATGGAAGTGTAGTTTAGCTTTTTATTAGATCACTGATTCTCTGTGATACACAAAACTCCATATCAGAATGTATGAATCGTTGTTGAATAGCAGTATACATCTGGTATATTTACCGTTAAAGAGTGGGGCACAGAACTTTTTACAATTCAAAATTTGTGCCTGGCCATCTCCAGAATGATTGGAATTGTTCTGCTAAGTACCTTAAATCTATACTTGGCCATTTCTGATAGCTGATGCATGCAATCAGCCAGCAGACTATTTATTCATATTACAAAGGCTCAGTGAGGCTCTCTGCTCATAGCATGCAATGCAATCAATAGTAATGTTCTCTATATAAACTGGTGGAGAGAAGGATCAAATGAATTACTAGTTTGCATGTGGAACACGTTTGGATGGACTGACTCAGAATCCTAAAATACAATCTGCTCTGAACCAGCAAGGAGATTTGTTTGATCCAAATAATCTATCCTTATGTGTCTGAAGAGCCCATTGTGCAGTCAGTGGGTCAGACTCTCTCTTCTGGTGCAGGGAGATGCAAACTGCTGTACCAGCTTGTCCCCTGTGTCCCAGGAAGGCCATTCGCCTAGGAGAGGACAGCTTTAACCCTCACCAACAAGGGCACAATAGAATCCCTGCTGATGGAAGCTGCCTAGAAGCTGTTCTAAATCCAGTTCACTTTTACAATCATAAAGAAAGATAAGCCCATTTTGCACAGCCAGGAGAGAATTCTGAAATTGCGCACGGTGACAATCACTTCTCACCACACATCCATGGTAGACTGCATTCAGATTAAAGATCTTGTTTAAGATCCTCTTCCCAAAATTGCTGTTGAAGGTGTAATTAAAACAAACATTGTAATCTTTACATGTTTTCTAGTGTGAATTAAATAATAAAAAGAATATTTAGAAGTTTAAAGCAGTTTAAGATGGATGAAGTAGCGTGCCTGGCATTAAATGAGGATATTGATATAACAGGCATCAGGGAAACTTGGTGGAATGAAGACACTCAAAAAGAAAAGGAGTACTTGTGGCACCTTAGAGACTAACAAATTTATTTGAGCATAAGCTTTCGTGAGCTACAGCTCATTTCTGAGCTCATTTCTGAGCTGTAGCTCACGAAAGCTTATGCTCAAATAAATTGGTTAGTCTCTAAGGTGCCACAAGTACTCCTTTTCTTTTTGCGAATACAGACTAAATACGGCTGCTACCCTGAAACCTGAAGATACTCAGTGGGCCATGGGAATAGCAGGGTACAAGATATATAAGAATGACAGAGTAGGCCATGCTAGTGGGTGGGTGGCATGTTACAAGAAAGCATGGAGCCAAATAAGGTAAAAATCTTACTTGAAACAAACTGTACCATAGAATCTCTATGCATAGAAATTTCATGCTTGAAAAATAAGAGTACAGTAGTAGGAAAATACTAACCAACCACCTGACCAGGAGAGTGACTGTGACTGAAATGCTAGGGGAGTTTAGAGAGGCCACAAAAGCAGAAAGTGCAATAATAATGGGTGATTTCAACTATCCTCAAATTGACTGGGTAATTGTCACCTCAGGGCGTGATGCAGAGATAAAATTTCTAGACACCATAAATGACTGCTTCTTGGAACAGCTGGTCCTGAAATTTGCAAGGGGAGAGGCAATTCCCGACTTAGTCCTAAGAGGAGCACAGGATCTGGTTTGAGAGGTAACTATAATTAAATCACTCAGTAATAGCGACCATATTGTAATGAAATGTAACATCCTTGTATGGGGGATAATACCAAAACACCCCACCACTGTAACATTTAACTTTAAAAAGGGGAAGTACACAAAAATGAGGACACTTGTTAGATGGAAATTTAAAGGCACTGTCACAATGGTTAAATGCCTGCAAGCAGCATGGGGACTACTTAAAAACTCCATAATAGAGGCTTAGACTAAATGTATACCTCAAATCAGAAAAGACAATTAATCAGAGGAAAAAAAAAAAAAAAAAGCCACCACAGCTAAATAGCAGAGTAATGGAAGCTGTCAGAGCCAAAAAGGCATCCTTTAAATTTTGGAAGTCAAATCCTCGTGAGGATAATAGGAAGGTGCACAAACTCTGGTAAGTTAAGTGTAAAAGTATAATAAGGCAGGCCAATAAAGAATTTGAGAAGTGTGATGAGGTGTATCAACCCCACACTACTGAGGTGAGGGTTAAGGAGCTGGTCTGGAAGATGGAAGCCACACCCCTCGCCTTTGCCAGGCGTGCTCCCAGTGTAGGGAGCACTCAAAAGGGAGCAGCTCAGCTCAGTCTGGGCTGACTGAGGAGGAAAGCAGTTGGGTGCAGCAGCCTCCTGCTGAGAAGCTGCTGGGACTAAGCCTAGCCAAGCTGATGGAAGACCGTTGACCGTGGGAGCAGAGAGTGACAACTCACTGTCACTAGGGGCTCCGGAGACGATCCTGGGAGGAAGCCAGGAGGGATCCCAAGACAGAGCTGTGGCACTGCTGGAGGTACAGGGATAGGAAGCGACCCAGGGAGTACAAGTAAGGTACCAGACCCTAGGCCACATATACGACCTACTGCTCTGACGGGCCCTGGGTCAGAACCTGGTATTGGGTGGGCCCAAGTTATCCTACCTCCTTGTTGGGACTATAGCTGGTAGGCAGAGTGGCTCTTAACTCTCGCCACGGGGCAACGCTACTGTGGAATACAGCCGCTAGGCACAGCGGCCCTTGACTCTCCACATTGGGAGACACGGCTGTGAACTGTAGCCACTAGGCAAAGTGGTCCTGAACACTCGCTACTAGGCAATAATGCTGGCCTGGGGCACACAGGCATTTCCTGACGAGAAGCAACATGCTAGAGTTCTAACAGTAAGTATCTTTTTAAGTACATCAGAAGCAGGAAGCCTGCCAAACAGGCAGTGTCGCCACTAGACAACCAAGGTACTAAAGGAGCACTCAGGGAAGACAAGGCCATTGCAGAGAAGCAAAATGCATTGATCTTCACTGCAGAGGATGTGGGGGAGATACCCACATCAGAGCTATCTTTTTTGAGTGACAAATCTGAAGTACTGTCCCAAATTGATTGATCAGTAGATGAGATGTTAGAAAAACCGATGAATGAAACAGTAATAAGTCACCAGGAGCAGATGGTATTCACACAAGAGTTCTGAAGGAACTCAAATATGAAATTGCAGAGCTACTAACTGTAGTATGTAACCTATTGCTAAAACAAGCTGCTGTACCAGATGATTGGAAGGTAGCCAACATAACACTGATTTTTAGGAAGGGCTCCAGAGGCAATCCTGGCAATTACAGGACAATAAGCCTAACTTCAGTACTGGCAAAACTGATAGAAACTAGAGTAAAGAACAAAATTATCAGACACAGATAAAAAGGTCAATTTTCACAATGGAGAGAAGTAAACAGCAGGGACCTCCAAGGATCTGTACTGGGATCTGTGCTGTTCAACATATTCATTAATGATCTGGAAAAGGGAGTGAACAGTGAAGTGGCAAAGTTTGCAGATGTTAAAGAATTATTTAAGATAGTTAAATCCAAAAGTGATTGTGAAGAGTCAGGGGGGATCTCACAAAACTGGGTGACTGGGCATCAAAATAGTAGATAAAACTCAACACTGATAAGTGCAAAGTAATGCACAGTGGAAACAATAATGCTAAACATACATATAGAATGATGGGTTATAAATTAGCTGTTACTACTCAGTTAAGAGATCTCGGAGTCACCCCGGATAGTTCTCTGAAAACTTCAGCTCAATGCACAGCAATGGTCAAAAAGACTAACAGACTGTTAGTTTCTATCCCTTTCCTAATAGTTCCTAAGATAGAAAATATCATAATGCCACTATAAATCCATGGTGCACCCACATTTTGAATATTGTGTCCAGTCCTGGTTGCCCCATCTCAAAAAGGACATAGTGGAACTGGAAAAGATTCAGTAAAAGGCAACAAAAATGATCAAAGGATTGGAAGGGCTTCCATACAAGGAGAGACTAAATAGATTAGGGCTGTTCAGTTTAGAAAAGAGGTGACTAAGGAGGATGTGACAGAGGTCTATAAAATCATAAACCATGTGGAAAAAGTGACTAAAGAAGTGTTAGTTGCCCTTTCCCATAATACACAAACCCGGGGGCATCAAATGAAATTAATAAGCAGCAGGTGTTATACAAACAAGAGGAAGTACTTTTTTACACAACGCACAACTAACTTGTGGAACTCATTGCCAGGGAATGTTGTGATGGCCAGAAGTATAACTGGGTTCAAAAAAGAATTAGATAGGTTCATGGAGGATATATCCATCAATGGCAATTAGCCAAGACGGTCAGGGAATATAACCCCATGCTTGAGGTGATCCTAAGCCTCTGACTGCCAGAAGCCAAGAGGGGAAGACAGGGATAGAACACTCCAACTGTCCTCTGTGTACACTACCCTGAAACTCTGGTCCTGGCTGTCAGAGACAGGATACAGGGCTAGACAGACCATTGGTTTGACCCAGTATGCAGTTCTCATGTTCTTAAGAACAATAGAAGGTATTTTAGCACTATAAATGCTTAGTGGAGCATAATATAGCTTAAGCAACAAATGTTTTAAAGCTTTTTGTTTTAAAGACATATGCTTTCATACATCTAAGAGCTAATAACTATGTTGAAAGAATATTGCTAATATTATCTGATAACTTTTGAATCAACTTACCTCAAAGAGGTGTTCTAAAGGATTGGATTTTAGCTTGTCTTCATTGCCAAACTGTTGGAAACCAGCTCCCAGTAAACCTAGAATAAGTAATAATTATTAAAATGGGACATTAGAAAACAGATCAGTGTGTATTGTATCTCGATTAAAAGCTTCGTACAACCAAATCTGTATCTTAGCATTATAAGTAATGAAAGTAATACACGCCAAAATATTTTTAAAACATTATTGTGTCTGCTACAACAGACACAGAAAAGAAATGGATTATTCCAGTGCTTGAAAAACCATAATAGGCAAAGACTGGTATGAAAGACAGGGGTGATCCTTCTAATGAAAAGTCCCTTCCAACACCACAGCTGCTGGAATTCCTAACCCTGGAACCTGCTGCAGGGATCCATCTTTCACATCAGCATTTAGCTAGAAGCTGTCTGAAATCTGAAGCCCACACACCAATCCCCTATGTCTGCAGGAAACAAGGTGCTGCCCTATTCCTCACATCAAAGTCATCTGGCTGCCATGACTGCTCCTTCGCCAGTCTTTGGACCACTCCAAGCCCTGGTCTACACTGGGGGGAGGGGGGAAGGGGCAAATCGATCTAAGTTATGCAACTTCAGCTATGTGAATAACGTAGCTAAAGTATTTAGATTGACTTACTGTGGTGTCTTCACCGCGGTGAGTCGACCGCTGCCACTCCCCCATCAACTCCACTTGCGCCTCTCGCGGCGGCGGAGTACAGGAGTCGACGGGAGAGCACTTGGGGGTCGATTTATCACATCTAGACTAGACGCGATAAATCGATCCCCACTGGATTGATTGCTGCCCGCCGATCCAGCGGGTAGTGTAGACATACCCCAAGAGTCTGATCTCCACTACTCTATTTACACTTTTGTTTTGGGTCTTCCTTCCCGGTGAATAGCTCCCATGCCCCACCTCTCCTGTTGCCAAGGGGCAGCGTAGAGAAATTGACGAGACTATCAGTTTCTTCAACATTCCCAACAGTAACAGTGAAAGCCGATTAGACTCTGGTCAGCTTTCACTCTGCTGCAGCTTACGAAAAATATGAGCCGCAACACAAACATTGGGGCTTCCTGTCTACAGAATGAGGACAATGCTCACTTCTTGTTTGGAAAGCTTCCTCTGGAGCCGTAAGAGTAAAAATTTGGGCCAAGGGCAAGAGTCTGCTACAGCTGTTGTTCTAGTGACACAAAACTGCTGCAAACCCATCTGAATCAGGCAGTTCGGTCAGGGTTAGTGCTGCAGAGCAGTCATAGCATCAGTGAACCGTACCCTTCATTTTTTTAAAAAAATGCATTCTTCTATTCTGCAGAAGTTGATGGCATTTGTCCCCCCATTCTCCAGAGAAAGCTTCCTATTTTCCACAAGTGGTGAGAAAGAGAAGGGATTTTTCAAGCCCCAGTTGATTATAACCAACAGGCCTTACAATACTGCAAGGAACGTGAAGCAAAAAAAAGTAGGCTTATTTAACCCCCCACACACAATAGCATTTAAATGTAACAATTTCTACCTCAGAACGACAGGAAGAGTCTGCCTGAACCCAATAAAAGCAAGGAACCTGAACTACTCAGCGTGTCCACACTCTGCAGCACATGTCGCTGGGGTGGCAGAACCCAAAAGGGCATTCACTCGAGGTGTTTTCTCTACCACCCCCCTGACTGTTCCACTGTAGAAAGACAGCTTTAAACTGCAGCCAGGGCTCCACAGGCTGCCTTGTGACAGCGTATCCCCCAGGTCCCTGGTCATGCTCCCTCCCTCACCAGTACCAACCATTTTAGTAGCAGTCTTGAGAGACCAAGAGGCTACAGGCATGTTGCACTGCTGCAACCTCCTTCTATGAGCACATCCTGTTACCGAAGACTCTCAGCTAGTCTCTCTGTTGTGTGTAGTCGCCACAGACCCAAGAGTGAATCAAACCCATGAAATTGCATGACTTGATTATTTCTTTAAATGTATCTGGTTGGTTTTAGAATTTCCCAAACATTCATAGATTAGAAGGCTAGATAGAATGCTGTGATCATCTAGTCTGACCTCCTGTTTAAACACAGGCCATAGGACTTCCCTGAATTAATTCCTGTTTGAACTAGATCACCTGAGAGGCTTTAGAACTGCCCCAAGATTGCCTCAAAGGCTGAGAAACTGAAATCCTTTCCTCATCACTAAATTAAAAGAACTTGTCCAAGTGCCTCTGCAGCCATTCAGGAGAGTCGGAGTGGATTTTAAATCCATATTCCCTCTGAGCTGTCAAGGACTAGGACTGCTGGGGAGATGGTACACGTATCCCTGAAGAGGGAGGGTGTGTACCACTTTGGAATAACTTCTCCAGCTGATAAAGGAAGTACTTCAAGAGTCTTGTCCACTTCCTGTTGGAAGCACAGAGGAGGTCCTAGGAGGAGTTTAGTAAGGGAAGCAAGACAATATCCTGGAAAGAAAAATAAAAGAAGGGCTAATCCCATTTAAATTCAGGTCTATATTTTAAAAGTTGCCTCTTGGCTGGGAACTTGCCTGCCACGTTTCAGCTGGATACAGTTTAGAAGGCTAAGTTATAAACTCCTCGTAAATGGTGGCTATAATAGAAATGCTGACAGCTCATTAACTACAGTGGTGCTTCTGGGAAGTACCATTATAATAAAATTCCTAAGCTATAATTTTGTGAACCGTGGTCACATCCTTTATAAAAGCTGTTAAATATCGGAACTGAATATGCCAATATAAAAGAACATCTGTTTTAAGGGGGACAGTTAAAACTAGTAGCTCAAAAATATGACCTACCAGCTATGCTTTAGATTGAAAGTTCGCATGTACACAATATGCTTTCCAACTACCTTTCCTGACAGCAAGATGTATGTGGCAATATATAAAATCCCTGCTATTCAAAGTTCTTTGAAAGCACCATTCTGCAATCAAACTATTTACTTCAAGAAGTTATCTTGCTCTGGCTCTGTGGATATGGGGACAGCAGTGGATGTGATATATCTTGACTTTAGCAAAGCTTTTGATATGATCTCCCACAGTATTCTTGCCAGCAAGTTAAAGAAGTACGGATTGGATGAATGGACTATAAGGTGGATAGAAAGCTGGCTAGATTGTTGGGCTCAACAGCTAGTGATCAATGGCTCGATGTCTAGTCGGCAGCCGGTATCAAGCAGAGTGCCCCAGGGGTCGGTCCCGGGGCCAGTTTTGTTCAACATCTTTATTAATGATCTGGATGATGGGATGAATTGTACCCTCAGCAAGTTCGCAGATGACACTAAGCTGGGGGGAGAGGTAGATATGCTGGAGGGTAGGGATAGGGTCCAGAGAGACCTAGACAAATTAGAGGATTGGGCCAAAAGAAATCTGATGAGGTTCAGCAAGGACAAGTGCAGAGTCCTGCACTTAGGAAGGAAGAATCCCATGCACTGCTACAGGCTGGGGACCGACTGGCTAAGCAGCAGTTCTGCAGAAAAGGACCTGGAGATTACAGTGGATGAGAAGCTGGATGAGAGTCAGCAATGTGCCCTTGTTGCCAAGAAGGCCAACGGCATATTGGGCTGTATTAATAGGAGCATTGCCAACAGATCGAGAGAAGCGATTATTCCCCTCTATTTGGCATGGGTGAGGTCACACCTGGAGTATTGTTTCCAGCTTTGGTCCCCCCCCACTACAGAAGGGATGTGGACAAATTGGAGATAGTCCAGCGGAGGGCAAAGAAAATGATTAGGGGGCTGGGGCACATGACTTATGAGGAGAGGCTGAGGGAACTGGGCTTGTTTAGTCTGCAGGAGAGAAGAGTGAGGGGGGATTTGATAGCAGCCTTCAACTACCCGAAGCGGGGCTCCAAAGAGGATGGAGCTCGGCTGTTCTTAATGGTGGCAGATCTCAGAACAAGAAGCAATGGTCTCAAGTTGCAGTGGGGGAGGTCTAGGTTGGATATTAGGAAACACTATTTCACTAGGAGGGTGGTGAAGTACTGGAATGAGTTACCTAGGAAGGTGGTGGAATCTCCATCCTTGGAGGTTTTTAAGGTCTGGCTTGACAAAGCCCTGGCTGGGATGATTTAGTTGGTGTTGGTCCTGCTTTGAGCAGGGGATTGGATTAGATCAGTGGTTCTCAAAGCTGGTCCGCCACTTGTTCAGGGAAAGCCCCTGGTGGGCCGGACCGGTTTGTTTACCTGCCGCGTCCGCAGGTTCGGCCGATCGTGGCTCCCACTGGCCGCGGTTCGCCGCTCCAGGCCAATGGGGGCTGTGGGAAGCGGCGCGGGCCAAGGGACATCCTGGCCACCCTTCCCGCAGCCCCCATTGGCCTGAAGCGGCGAACCGCGGCCAGTGGGAGCCGCGATCGGCCGAACCTGCGGACGCGGCAGGTAAACAAACCGGTCCGGCCCACCAGGGGCTTTCCCTGAACAAGCATAAGACCGGCTTTGCGAACCACTGGATTAGATGACCTCCTGAGGTCTCTAACAACGCTAATATTCTATTTTTCTAACAGAGCAGATAAGCACAGCAGGGAAAAGCAGCCTTAACCAGATTTTATTTTGCTATTTAAATATTGTTGCAGTGTACACTTTAAGAAGAAAAAAAAAATGAAGTCATATCAAAGGGATAAAAATAAAATAAAACATGTAACTATGAAGTCAGTCTAATTTTAAGGCAACTCATCATACAAGTATCCCTCCTTATTAAATTCCACAGGGCTCAGTTTTGTGCCCACTGAAGTCCATAACAAAATTCCCTTTTGACTTCAGTGACACTGGTTCAGGACCTAGAGAGACTTGGTTGAAATAACATGACAAAAAGCAAAATATTTGTTACCTGCCTCTGAAGTGTCAGAAAAATGCAATTAAGTTGCCTTGCAAAACTGTCATGTGAAAACATCCACCCATCCACACGAGGATTATGAATACACTAACATTTTTCTCATCTGTCCAAAACAATTAATCAACCAAACTAAAAGATACTTGTCCCAAACAAGAGGGCAGGTAGAACTGTGCAGGGCTGGCATTTAATATATGTATCATCTACATAGAGGAGATTGAACACAATAATATGCAGGGGCATAGAAGTTTTATTGATATGATTTTGGGAGTTAAGAATCGCTCTAATCGAATGACATAAATGCACCACGATACACAACTATTTTATTTATGCCACACATTTTAGAAAAATTGTTGTGTCTGCTTTTTGTTTTTTAAACCAAAATTTTGTTGGCACTATTCTTTTTTTACCTGTCTTCAAAGTCTGAATGTATTAGCTACCATGAATATACCCAGTCTCAGAGTAACAGAAAGTTAATACTAATACATTTTTAAAACCTCTAGAAAACTATCACAAATAGCTCTTTTGGAGGGCATGGAAGTGGAGGGGCAAAAGTACAGTGAAGTTAAGGTTTGATATCTTTCAGACTGACAGGGTTAAAAAATGATGAAGCTTGGAATAAATCTCAGGTCTCCTATGATATAAAATAAATATTTACAGTCATGGTGGCTCATGTAATATGAGACATTAGGGCAGTCATTGGTGCAAGAATAAACATTTGCCCATCTTACACTCCAGAGCAGTATAATTTCCAGTCCTTGCTTCTACAATTGTGGGGGTAAAATTGATATTGATATTACCCTCTTCTTTCTTCAAGCACTTTTTAAATAGCAGCTATTTGAACATTTCTCAGATGTTTGATTTTAGTGCTGGCAAACAGGGACTTTTAATTATCATCAACCATGCACAGTTCTGTATATTAGTATGCATGGGCCTAAAGGGGTTTGATAAGCTAAAGGCACAAAACAGAATGCAAGACAGGAGAGCAACTGTGCAATACGAATTCAAATTGTTCTACTGTTTCACAAAATAAGAAATTTATTCTATGGTTATGTCTACAAGTGTTAGGTAAATAAACTGAGTACAGTGGGTTCAGACTCCTGTAGTTCCTATACAAGCAAAACTCCCAAAGACATGAAGGGTTTTGCATGACAAAAGAATTCAGTATTAGGATATATACAGCTCTAACCATTCACTTATTGTCTATAACTTGTTTTAGCAGCATGAGCCTGTCCAATTATTAATCTTTGCTATAGCCAAATCCAGTGAGGCAGCAAGAAATTGAGGTTGTAAGCCTAGATAATGTTATTTGTGAAAGAGAAAATAAACATACCAAATTGCATGCCCCAGTCTCCAAGGTAATTTATTCTTGTTACATGATGTCCAAGTGCTTCTTTGAGGTTTGCTACAAAATTCCCTGGTAATCAAAATTATTATTATTACTCAAAACAGTAAGTGTTCTCTCATTCTTAATACTAGTTTTGTTTTGATACACTCTGCATTACAAATCCAATAAAATGTACTGTTCTACCAAATTTCTTGCTGAAATGAATCAGTTAGACTGTTAATTCTTTCAGGTCTTGTGGGGGTTTTTGCGCACTGGAAGGCGCTGTATATTCTTTCATTGTTATACAGAAAACAAACATCATATTTTATGTTTATATGGTGCTCTTCAGCTGACCATCACAAATTGCTTTTCAAGCCTCAGTGCATCCTCACAACACTGCCGTAGAATGTATCAGTCCTCCACCCCATTTTTCAGATAGGCAAACAGACACAAAGAAGTTAAGTGATTGCCTAAGTTCACCTATCATGTTAGTGGCAAAGCTAGGAAAAGTACTGAAAACTCACGACTTCCAGTGCTGTGCTCGAACCATCACAGTATCCGTAAACAGGCTGCATTCCAACCCGGCTCCTAATACATTATACCCATGAAACAGGGTCCAGTTTTTAACCCCTTCCTAAAGCTTGCTTTTAATATTACTGTAATTAAAATGCAAAAAATCCCTCAACCACATCTTTCTCCTGAGCTGGGCTGTTCTTAAGATTTTTCCTTGCTTAACTTCTGTGTCTCTGCCCCTGGTTTCCCCTGCTTTAAAGGGGCTTAAACCCTTTTAGCTCTGATGCAGGAGTATAAAAGGACCCATCTGGTCTGATATCAGAGTGACTCAGTTGCAGAGCTCTGTCTCTTTCTCCTGGAACCTTTATCCTGACACCATGTTAGAGCATCCAACCATAATTTTCTATTAGATTCATTCATGCTATTCAGTTTATTTTGTCCCTTCCGTGTAGACAGTGATCTGTAGGGTTATTTTGGGGAATGCTCCTCCCCACAGGAGATGGTGTGAAAAGGATGAGCTACGACACCTTGTAGCACTTAGTTAACAATGACATTGTAAAGAATGGTTGGACGCAGTATTAACTCAACAGATGATGCAGCATCTAGTTATCCTTGTCAGTAAAGTAGCACTTCATACACAGATATGGGGAAATACTGAAAGAGAAAAAACAGTGAAGCTAAAATTTCACTTAATAGCTTTTGTGCCACTGGAATGTTGAGTGGTAAACTAACGCACAACAATTCAGTTATGTACAGGAGTCAACGAGAGTTTTATCCCCTGTATTTGAGGTCAGAACTGGGCCGATAATCACCATGACGGCAATATTGACATATAGTAGTTAATGTATTATAAACAAACCTCATATCAGACAACCTCTAAGACAACCGGACAAACCAGAAATGAAAGTTAGTCTTAAAAGGACTTAAAATATACCAACAAAGGCTTCTAACTGTGTCTTTCTAGGATGCCATTTTAAATCTCTAATTTGGGATTTCCTCATTTAATGCTCACTGTACTATAACTAAGTAATGTGCTCATTAATAAATCTGTCTGTAACAGACTGAGTTTTTGTTGTTTACTCCCTTCCTTCACTGTTTAATCGGTAGCAGGTTCTTATTAAACATAAGGTTGGCCAGACATGGCCTCTCCACTATAGGAATGAAATTCAATAGGATTTTCTATTGAACTCCACAGAGGATACACAGAAGATTTTCTAGGCTGTAGTTAAATGTGTACTTACCTATTATCGTGGACCGCAAGTGTCCTACATGAAACTTTTTGGCAATATTGGGTGAACTGCAATAAATACCCACAGTTAACGTTTGTTCACTGTACAAAACATAGAACTGCCCGATCATTGTCTCCCCTAACACACATCCAAACAGTTGCTACACTCTTTCCATGTCCTGAAAAGTGCTAAAGGAAAACACAGCTCCCACCCTTTCCAATAAAATTCCTAGGCTGATCTAATTATGAGCTGGGATCCAGGTCCCAATTTTACTCCAGAAGGCAAGGCATAAAAAAAAAAACATGTTGCCTTCCCAATTAGGATTGTATTTGAAAAGTTGTATACGAAATAGATAAAGTACTCGCACCAATCTCTGTCACTATATAAAAATTATGCAAGTAGGGATTTTTCACAACAGACCTTTACTTTTATATAATACCTCCCTTCCTAGGAGTAAATGTGACTCCATTGCAAGGCTTTCATACAAAGCTCTACACACTATGTATGCCCTTCAGGGCATACTCCCTTTCAAATACCAACCCCAAGTAACTGCAATCAAGTATTACTATTTGCAGGAATTAAATTCAGTCGAACCAAACAAGAGCAGAGCTCTGGTAAATATTTTCAAACCCACAGAACACCTCCTCCCTACTCCCTGCACCAGCTGAGAACAACCAAAGTGGTTTCATTTACTTCCTCAGTTGTAAGTCAGAATCATTTAGGTTAATTAACCTCAGGGCATTTAAAGTTTACTCCTCCTGGACACTTGTACAGTACTATCCTTGATTTACTACTTCTCTTGTGCTTCCTCTGCTGGCAGGTTGTCCATGTCGCAGCACAGCGAAGATAAGGCAAATAGGTCTTTTTATAATTTTGAGCCAGATTTTTAGAGATCAAGGTCCATTTTTTGTGGACACAAAATTGTGCTCACAATTATTTGTGCCTGAAAAAAATACTCAGGCCAGGGTCTGAACATCCAGCCCAAAATTTAAAAAAGCCAACTACTTATTTCTGACCTGACAATATCATTGTTGTTCAGTTGCCAACCTAACCAGATGGTGGAAGATGCACAAGTGAGCAAGCAAACCAGAGTACAGTGCAAATATCCTGAAATAAAGAGTCTTAACCAGGTACCTGTTTTTTCAGGAACAAATAACTGGAGACACAATTTTGCACCAGTAGTTTTGTGCCTGCAATTTAGGACATTTAGACATCCAAATGCTTGATTGCTCCTGAAAATCTTGGATGTAGGCATCAAAGTGATCTAAATTGCAGGTGCAAATAACTGTGGGTGCGGAACAGCACCCACAACAACTGAAGCTCAGTTAAAGCCTAAAAAATTGAGGCTAAAGGGTGAAAATTCAGCCTTAGTTTCTTCATAACAGAATTAATTAAAACGAAAAAGACCATCATCCTCCAAATCAGAACATTCTTAATGAGGGTCAAATCAAGGCTTGAACTATCAACTAAATAGTGAAGATATCTTTAACAGTTCTAGGAGGAAAAAAGCCACAAATACAATTTATGTTGTATTTGCAAATAAGCTACCCATGTACTAATGCAGCTGAATACCATACATGTAACAATGCAGCAGTATCACCTTTGTAATTAAAGAACATAAGGTATTTTATTGATTCTTCTAAAAGGACTTCACCCATGTACGCACCTAAACTCAATCACTATCTTTCCTCTGGGAAGCGTAGAGAAAAGTTCACTTTTTATTCCATATTCTGAGCCATCTTTAAATACCTGCTGCAACACAGTCTAAAAAGCAAGAAAAAAATGGTTTGGAAAAAGAGCAATCAACAAAGAATTTTTTTAATGTTTTACTAATTGCCTAAAAGCTTAATCCTGCAGTCTTTATGCATGTAAGCAATCTCACTGAGGGTTATCTGTATAGTTGGCCAGACAAAGCAAGGCCCCACACTAAACCCCATGGCATTTTGATTTGTGTGTCTGTAACACAACAATTTTTGAAAACTGCATCCCATCAACTCCAAAATTTCAGGGAATTTTCTAGGCTGCAATGATTTTGGTGAAAAATCAGAAAACCAGAAAAGCCTGATTTCCACTAATATCACCATTTGTCACTCAGGTTAGAGGGCAAAGGAAGAAACTGCAGAGGTAGGGTTAGGCTAGGATTAGTGGGCTCCTCACCCCACAACATTTTGCACCACCCTGCATTTTGCAACTTTGTCCCTTGAAATTGTGGAGGGCTGACTAAAATATATTGAAAAACATTAAAAATGGAAATTTTTATTTAATACAATATATAAAGAAGGATTGTATTAATTCAGTAAAAATATGTTTCTGTATGTACTTGTCTGTCACAGAAAGTTCAGTGTCCAAAAAATTTAGCATGTTGGGCTACAGATACTGGGGGGGCTTGCCGAAGGGTAGATGGTACCGTAACCATATGAAATGACATATCCATGAAGAGCAAAGATTTTCACGAAGAATATAAGGATTCCGGAGAACTCGTTAAAGGCCGCTCATGCAGAAACACAGAAACTGAACTGCTCTTCAACAGAAATATTTTATGCTCTTATAATGGCACTTACAGTATTACTATAGTATCAGGGCCCATCCCATTAGATAACCAAAATTACAATGGCCAGTGGTCTCATTTTCCTCTCCCCTACTTAAAGGGATTTGGGTCTATGTTTTTTTGCCCATTTCCTTCTCTGTCTCTTTACCACACTTCTCGTCTCTTCCTCATAACCTGAGTGGGGCATGATTATGTGCTAATTCTGCACTGAGTCTGGCAAAACTCACACTGAAGTCAGGCAGTCAGTGGGCATTGTGCTTGAATAAGGAGCGCTGAACAGGGCCCTAAGAGAGGAAACTTTTGATTTAACTGACAATCTGACCAAATCTTGCCCATTAATCAGCTCTGAAACAAGAGCCAGTAAAAATCTGATTGAACAGTCACACTAAATTCACATATTGTTAAAGTGGATTATATGTGACCAGTTTAAAATTAAATGATAATTTTATGGCATTTGTAACTATGTTAATGTTTTTCGTAGGATAAGGTAAAAAATAAAAAAGAATCTAATCAATAGAAGTGCACATAGCACTAATAACTAAGAAGCAGACTGAAAGAGAGTATTCTTAATTTCTATTACATACAAATTGATGACTGTAGGGAGTCAGGGTGGCTTCCCTCTGAACCAGAGGGTAAAGAGCCACCCTCTCAGCCTGAGTGGGTGGGACCAGACCAAGCTTACGCCAATCCCCAGAAGGGGAGGGGTGGGACAGGAAGTACAAAGGGTGGGGCCCTTTGCCCAGAGAGAGGAGTACCAGGGAGGGAGACAGACACAGGCTGGCCCCTCCAGACCCTGCTGCCAACCCAGGAGGAACCTGACCGGGAGGAAGGCCTGTGGCGACCCGGACTGCCAGCCGCTGAGTACCCGGAGGACCTGGAGGGGCCCAGCTGTAGCCTGGGCCAGCGTGAGCCCGACACAGAGGGGGAGCTGGAGCTGCCAGCAGAGGAATACCCGGACGAGCTGGAAGGACCAGAGAGACCCGCTTGAGAGACCGGGTTGGAAGTAGCCCAGGGGCAGAACTGAACCGTGGAGTTGGGTGGGCCTGCGTTCCCCTACCCCGGCCAACCTGCCTTGGGTAGCAGAACTGTGCGCTACAAACCCATACCAGTGCGCCCCTGCCTGAGGGGCGCGCTGCAGACTCTGGCCAGCACACCTTTCCCGCTAATTCCCCAGCGCCCGAAAGGTGTGATTAAGGCCTGCCAGTGGGACCTAGCTCTCCATCGCCCCTAGAGGCTTGGAGGACCGATTGAAACGTGTCACAATGACCACAACGTAAAAGTATTCAGCAAAAGTCTTTATAGGAGAAGGCAACTTCTTGGGCTTCACCAATATAGATGAGAATTTTCACTTCCCCAGAAACAGGCAATCAGTTTTCCAAGACGACAATCTGTCAAATCCGAGCTGTAGCTCATGAAAGCTTATGCTCAAATAAATTTGTTAGTCTCTACCACAAGTCCTCGTTTTCTTTTTGCGAATACAGACTAACACGGCTGCTACTCTAAAAACTGCTCAGTCTCTGGTTTAGATTTTCATAACATGCTTCTAGCTCAATGAACTAGTTGAGCAACCAACCTACAAAAGGACTTTTGAGTCTAGCTGTACCACCCATCCACCTATCTCCCTAAGGATCTTGAAACAAGGACCCAGAAATCAGAGTCTACTTTGGGATAATACCACCAGTGACAAAGGTGAGTGGCCCACTTCCCTCCAGCAAGTTATTGATTTAACATTTAAGCTATCTTTTTCCAATTAGCCAACAGTCTTTGAAGTTTTGAACAAACCATAATATGGTAAAATCTGAAGAGCAAAAATTACAATTCTAGATGTCTTTATAAAATAGTATTTTCCACCTCTAGCAAAGGCCTTGGAGCACAAGAACCAAGATTAAATTTTTGACTTGCACAATTTAGGACCTGACCCTAAATTGTAGACCAAATTTAGACTTTGAAGGGAAAAGGGGAAGAAGAAAAATCAGAATTATTAAACTGTGTCAGAGAAACTACTTCCTTATATTTTTAAGAAGAGATCTTTGTGAACCTGATTCCAAATTCTCAGCATGCATAATAAAAGACAGCTGTTTAGTCAATCCTTAGAGAGGGAATATATGGTTTTTAAACTGAAACAATGATTGTTTGAATGTAAAGTTCTACACTAAGACTACAGCAGATGTTTTTCATTTCTATGAAGAGGGGCTAATTTTGTCATTATTGTTAATATTTCATGTGTGTTAAAATACTTACCTTTGCTAATAATTCCCTATTTATTGTGAAGTTCACTGTTCCTGGACCAGTGCTGATTTCTCTCACTACCGTATCACATTTTAGCTAAAAAACACATAAAAACAGGTGAATAAATCATTTGCTTCATTAGACATGCAATATTATATTGGCTAGAATTCCTTAGGATGGAAAGGACGTACAGTGGGTCATCTAATAAATTCATCCCCTCATAGAAAGGTAGACTTGCGTTCATTATTTCCAAACCATCTCCAACACATGAATATCTAGTTGACCCTCAGATATTGTACTTTCTCTTCTTTTGATCTAGTCCATTTTTATCATTTTAATGGAATGAAAGAGTTGATTTTTATATCAATATAGATAGATACTGAGATGCATGTGACAGCTTGCATGACACATGTTAGTGTTTATAATACCAGTCACTAATACCTTAAAACATAGGAGCCCGAAGTTAGGCTCCAAAATCCTTATAGAGGTTCCTAAATAAGAGACCTGACTTTCACAAATCCTCAGCACCCAGCAGTATCAACTGAAGCTGATGAGTGCTGCTGGGTGCTCAACACTTTTCAAAATTAGGTTTAAAATTTATATAAGACTTTTTTTTTTTTTTTTTGAAAATTGGCCCCCAAAAGTATATTTGAACTCCACATCTAACTTTGAATGGCAATCAGAGTTAATGTAGCTTTTTCTTGGCTACTTTGTCTTCTCTTTAATTGAGAGTTTTGGCCTCTTCCTTATTAAATGGGCAGACTTCTATGGCCAATAAAACCTGCCTAGAGAAATGAAAATAAGGAGTTGCATAACTTCTAATATAAATTATTTGGTTACTGATCTTTGTTTCAAATTAACTAGTGATGGAATTAAGCAGAAACATTTCATTTCCACTGAAGAAGATTCCTCAGTCTGCTTAAGGAACATAGGAATTGCCATGATGCATCTAGTCCAGTATCCCACCAACCTTTTGCTGGCCACTAGTGTAGGGGATTGGGTGGGCTCCTTTACTCTCTGCTGATCCCCAGCTTCCAGAATACTCCCCTGTGGCTACGGGCAACCAGTGTAAATCAGATCAGGTTTTAGGCCTTTGTCTCTTCATCTTTGAGCTACACAAAGCACTCCTTGGCCAAAGTACCCGTTACATCTTCCCTCAATCGTCCCATCTCTTGCCCAGATCTTGTCACTTTCCCTCAGTCTCACTCGCCAAACCTCTTGTTTTTGCTGCTTTTCTCTGAACTCCCTCCAGTCTGTTTGAAGTGTAGTGTCAGAACTGAACACAGTATCCCAATAAGGCCTAGCCAGCACTCAATCGTTACTTCAGTTGTTTTTACATGTGACACTCCTCTATCGGTATAACTCATTCTTAGTATTTACTCGTTTTTGTGACAAAACTGCCCAGGCAATGCATTCAATCTTGCACAACATCCTTTTGTAGTATTTACACACAGCTTTCTCTGTGTGTATTAGGCATATTAGTTTACATTCACCTTTAGTGAATCTCATTTTTTTATGGTAATCCATTTTTCCAGTATATTAACATCATATCCTATTATAATCCTATTTGCCAAAGTATTTGTGATACTTATCAGCTTTGTATCATCTACAGATTTAACAGTCTCTAAACCATTAAGGGGAATACTGAATAGCGTGGACTCAGAATGAACTCTGTATACACTTTAGACATCACCTCTCAATGTCACACTGAACAATTAATTACTCCCAGGTTATTTTTGTTTTAAATCAAATTGTGACATCATTTTATAGTACTCTTATCTAACCCTGTTTCTCTAATTTCCCATGAAGATGTCCTGTGCAATTAGGTCAAATGGCTGCTGTTATGTTACACTCACTCAAATGGGTGCAGCTGTCATTGGAATCAGTAGGAGCTGTCTATGTGTGAGTACCATTTTCTCTAAGGAATTTGCTACATTTTCTTTATCTAATAAGCTTGTTATCATATCAAATAAAGAAGCTTATTGTGCCAGAGTACCTTCTCTGCTAGCCTCTGAGTTTGAAGCTGAAGATCTGGCTTTGAATGATCACTAGACTTGTTCTCTATCACAGAGCCCACAAAGAGCTGGAAATCAGCAACTGGCCTAGAGAAAGACATAAAAAAACAGAGCTTGCTGTTACTAAAATCTATTGAAATGCTGGGGAAATTTACTAAATGTTAATAATCCATTTTTGTAGGGAATAATTCCATTTAGGCATTCACTCAAAGCCTTCATGTCAAAAAACAAAAGAGCATCAAACATGTTTTGCCTGTTCCCAATATCCTCTGAGAAGAACCACAAGAGCACATCACAATTTCATCTGAGTAATAATGGAACTTTTAACAGATTTTTTCCAATAACCACTTGTAAATTTCAGTATCTGCTAAAAAGGAATATCAATATTGATTAGGCAGACCAGTGAAAAGGTAAATGATACTGGAGACAATTGTTGACGACTGTGCGTAACCCACACAAGCATAAAGTGTATGAGGCTTCTCCTGTTCAATTTAAAGGAGAATGTTCAGTTTTGTCCTATCTATGGTGTCTGAAAGATACTGGCTAAGGAAAAATATTCAATAATGCAATCACACAGCCTGTAGAAAAATATTACTTCCCTAAAACTTTTCAGAATGTCTGTGATTTTTAGTGGTTTTCAAAAGCCAAGTCTAATAAGCAAACAATATTTCATGAGTGTATGTGAGACAGACAACCAGTCTTGAGGAAATTATCTAGATTCCCAATGATATCGTAGGATGGAAAATGCAGTTGTGTTAGCATTTTTCGATTACCTCACGCTCGTGGAGTATAAAAGGTGTTAAGGCAAAGACTACTTACAGAACAGCTGGAGTATAGGTGCAATTAGTTGGTTAGCTAGTTTAAAGGAATCCTTTTTCCTTTGTCAGGAGAACTATCTTGAGTACAGGTTAAGGAAATGGTGGTAGACTCCCCCATTCCAACTGCTATGCTGTATGCCATGTGCTTGTGGTTTACAGTCCTCCGCTCCAGCAGCGGCTCCATTTTGGTGATTCTGTTTTTATTTAGGGCTTGATACTATAAACATTATCGCAGTAGGGCTCTGATCCAGCAAAATACTTAAACATATGGTTAACTTTAAGCATGTGAATTGTCCTATTGACATCAATAAGACTACTCACTTCTATGCCAGATAGTAGGCATTTGTAGGATAAAGAATGAATGATACTATTGAACACGTGCCTGGCTACAGAAAAGCCCAACCTACTGTGATGCATAGATAAATGTTGTACAATTAATTATTTTTTCATTTTCCCCCTAATTACTATATTCACTTTGTATACAATTTGAGGGCATAACACTTGTAATAAAATCCAATTTACTTTTTGCATCTCTCAGACAGGAGAATGAAAATCAATATGAATGTTACTTTTATTTCTAATCAGTTTCACTTACAGATTTTTAGTGCTGTAATATTTGCATTTCAGGCACTACAATGGGATATTTATTTCAATTGCATTTTTAAGTATCAGAAGTGATTCTGTTGGTTCTGAGATTTCATAAGTTTGTTTTAAAAAAAATTAAATGGTGAGCCAGATTTAAGTTAAATGTCCCTCTAAAACTGACTGGGATTTAAATATACACTAATTTTCATATTAGCCAGTACTGTTTGATTTTCTGTATTCGTATTTCCCTAAAAGTTCACTGAGATCTTATAGTATTAAGCACCACACAAAAAAATTATTTTATTAGAACATAAAATGTAAACACTTTACCGTTTTTTGGAGACAGGAAGTGCAGATATGGACTTTATCAAATTTTCTGGTGGCAGGTTCAAAACCCTTGAAAGCTAGATTTGAAACAGATCAAAACTATAATAAGAGATTTTCAGTGAAGTTATTCCCTCTTTAGGCTCCAATGCAGATGTGACATACATTTTTATAAATTTATTACCATCCAGACTGGTGGCAAAAATGTTAGCTGAAGCTATTTTAAGATCAGTTTTTAAAAATGTGTTACAAACACAGTCAATGAAAAAATATAAAGGGCACTTTAGAGAAAGCTGTACTAATCAAAATTTGCAGCTCTAAACCTCTTTTATTTGTAGAAGGAAGGCTGCAGAGACCTGTTTATTGGAATGGAAAAGATAAATTTTATTTTAATATAAACTATTTATTGCATGGAAGATGAATGATGATCAATTGCTGTCCCAATTTAAGATCTCTTTCATGAGGGTAACTGAATAAGTGGTATCTTCAGTCATACTGGGTTATGTTTAATCCTAGTGGAAGCAGATGCAATTCTAATGAAGTCAATGGAGCTTCATCTACGAAGAATGGCCCATGGTGTGAAGTTCCCTGCAAAAAACATGCCAACCAACAGTGGCTCAGAAAAGTAGTAGACACAATTCGGGAAGTTAATTCATTAGAAAATCAGATTCCTTTTGTTAAAACAAAATCCTAAAAATAGAGAATATTTTTGGTAATAATCATTTAACAATGTTAAATGGAAAACAACCCCCCTCCAGTTTGCCTCACAGTGAAGTATGAGCAAAACTGACAGAACACTTAAATTTACTCCAGGTCATTAAGAAAACATTATGTTGGGGAAAAAAGAAGAGATGAATAAGGTACTTCAATATTAGGATTTTTTAATTCTATTCCTAACATCCAGTTCCTGGGTCTAGCCACTGGACTTATTGTACCCCAGTCAAATGCAGCTCAGAGGTAGTAACAGAGTCTGAGAGATTAATATTAACACTTTAAAAGCCTTTGGGAAATCAGGTGACAGTAGATTTCATTTTTAAAGCCCTAAATGGACCTCTCCAATCTTCCTCACTGTTCTTGTTCCTTTCTCTCTACTCTGTTGCCTGCTAATTCTGCTTTTTTAACATCAGCCTGTTCTCTCTTCTCACACACAAACCAGAGCTTGTCTCCCGCTGTTCTGAGTAGCCCTCCAATATCTTAATTTTATCAACTTTGCATCTCTTTACACATCTCATATTAAATCATGTGCTTGAGTTATACTTTTGAAATTTAGTACATTCTTTCTTCACTATAATTACAGAGAGGAAAAAAAAAAAAAGATGGGAGCAGACATTCTCTAATAGCCACTTCCTCCTAAAGGGTGGGTGGTTGTCTTCTAATAAATATGAACTGCTTTGTTATACTATATTGTATCACCTTGTACAGTATGGCAGTGCAAGATACTGTGTTTATGGTATTATAGAAATGTAGTGTTGAGTGAATTTTTCAAGCACTTACTAGCCTGAAAACTGAATGTGCTAGCCAAGGTGAAAAATCCATGTCACCATATCCCTGAGACCACACTCCCTGTAAATTAAAGGATTAAACAGTTTATTGTGTGTTTGCTACATTTAATTTTAATACATCAATCAACTTTTTAAAAGTTACTTACTAAGGGATTCTCTACATGGGGAATTATTCCAGAATAACTATTCCTGATCCACTTCCAAAATGGTACTTTCATTCTGGAATAAGTGTGTCCACAAATGGCGTTGAGAAATAGTTAATCCACATTAAATTCCGCCCCCCCACCTTATTCCGTACTAGCTTTGATATGTAGACAAACACTAACTCAGTTTTGCTTTTGTTTCATATTTTCTCTTCCTGGCATCGCTCCATGTTCCCCTCTCTTCTTTCCTACAATAGCTTTTCCTGTGTTGTTTACAGAGACTTTTCCTTTCTTTCTCCCTCCCTCTGTTCTCTGAAAGCCCTAATTCTTTTTCCTAATTTATCTAGTCAATCTCTCTTACACCCCAGACTACCCACACCTTCCCTCATACAGAGGATTTAAAAGCTACCACGTACTTAACAGCCAGGGGACTAGACCAAAGGACTTCTGTAAAATGAGGGACCACACCACCCAGGGACACCACACAGAAAAGAAGCCACCACTGTCTGGACTCCTACCATGATGATAAGGATACTGGACCCTTGCTCAGAGGCTTCTTTTATTATAGCCCCCTTCACATGACCCGGATCTGTTACAAGGTCACGGCAAATGACAGGGGACAACATTAGGGTTGCCAGTTTTAGTTGGACATATTCCTAGAGGTTTCAACACATGACATAATCTTTAATTCCTGGAGACTCCCAGGGCAATCCTGGAAGTCTGATAACCCTCGACAGCATCCACTGATGTAGGATTCATACAAGGTTTATGTGCTTGGCAACATTCAGGGCACACCCGGAGTGTTGTGCTGGACCTGTGCACACACAGCTCCTTTCAAGGGCATCAACCTTGGAATCTCGCCCAGATGACATGAACCGTGGGAAGCCTCCCAGGACTGGGCTCAAGGCCCGAGAGCAAGGAATGCGGTAGATAGAAACTGGTAAATAAGAATGTTAAACAAAGCCAGTGTATTCCTTTTATCTGTTGGAGAATGTAATGCGCGGGGGGAGAGAAAGAATAAAGGGGAAGGTGGAAAGCAGACAGGCAGAAGCCTGTTAGCAGACCAGCCGTTTGCTTGCTAAAAGCTGTGTTCTGTCTTGTCATTGAATCGCCACACACTGATTCAAGTGGTTATGATTACTTTTTTAAAAAATTAAATTATGACATAACATGATACCAGCCAAAACTGATCACCACAAACTAATCTGTCTCTGAATAACAATGGCCTTATAATCACAAAGCCACTTCTTGGTCTCAATGTAGTTTCTTCTTCTGTGGCCCACTCAGTTGCCAAGGAAGAGCTTCCATCTGGAACCTGTATTTGCTGTCCTTAGTGGTTTTCAATGCCAGTGACTGGGTGAGCATGAGTTACTTTTGTCAACAGCACTCCAGATGTCCTCAAGAAAAGGAGAGTCAATGTTCTTGGTTTTCTTTCAAGATCATCCATTCCCATTTTAGAACGGACTCTCATACATAGTTTGAGATATGACATTGGTGCAGCTAGTAAAACTGTTATAGTGAGTCGATGGTCAGAAGGTGAAGCACAAAGTAGAACCGGTCTATCTAGGTGTGACCTTAGACCACACACTGAGTTACCATGCCCACCTGAAGAAGACAGCAGCTAAAGTTAAGATGCGCAATAATCTTCTTAGCAAACTGACAGGTTCGTCATGGGGTACTCGTGCTACAACTTTGCAGACGTCAGCTCTTCCACCTCATATTCGGTGGCGGAGTACTGCGCACCAGTTTGGAGTTGATTGTCACACACCAAACTGGTGGATACATAGTTACTTGCCACCATGCTTATCATCTCCGGCACCCTGCGTCTGATTCCACTCCCATGGCTTCCAGTTCTGAGCAATATTGCTCCTCCTCATATCAGACGAGTGGTTGCCACTGGCAAGTTACTGGAGAAAATAAGTGCCAACTCAAGCCTACTGCTCCACAATGACCTTTTTAAACCACCAGCTGCACGTTTGCCATCATGTCGCCCATTATGGTCTCATCCGCCACGCCAGGATGTTAGGGCGGAAACACTCTGGTGAGAGGAATGGAATCTGTTATAATCCCCAACCAGTCCCTCATCACCAATCCCACAATTTGCCCACCTGGTTTTGACCTGCCCTGTCACCAATGGTCCCTGTTGAACAGGTTCCAGACTGGGAAAGATCTCTGTGCAGCCAACCAGTATCGCTGGGGCTTTCGTGACAGCCCTTTGTGCAGCTGCAGTGCAACACAGACGATGACGCATATTGTCAATGAAAGCCTGCTGACGAGGTTCAGTGGTGGCCTAGAAGAACTGCATCACGCCACTGAAGATGCCATCGCTTGGCTAGACAACTATGCACTCGCTAAATAAAAGTGAGTGTATGCCAATCTGTATGGTTACTAAGGCTTAAGGTTACTGGTGGCAGTATGTAAGGTACGTGTAGCGACACACCACAGTAACAAGCTGCACAGCTATACACGTCAGTGAAATACTCTGGCAGCGGAGAGCTGCCTGTTGGAATTATTATTATTAAGGCTATGTTTTAGTCATGGGTATTTTTAATAAAAGTCATAGACAGGTAAACAAAAATTCACAGCCCATGACCTGTCCATGACTTGTACTATATACCCATGACTAAAACTTGGGGGCGGACGGGGTGCTGCGGGGGAAGGCCTGGGGGCACTGCAGGTGCTTGGGGAGGTGGGCCAGGGAGTGCCATGGGGGCAGGCAGCAGCGCACAGCCTGGGACCCCCGCTGGTGCTGGGGGCTCGGTGTTTGGGGCTGGCAGGCTCCCCACCCGGCTCCCCAGAAGCGACGATATCTCTCAGCTCCTAGGCAGAGGCACGGCCACGCAGCTCTGCGTGCTGCCTCCTCCCCAAGCGCCAGCTCCGCAGCTCCCATTGGCTGCAGTTTGACGGCTCCGCAGCTCCCATTTGCTGCGGTTCCCGGCCAATGGGAGCTGCAGAGCCAGCAGTTGGGGAGGAGGCAGCATGCAGAGCTGCGTGGCCATACCTTCCCCTAGGAGCCGAGGGATGTCATCACTTCCAGGGAGCCCTCCCCCACCACGAGGTAAGCACTGCTCAGAGCCCTCACCCCCTCCCACACCCCAACCCCCACCCCAAACTCCTGCTGCTGCTGGGGGACAGGGGCCCAAGACTGCCCCAGCACCAGTCGGTGCTGTTGGCCCGAGGGCTTCCCAAGCCGCTCAGGAGGCCTGGGCCAGCCACACTGGCCACTACAGAAGTCATGGAAAGTCACAGAAAGTGACTTGTGTGACAAACTCGCAGATTTCATTATTATTAATACAGGGTATCACCACAACATCAATGTAACCATAAGTACCTTTATTAAATTCAAAGGCTGAATGGTATTTATCCAAATGTGCCTTAAATGCCTAAGCAATAATTACAACTGTACAGTAGCATGAAGTTATAAGAATTGATCACCTACTTATAACAGGACTGGACCTGGGTGCTCAAACCTATGTTGGCTAGCTCCAACTGGACAGCTGGTACTAGCAAGGAACTTTGAAGACTTTATCCTTTTATACCTTAGTATGGGAACCTACATGACTATGATCACGGTTTCTTGAATTCCTTTCTTTGTTAAAATCAGTCAGAATCATCTTGATAATTGGGGGTTTTCTTCAAAGAGTTTTCTCCTATCTTATCAGTTACCTTCCAGGTCGTTTTTCCAATGAAGCCACATTCCAAGCCCAGTATTTTCAATTAATCACAGCACCTTTCAAGGCCTTCCCACGACTGCTAAACAACTGCATTTTACGTAAACTGCAAAGCATATATATTATTTAGCCAAACTTATTAAATGCTTTATATACCTATCTAACCCTATACTGCTGGAACTTGTCCATGCTGCTGGAGTCTTTCACAGTGGCAGGGAAAGGCTCTAGCAGCCTGCTGGGGCTACTTTTCCTTCTGCCAGAGCCTTCCTCTGCAGCAGGGTACGACTCCATCAGAGGGACACTATTCTGCTAAAAAATAGCAGTGTAGATGGGGGAGGCACTGCTTGGGCACACAGAGTTGTATTGGGGTTCATACCCTAAGGGTTCTGGTGTATCTTTACTCACCTAAGCAGTGCCTCACCATATAACACTGTGATTTATACCCATACTGGGAAGTTGGGGCATGCAGTATATATACTCTACACACTGCTGTAAGAAGTGTGTGGTGTACATGTAACCTTAGGGTACTAGTAACTGAAAACCTATACTGATGCACAGGTGTAGTCAGTAAAGTCATGTGTGTAAAAAGCCCAAAATGGCTGAGAACTTTCACACTGGACAGTAACAGACCGCAAATTCCAATGGTGGTTGAACCTGGTGATATTTCTAAACAAAAAGAGCTCTCAGGTATGCTTGTAGTTGTTTCCATTGCCTCACACTGACTGTTCAGACACTTTAGGTTTTAGAGTGACACTCCTGGAATCTTACACATGGTGCATTTGAAGGTTCATCCCCACTCCTCTGTGGAGTGAAAGAAAGGAGGAGCCCGTGGGTTGTTCTCTGCTCTCATCCCAGAACCACCTGACCATTGCAGCAAGAGAGTAGCAGGCCAGAGCACACAGTGGAACAGCATACACCTGACAATTTCACTTCTGCCTTTAGGGACCGCAACAATAGCAGTGTATCTGACCAGTCTCAGGGCTTCATCTATGTGAAAAAAATCACCCCGGTTTAACTGAAACCGGTGCAAACGCCTAGTAGGTGCTCTTATTTAGGTTTAAGAGCATCTTTTTGAGGTTTAAACAGATTCCTTTAATCAGTTTAAAATAAACTGAAATATTGGATAATGGACTCTTCAGTCTAGAAAACTGGCTGGAAGTTGAAGCGTGACAAATTCAACGTGGAAGTAAGGGATACGTGTTCTAACAGCGAGGCGAGGGTAAGTAACCAATGCACCAGTTTACCAAGGGTGGCAAGGCAGGGCATTTCTCCACCGCCACCCATTTCCAGCGCAAGACAGGCTGTTCTGCTAACGGCGAGGCTGGAGCTCCCGAGGAACGAACCCGGGGAAGTTGCGCGGCCGGCGCCAGGCAGGGGGTGGGACAGAAGATCACACTGGCCCCCGACACGTGCCTGGTTCAAACCGGACTCGGAGTGTCCGCGCGGCTGCTTGCGCCCGTCGGGCCCCCGGGCTGCCTGGCAGCGCGGACTCAGGTACCCGCACAGCCCTGCCCCGGGGGTGAGGGGACAGGGCCAAAGGGGAGTCTGGGAGCCGGGGGTTCGAGCGCGAGGGGTGGGGGACGGACACCCGGCCGGTCCCGACCACAGGGACCCCGGGGCGGGGGTGGGCCGTGTGCAGCGGCAGGGGGAGTCTCTGCGCAGGGGACACGCTACCTGAGCGGCGATGCTCCTCCGAAAGGGACAAGCCGCCATGGCTCACGTCGAACCAGCCGCGCGTGCACCCCCGTCGCCCAACCGCGCGTGGACTAGCCCAGCGGGGAGGAGCCGTTCCTTCCCGTTGCTGCTGAAGGGGCGGTGGCCTGTACAACCCTCGGGGGTGTCAGGAGCTTTCCCCTCCCCCGCGCCGGTGTTTGAGCCGCGCCGCTCGCGGGGCGGAGCCGCAGGGGATGGACCATCCCATCCCATCCCATTGTGTAAAGGGGGGGGGGGAAGTAGTTTCCGAGTTCACTCTGCGACTGGAGGAAGAGAACTCGCCCTGTTGTCGGCGATTTGCGCATGCGCCCGTAGCTTCTCGCGCGCGCGCTGGAGTGGGCTGAGGTGCTGTTGCCGTGGGAGCGCGTGGGGGCAGAATGAGCACGAGCTCCGTCTCCAAGGTGGGTGGGAGAAGAGTCGCTGCGCCCCCCGCCCGCCCCGTGGCACCCCGCTGGCCCGCGCGCTGGGGCCCTGTTTGGTAGCTCAGCCCGCGCGTCCGGCGGCCTAGTCCGTGGTGTCCGGGCGGCTCCGTCCGTGGTGTCCGGGCGGCTCCCGCGCCGCGCTCTGTGCCGACGGGGGGGACACGGGTCCGCTCCCCGGCTGTCCGCCCAGGGTGCTGGGGGGGCTCCCCCCACGGGAGCCCCGCCAGTTGGCGCGGAAGGATGGAACCTGGAGTGGAGCCCCCCCCCCCCCCCGGCAAGGACGTGGGGCTGGAGAAGAGCCCCTTGTCCTGTGGGGCTGCTGGCCCGACCCTGGGTGGGTAAGAAGCAGGTGGTACAGCGGGGAGGTGGGGCACGTGTGCACGCAGGAGGGGCAGGCGGTTTGTGTATCCCCATCCCCTAGGGATCCCTCTCCCCGTACAGTCCCCGGGGCCACCTTCACCGTCAGTGCAGGAGCGAGCTGTGTTGATTCCCTTTGTTAGGGCTGTTTACAGCAGCCTTGCATTTGGTTTTCCCTTGTTCTGTAAATACATATACTGCGGCTCCAGACGCACCCACAGGGGCCGGCCAGCTTGTCTTCCAGACATCTAAGCACGTGCAGAACTTTATTCACACGACTAAAGTTAAATAAGTGCTGGCAGGATCTGGCCCTGACACCCAGCAATAGTGGTGTGCCATATATAACAGAGAAGATATGTACAGGGAGGAGCCGGATAGAGACCATGGAGATATGTAATTTTTATTTTGCTACAGAAGTGTGATTAATATACTGCCCTGCTGTTGTGTCATGTACATTGTTTTAGACTGTGCAGAGGTAGTGGGTGATATTAGAGTGAGAGAGATTTATACAGGTTTTGTAACGATGAGGAGGTGGATATGACATAGGGTAGGGGATATTATTTATTCAGTTTTATACTACAAGAACATCAGTGTGCTTTGTTAATTAGTGACACTGATAATTGAAAACATACAGACTTTTAAACTTATAAGCAACCCTACTATTGATAAAAACGCCTGTGACCGACAACCAACAGTTAAGAGAAATCAGAATAAGAATAAAAATAAAAGCAAAATAGTGTTCAGCCAAAGTATGGACTGGCTACTATGATTCCTGGCTTCATCCCCACAGTTTACACTATTACAGCTCATTTTACTTGTGGATGAGGTACAGGTCCTACCTCATGCAAAAAACTTATGTGAGTACATCATTTCAGAACTCCATGCATGCCACTAACTCTTAGTTTTCTTCAAAACTGAATTTGAAGTCCTGATCCTAAGGTCTGATACCAAGTCATTTGAAGGTGGTGGAAAGACTCCTATTGACTTAATAGGCTTTGGGCCAGGCTACTAATCTCTAATTCTCTACCTGGTCTAGAATTTGACTCACAAAGACTACCTAACCATCCATAACCAACTAAAATCTAGCTGCTTCATGCAGACAGTGCAGCCAAAGATTAACTTTAGATATTTGGATGTTGGGGGCAGGACTTTCCAGTGCAGCCAAGCTTGACCATTATAAAAATCCAAGTCTTATTTTTTCATTAAAGCCTTCCTGCAGTATCAAAGGGGTAGCCGTGTTAGTATGGATCTGTAAAAGTGGCAAAGAGTCCTGTGGCACCTTTCAGGCTAATAGACATATTAGAGTATAAGCTTTTGTGGGTGAATACCCGGTTCATCAGATGCCTGGTATTCACCCATGAAAACTTATGCTCCAATAAGTCTGTCAGTCTATAAGGTGCCACAGGACTCTTTGCCGCTTTTCCTGCGGTAAACTCCTATGACCCTAATAGATCTAGCAAGAGATGAGGGAAAAGAGAACTGGGATAGGAACAGGTGTTATCTCTCACCCCTGGTTTCTTGTCCCAAATCTCCATTCCTCAGACTTCTCTGTCTCCTTTCCCAGCAAGTCCTATTCCTCATGTCAAGGTTCCTCCCCCACTCTGAACTCTAGGGTACAGATGTGGGGACCTGCATGAAAACCTCTTAAGCTTACTTTCACCAGCTTAGGTTAAAACTTCCCCAAGGTACAAATTAATTTTATCCTTTGTCCCTGGATCTCCACTGCCACCACCAAACTCTAACTGGGTTTGCTGGGAAACGTAGTTTGGACACGTCTTTCCCCCCAAAATCCTCCCAACCCTTGCACCCCACTTCCTGGGGAAGGTTTGGTAAAAATCCTCACCAATTTGTATAGGTGACCACAGACCCAAACCCTTGGATCTGAGAACAATGAAAAAGCATTCAGTTTTCTTACAAGAAGACTTTTAATAGAAGTAAAGAAATCACCTCTGTAAAATCAAGATGGTAGATACCTTACAGGGTAAATAGATTCAAAACATAGAGAATCCCTCTAGGCAAAACCTTAAGTTACAAAAAAGACACACAAACAGGAATAGTCATTCTATTCAGCACAGTTCCTTTCTCAGCCATTTAAAGAAATCATAATCTAACACATACCTAGCTAGATTACTTACTAAAAGTTCTAAGACTCCATTCCTGTTTTATGCCCGGCAAAAGCAACATACAGACAGACACAGACCCTTTGTTTCTCTCCCTCCTCCCAGCTTTTGAAAGTATCTTGTCTCCTCGTTGGTCATTTTGGTCAGGTGCCAGCGAGGTTACCTTTAGCTTCTTAACCCTTTACAGGTGAGAGGATTTTTCCTCTGGCCAGGAGGGATTTTAAAGGGCTTACCCTTCCCTTTATATTTATGACACTCACCCTCCAGGCTTGTTTTGTGTCTCAGTCCCAATTTCCTGCCCCATCCCGTCTAACCAGTCCCAGGTTCCCCATCCCAGTTCTTTGTCCAATCTCTCTCTCCCCTTCCTGTCCCCACTGGCTCCCAGTCCTAGTCTCCCTCCCTGGGCACTTCATCCAATCTTAGTTTTCCCCCTACCTGGCTCCATGACTCTGTCTCTTTGTTAAGCCAGTCCCATTTCCCCGCAGACCCAGACTTCTTGTTTGATCTTAGTGTTCTCCCACTCCCTTCCCCTCCACCATTTCCCTCATTGGCTCCCAGTCTGCTTGCTCAATAGGTTCCAGCCTTCCCTCTGCCCCCAACTCCCAGTCACAGCCTCTTTGCCCAGCCAGTCCCAGTTTCTGTCCCCCTTTCAGTCTGTTTCATCAGATGCCTTGTCAAGTCTACTCCTTTTCTTACCCCTAGTCCAGCTTTTATACCCTGTGTTTTTGAATTGGATGGCTTCCTCTTCTAGCAGCCTGGATGTCAGCAGAGCAGGCCGTTGAGAATATGTCTAACTGCAGTTTGAAACCCGTGACTGGCCTGACTTGGGCTCATATGTTTGTTTAATTGTGGTGTGTTTGGGCTGGGTCTGGGACCCAGTGAGTGGGGACAGAGCATGCTCAGTCACACTATGGAGATGGCACATATGCAGTCTGGAGGTCCGCATGAGGAGCTGTGAGAAGCTCAAATGTGCTTAGTGAGACTGGAATCTTCAGAGTAATTAGCTGCTAAAATTGAAGAAGTCTTAACTAAGTATTGATGAGTTGTGATTTTTCAAAGGCTTGCAACTTGGCCAAGTTTGGGTAAATTTTCACAGGGACAGCAAAAGGCACATCCATGAAAATGCACTCTCCTGCCACATTTCAAGTCCCTGTTCCACAGCATTAGGTCACTAGAGCTATTCAATTAAAAGGTTGCCAGATTTTTTTTAAGAGGACAAAACAACATATTTTTCTGTAGCCTGGTTCTCAGAAGCAGCTAAACCATTTTAGCTGGAATTTCCCTCCCCCCCTCCCCCCCCAAAAAATTTCAACCTGAGGCAGATACTAGCCCTGAAAAATTTCAGCCCAAATGGTAAAATTCACAAAGTTACAAGCAACTGAAAACTGAGTCTTATATTGGGAAGTGTCAGACAACCTTAATAATAGTATGTGCTCAGCCAATGATGCCTACATGGTATGTATACACTGCAGCTGTTAGCAGGCTTCCTAGCACGAGTAGATAGGTTTGTTGGCTCTGCGAAAAACTGCTGAATTGGAATTAATTTGCAAACTGGATGCAATTAACTTAGGCTTGAATAGAGACTGGGAGTGGATGGGTCATTACACAAAGTAAAACTATTTCCCCATGTTTATTCCCACCCCCCACTATTCCTCAGATGTCAACTGCTGGAAATGGGCCACCTTGATTATCACTACAAAAGGTCGTCATTGCCGCCCCTCCCCTCCCCCCCCGCTCTCCTGCTGGCAATAGCTCACCTTAAGTGATCACTCTCGTTACAGTGTGTATGGTCACACCCATTGTTTCATGTTCTCTGTGTATATAAATCTCCCCACTGTATTTTCCACTGAATGCATCCGATGAAGCTTATGCTCAAATAAATTTGTTAGTCTCTAAGGTGCCACAAGTCCTCCTTTTCTTTTTGCGAATACAGACTAACACAGCTGTTACTCTGAAACCTGCCAGCTATGCTAGGAAAATTCATGCACATTTTTTCAGTATTGATGCATCTGCACTGATGTTACCAGTGAGGGAAACTATTGTCAGCTGAGCAGCCATTTATACCACTGTCTCATTTAATCCTGTTTATGCAAATTTTTGGAATCCCTTAATTATCCCACTGTGGACAGCGTGAGTATAGTTAGTGCTCTGAGAAGGGTTGGATGACAAAGTCTACACCCAGTTGATGACCTTTCCTACAACTTTTTAAAAGAATTTGGTGGTATAGACATACCAGTAGAGCTATATCTGCAAACCTGCTATACCTCTACTCATATGTCATGTCAGTAACATTTTAAAACTTCTAGAATTTATAATTTAGTTCCTTATAAATTTTAATGTAAAGTTGCAATAGCACAAGTTTCAAATTGTTTTACAAAGCATCAAGTTGATTTAAATCAATGACTTAAAAAAAAAATTGTGATTTAAATCATCTTGATTAAAAGCATCCACCCAGGTTTCCAGCACTGCGAGGAAATATTTAAATTATACATGCTTTAATTG